TAGAGTAACCTCTACCTACTGATTCTTATCTGACAAATAAGACCTCAAGAACATGTACAGCCAACCTGATACTCCTTAAGTTATAAACCTATTCAACAAAATCTCATGACTGACCTTGTCAAATGCCTTGGTCTGTATAAATCACATCAAGTTGGTTTTTTCCCTCGATTGAGTCTGCAGCATATTCGTACTGTGAGCATATCCAGACAATGCTGAGATTAGTAAAAGTTGACCGGTCAGTCGCAAAACCATGCTGGTATATACTAATTTCAGGGTGCAAACCTTCATACAGCCTATCAAACAATAATTGTTCGAAAATGTTTGCTATAACATTTAAGTAATAAACTAATTGGTCTATAGTTTTTAACATTATTTTTCTGACTGGAAATTTATTTTTTGCTATTGGTAGGTTGAATACCATGCTCAAGTGGTCCAGCTAAAAATTCAGCCAATCTCTTATAGGTAGATGAAAGGCGGTATACTATCACTACCTTGTTGACTTTTTTGGTTTCAGCCTTTTGATGCTTTTTATAACACCTTGTTTGCTTATAGGAGATAGATTGAGACCATTCCAGTCACAGTATTCACCTGACGGTGACTGCGTGCTTTTTGAGTCCCCAGGCAGTTCATACACATGTATTGCGTACCAGATCGGTGGAGTGCCAATGAGGAAATTTGGGAGTCGTGATATCTTTCTTTTTACATTTAGGAATGGCTGTGTCTATGCAACAATACATTTTCTCATAGCCTGGTTGAGCGAAGGTTAAGTTTCAACCAGCGGTCAAACTGACATTTTTGTGTGATTTTATACTGACATTTCAGTTCAACCGCTGGTTGAAATTCAACATTCGGTTAACCGGACTTTATGATACCGGTCCTTAGTGAAGTTATATACATATTTTTTTGTTAACTTTACCCCTTCCCTGATAGATCCAGTCCTTATGTGAAGACGCAGAGCAAGGTTATATATACAGGGCGAGTTACTAAGCGCGCGGTGGTCCATATCTCCTATACTAACGGAGATCGGAGAAAAAACTAAATACAAAACTTTTAGATAAACATGCCTACTACATTCCTAAATTATTTTCCAGTATTCAGTGAGGTCCAATAACTAGTAGTGACACAAAGTTATGTTTTTTTAAATGACTCCCCCTGTATATTATGACATTTATGTATTCTGCGGAAAATTCTAGATATATTTCATGTATAATATCATCTACCTATCTTTAACTGTTTCGGAAATATTGATAGTTGAAAATTGACTTTTTTTGCATCTTTGACAGACTAACAATAAAGTAACTTGGGTCAAACAGTTCTGAATTCTGTATTCCATCACACAACCATATCTCAGTAATTGCTATGAGATTCTAGTCCTCAACCAAAGCACCAGTCAGAAAGTCCTCAGTCTTAGTCCTGAGACCTCGTACATTTTGGTAGTAGATTGAAAAGTCCTTGTTCCCACTAGTGCAACCTGAAAACAGTTCAACAACAATTTTGTTACTTTTAGGGTGGAAAGAGAAAAGTTAGGAGCTCATTATACCAAAATTTTCACTGAAAGTTAATCTTCAAAAACCAAAATGAAACAAAAATGCAATCTCTCATGTTTCCATTTATTATTTTTTTTGGAACCTTGCAAAAGGAACATTTTGCAACTTTTGGGTTGGAAAGACAAGTGTTAGAGACTTGGTTAGAGAGGAGCTCATTATACTTGAATTTGACATTTTTCCAGTGGAAAACTACGCCATAGAAAATTCTTGTGAAACAACCTACAAAAGTTAAATTAAATAAAATGGATCCTCTGACATTTTCATGTTTATTCCGGAATACTGGTGAGAGGTAGGAAAAGAAAAGTTAGAAGCCTAATATATTGTAAAATTAAGTAATAAAATAGAAGTTTCAAGAGCCTGATTTATAGGCACCATTATTCTAGAGAGCTACTATACTTTTTCCATGAGTATTTCAGAATGTATGAATTGTATTTCAGATTCATCAATTCTACACCTTTTCCATTTGTATTTCAGAAAGTGTCAAACGTATTTCAGAATAGCCAAATGTAGTTCAGAAAGCGTCAAATTTATTTTAGAAAGCGTCAAATGTATTTCAGAATAGTTAAATGTTATTCAGAAAGCGTTAAATGTATTTCAGAATAGTTAAATACTATTATTAAGCTTCTCTTGGGTCAGTTGGGCTTACATAGGAGAAACCGAGGGAGAAACTGCACAGACAGGTAGGTAATTTTGTGTGTCGCCTTCCTTCTGAATTATTTCCGCCGAATTTTTACTTTCTGAAATATTTTTGGCTATTCTGCCATTTAACCTTTTCAGAAATACATTTAACTATTCTGAAATACATTCTACGCTTTCTCAAATACATTTAACTATTCTGAAATACATTTGGCTATTCTGAAATACATTTGACACTTTCTGGAATACATTTGACTGAAATACAATTGGAAAAGGTGTAGTTCAGAATGCATCAATTGTATTCCAGTTGTGTAAGTTTAATTTCAGAAAGTCTTATTTGTATTTCAACTTTGTCAGTTGTAGTTCAGAAAAAGTCATTTGTATTTCAGTTTGTTCACTTATATTTCAGAAAATGTCATTTGTGTTTCAGATTATTTAGTTGTAGATCAGAAATTGTAAATTGTATTTCAGATGTTATCAATTTATGCAGTGTATCAAATAAAATTTATAATGTGTAAAAATTGTGTCAGATTGATAAATCAGTGGTGAACATAATAGTTTTATTAAACTGTTAGGTGCTGTTAGTAGAAAATAAAATGTTTGTACACCACTGCACTAAATAGATTTATTGGTTAGAATCTTGACTTAATACAAGGGATGTTAAAAGAGTATAGCATGTGCCAATTGCAATGATTCCCACTGTACTTGATGATTTCTGATTTTCTGAACCACATCTGACAAATCCTTAAATGTAATTCACGTTTTCTGAAATACAATTAACTAATCTGATCTGAAATACAATTGACGCTTTCTGAAATAAAATTTACCAATCTGAAATACAATTGACGCTTTCCGAAATACAATTTACTAATCTAAATTGCAAATTGACGCTTTCTGAAATTCAACTTACGATTTCTGAAATACATGTGAAAAAGGTGTAGAAGATTTAGATATTAGCAAACCCAATCTGGCTTATACCTAATGTGAATTGTAATTGAAAAAAACTCCTTGAACTCTTGGAATATACCAACCCAAAAAGCTATTATGCACAGGATTGTGCTGATGATATTATATATCATTCATGGAAACTTTCAAAAATTAACAATATTGAAGTTTTAGTAGACAACTTGAACTTGCATGATGCTAGATTTGGGTGCCAACAGATCCGATAACCAAGGAATTATATTTATAGTAGATTGGCTCAAAATTAGACCTTTATTTATTAGATCTAGGATTTCAATTAATTTTGAGTTTACAAATAGATATCCAAAGGTAATGGTTCAGAAAAAATTTGTTGTGGGAAATGATACAATCTTCTAAAACAAGATTCTGGTCTGAGTCTAGGATTCAAAATTTCTATTGTATAAATGCATACTACTCTGTATGCACATTATAAATATTGTCTCCTATACATTGCGGCCTTGGAACAAAAACGATGGCGCCTATCCAGTATAATCCTCATAATTTTTACGCAACTGTTACACATGTTGCAATAATAATTGTTTATAATAATAATAAACCTATTTTGTTGTGTATTAAATCTAGATTTTGGAAATCAAAATTAGAGTTTTTGCCAACAGTTTTTTTTAATAATAGACGTCATCAGGACTGCTATCTAAAAAAAGATAAACTGTTTCCTGTCCTGCTGTCTTTTTCCTGTGTGATTCCAAAAAAAAAAAAAACATTCTAATGTCTGGCCTAAAATAAATTCAAATCGATTTATATTTAGCTATGGTGAGGACACACGCACAGATTTTTGATTCGATTTATTCAGCTACTTAATTAAGTAGGAGTGTGTCTTGTATATAAAATATGCTGATAACAAAAACGAATTGTTACTATTAAGAAAAATCCAATAGGTCAAAGTAAAATTTGATTTTTATCTGGGAAATTATTACTATTGAGGCATTATAGCTTTTTACCATAAAAACTAAAACTTTCCCATTACTGTCTCATGTAAAAAGACTTGTTTTCAAAACTTGTTATTTGTAATAATTCATATCAACTAATCAATATCCACTAACCCAGAAGAACATGTTATTTTTATATAATCGCCAAAAATGAAAAAAGAAAACATCAAACAAGTTATTTACATGTACCGGGATAACCTTGTGAAAAATTTTTGAGCAGACCAGTAAGCAAACATTCCAATTTGCACGCTCGGAATGTCAGTTGATGATGGTAATTAAGCATCGGTGTATTTTAGATTTATCGTTTTGTTGTTAATGGATTTATTTTTAAATGAATCGAGCTGGATTTACGATTATTCTGATCAGCAATAATTGTAACTAACGCCCATCAGCATTGCAGCAATTCAAAATTCACTACGTAATGGATTTGTGCATGATTTTGTTTTGAAATTCAAAAACATTTTTCTACCGGCTATTGATGTTTAAGAATATAAGACAAGGAATAAAATCAGTTCTTCTGAACTTGACCTCTGATTTTATTAAGGCCAACCTGCAATTAGCGGTGCAGGAAGTTGAATTTTACACACCACCCACAAAAAAAAAAAACCATGTATATTACAAGATCCGACCTCAACATTTTGTGTTGGTTTGGCATTGACGGGGGTGTAGGATACAAGATAATTATTTTTTAGTTTTCTGCGAAAAATGTTCAATTGAGAATTTAAACGAGGTTTGTTCCAAAAATAGTCTGTCTAAACTTGAACTCTTTCGATTTAATAATAATCTTGGCAAAATCTATTCGACTGGGTTGCACAAAAGTATTTGGGTCAGTTTCGCAATAATAATAACTATTATAATTTGGCGGTTCATTTAGTCAATTTCTAAAATTAATTTTGTTTTGTTTCAGATTATGGATTTGATGGCCAATTTCTAGTTTGCTTGAAAACATAGGTATTTAGAAAAAGAGGTATGTAATAGATGCTTTGTCGTATTCTTGTTTAAAATTCACTAATGATTATTTGACATAAAAGCAAAATTATTATTATCAAACCCAATCTTTGAGGCCCAGCAAATAAATATAAAATTATTTTTTGCCGGTAACTAAGTACACTGATATTTTTAGCTCTAGGCACGAACATTTTAATTATTCACACACGTGCTGCGGTCACATGTGAGCCCCGATAAGTAGTCCTAGTTTAGTAATGGATTATGGAGAATTATTGTGTATTGTGAACCTGGAGAAGGTATTTTTAGGAGGCTTCTTCCATAGATGATTTAAGGATGTTCTTTAATGGAATTTCTATCGAGAATATTTTAGCATTTATATTAATGCTAGCTGGGTATTCTGGGTTAAAATTGCTCCTATAAGCAGCATCAAATCTCAAAACTATTATTGTCCAAAGCAATTTTGAGTATTTAATGTCCACTAGGTTATCTAAATTCCATTGTAAATATCGTATGTTCAAATATATTCAATAATCAGCATGATATTAACGATCCCTCTGCAATCCTTTTAAGAATTACCACATCTAAATTTATTAAAATAACAATTAAAAAAGAAAGCAGTTGCGTAATGCCATGCGATTCGTCATTTAAAAATAATATCAATTAAACGTGGCTCAGCTCGCTTAGAACAAAAAGGTCACCGAGGGTAAATTGTTCCGCACACGTGGTCAGGTTTTGATATTTCATGGAAGATTTAGCAATTATTATTTCGCTGATGTATTTTATAGAGGTCTCCAAAGGCCAAAGCTTTATTTTTAAAACAAAACTGGATAAACTTGCTGGGGGCAATTTCAACTAACTTTAAAAATAACAGCAAGTTTTATGATTATTTTGCCAGACTCCAGAATTCAAATATTAAATAGCTTGTATGTAATAATTTTTCTTCAATGAGTGCCTATTAAACTATAAATACATACAGGGAAAAATGAATTTCCAATCCAGATACCATCGTTAATAAATCAAGAAACAATGTCAATAATTCAATAATAATAAACTCGGGGAGATAATATTGTGAGTAAAAGTAGCAGCAGCCAGTGAAAACAAACGTTATTTCGCCTTCGATGAAGGTGCTTATTAATAAATAACGATAATTAGATGTACATTTTAATCGAGTGAAAGTAGTCTATTTACCTACCTGTCGTAATTACTCCCCTGGCTAACGAATATGTTTATATTATTTTAAGTTCCAGATTCGAAAATCATGCAGCGTGGTCTGCATCGGATAGGAGGCTCGGCCAATAATTCCTCGTCAGATCTACCGGGGTCCCTTTTGCGACCCCATAATCGTCCCTACGACGGTAAAATAGCCGGACTCTACGATTTGGAAGAAACGTTGGGCCGCGGTCATTTTGCTGTCGTTAAACTTGCCAGGCACGTTTTTACCGGCGAAAAGGTAGCCGTTAAAGTTATTGACAAAAGTAAGCTGGATGAGGTGTCCAAAGCACACTTGTTTCAAGAGGTAAGACACACAATTGTAGCTGTTTATATGGTTTTAATGAGTATTTTTTTTTTTTAGGTGAGGTGTATGAAACTGGTGCAACATCCTAATGTGGTTAGATTGTACGAGGTCATCGATACGGCTACTAAGTTGTATTTGATTTTGGAACTGGGTGATGGAGGTGATCTTTACGAGTACATTCTCAGGCATGATCTAGGTTTGCCTGAGGAAAAAGCCAAAGATTATTTTAGGTAAGTGCCTAAAGTACAAAATAATAATTTCAATATAATTTTTCTCTGTTTATAGACAAATTGTACGAGCAATATCCTACTGTCACCAGTTGCACGTGGTGCACCGCGACTTGAAGCCCGAAAATGTGGTTTTCTTCAAAAAATTAGGCATAGTGAAGCTGACCGATTTCGGTTTTAGTAATAAATTCCTTCCCGGTCAAAAATTGGAAACCTCTTGCGGCAGTTTAGCTTATTCCGCTCCAGAAATCTTATTGGGCGATTCCTACGACGCACCAGCAGTTGGTAAGAACAAACTCTATTTGCCTACAGAGATGTCAATACTTGAAGTCAATTACTTGAAATTCTACTTCAAGTATTTCACTTGAATTAGTTTTTTTGTTATGTACTTGTACTTCCAAATGTACTTATCAATGAGCAAACTACTCACGAACCATTGGAAATCATGTCAGGATTGTTTTTCACTAATTTTTATCCGCTCTATCGATTGGTAAAGTCAAAATTGAGCAAAACTGAAAAATAAAAAAAATCGAGTTTTTCATAAGGGTAGAAGCCTTTGAATTCTAATTCCAAAATCTTCAAACCTCGATAACTCAGTGACCGTTGAGCAAATTGCATTGATTTTTTCAGCATCTGTAGCTGTTATCAAGCTCTTGATGGCCTGTAATTTACAATATTCACAAATTTATAGTTTTTGAGCAAATTGAGTTTGAAATTTTTGACAAAATTTGGATTAAAAATCAACTTTGGCGCTCAATTTCCCAAAAACTCTTTGAGCTATCCAACTCAATTTTGCACAGATTTATAGAGAATTTAATGCTCTTTTCAATGGTACATAATTTATTTTAATTTGCTACTAATTTAACAAAGATATGGGCAATTGTTCCTGGCCAGGTCAAGATTTTGAAAATTTTCCGGAGCCAAAAATAGAATTTTCTCTTTATTTTTGTTTCTGCTTAAAATGGCAATTTCGAATTGATGTCAGGGTTGTTTTCCACTAATTTTGACCCGCTCTATCGATTGGTAAAGTCAAAATTGAGCAAAACGGAAAAATAAAAAAAATCGAGTTTTTCATAAGGGTAGCGCCTTTGAATTCTAATTCCAAAATCTTCAAACCTCGATTTCTCAGTGACTATTGAGTAAATTGCATCGAAATTTTCAGCATTTGTAGCTCTTATTAAGCTCTAAATAGCCTGTAATTTACAATATTCACAAATTTATAGTTTTTGAGCAAATTGAGTGTGAAATTATTGACAAAATTTGGATTAAAAATCAACTTTGGCGCTCAATTTCTCAAAAACTCTTTGAGCTATCCAACTCAATTTTGCACAGATTTATAAAGAATTTAATGCTCTTTTCAATGGTATATAATTTATTTTAATTTGCTACTAATTTAACAACGATATGGGCAATTGTTCCTGACCATGTCAAGATTTTGAAAATTTTCCGGAGCCAAAAATAGGATTTTCTCTTTATTCTTGTTTCTGCTTAAAATGGCAATTTGGAATTAATGGCAGGGTTGTTTTCCACTAATTTTGGCCCGCTCTATTGATTGGTAAAGTAAAAATTGAGGAAAACTGAAAAATAAAAAAATCGAGTTTTTCATAAGGGTAGCGCCTTTGAATTCTAATTCCAAAATCTTCAAACCTCGATTTCTCAGTGGCTATTGAGTAAATTGCATCGAAATTTTCAGCATTTGTAGCTCTTATTAAGCTCTAAATGGCCTGTAATTTACACTATTCAAAAATTTATAGTTTTTGAGCAAATTGAGTTTGAAATTTTTGACAAAATTTGGATTAAAAATCAACTTTGGCGCTCAATTTCTCAAAAACTCTTTGAGCTATTCAACTCAATTTTGCACAGATTTATAAAGAATTTAATGCTCTTTTCAATGGTATATAATTTATTTTAATTTGCTACTAATTTAACAAAGATATGGGCAATTGTTCCTGACCATGTCAAGATTTTGAAAATTTTCCCGAGCCAAAAATAGGATTTTCTCTTTATTTTTGTTTCTGCTTAAAATGGCAATTTCGAATTGATGTCAGGGTTGTTTTTCACTAATTTTGACCCGCTCTATTGATTGGTAAAGTAAAAATTGAGCAAAACTGAAAAATAAAAAAATCGAGTTTTTCATAAGGGTAGAGCCTTTGAATTCTAATTCCAAAATCTTCAAACCTCGATAACTCAGTGACCGTTGAGCAAATTGCATTGATTTTTTTTTCAGCATCTGTAGCTGTTATCAAGCTCTTGATGGCCTGTAATTTACAATATTCACAAATTTATAGTTTTTGAGCAAATTGAGTTTGAAATTTTTGACAAAATTTGGATTAAAAATCAACTTTGGCGCTCAATTTCTCAAAAACTCTTTGAGCTATCCAACTCAATTTTGCACAGATTTATAGAGAATTTAATGCTCTTTTCAATGGTATATAATCTATTTTAATTTGCTACTAATTTAACAAAGATATGGGCAATTGTTCCTGGCCAGGTCAAGATTTTGAAAATTTTCCGGAGCCAAAAATAGGATTTTCTCTTTATTTTTGTTTCTGCTTAAAATGGCAATTTGGAATTGATGTCAGGGTTGTTTTCCACTAATTTTGACCCGCTCTATCGATTGGTAAAGTAAAAATTGAGCAAAACTGAAAAATAAAAAAATCGAGTTTTTCATAAGGGTAGCGCCTTTGAATTCTAATTCCAAAATCTTCAAACCTCGATTTCTCAGTGACTATTGAGTAAATTGCATCGAAATTTTCAGCATTTGTAGCTCTTATTAAGCTCTAAATGGCCTGTAATTTACACTATTCAAAAATTTATAGTTTTTGAGCAAATTGAGTTTGAAATTTTTGACAAAATTTGGATTAAAAATCAACTTTGGCGCTCAATTTCTCAAAAACTCTTTGAGCTATTCAACTCAATTTTGCACAGATTTATAAAGAATTTAATGCTCTTTTCAATGGTATATAATTTATTTTAATTTGCTACTAATTTAACAAAGATATGGGCAATTGTTCCTGACCATGTCAAGATTTTGAAAATTTTCCAGAGCCAAAAATAGGATTTTCTCTTTATTTTTGTTTCTGCTTAAAATGGCAATTTGGAATTGATGTCAGGGTTGTTTTCCACTAATTTTGACCCGCTCTATCGATTGGTAAAGTAAAAATTGAGCAAAACTGAAAAATAAAAAAATCGAGTTTTTCATAAGGGTAGCGCCTTTGAATTCTAATTCCAAAATCTTCAAACCTCGATTTCTCAGTGACTATTGAGTAAATTGCATTGAAACTTCCAGCATTTGTAGCTCCTATTAAGCTCTAAATGGCCTGTGATTTACATTATTCAAAAATTATTGTTTTTGAGCAAATTGAGTTTGAAATTTTTGACAAAATTTGGATTAAAAATCAACTTTGGCGCTCAATTTCTCAAAAACTCTTTGAGCTATCCAACTCAATTTTGCACAGATTTATAGAGAATTTAATGCTCTTTTCAATGGTATATAATTTATTTTAATTTGCTACTAATTTAACAAAGATATGGGCAATTGTTCCTGACCATGTCAAGATTTTGAAAATTTTCCGGAGCCCAAAATAGGATTTTCTCTTTATTTTTGTTTCTGCTTAAAATGGCAATTTGGAATTGATGTTAGGGTTGTTTTCCACTAATTTTGACCCGCTCTATCGATTGGTAAAGTAAAAATTGAGCAAAACTGAAAAATAAAAAAATCGAGTTTTTCATACGGGCCTTTGAATTCTAATTCCAAAATCTTCAAACCTCGATTTCTCAGTGACTATTGAGTAAATTGCATTGAAACTTCCAGCATTTGTAGCTCCTATTAAGCGCTAAATGGCCTGTGATTTACATTATTCAAAAATTATTGTTTTTGAGCAAATTGAGTTTGAAATTTTTGACAAAATTTGGATTAAAAATCAACTTTGGCGCTCAATTTCTCAAAAACTCTTTGAGCTATCCAACTCAATTTTGCACAGATTTATAGAGAATTTAATGCTCTTTTCAATGGTATATAATTTATTTTAATTTGCTACTAATTTAACAAAGATATGGGCAATTGTTCCTGGCTAGGTCAAGATTTTGAAAATTTTCCGAAGCCAAAAATAGGATTTTCTCTTTATTTTTGTTTCTGCTTAAAATGGCAATTTGGAATTGATGTCAGGGTTGTTTTCCACTAATTTTGACCCGCTCTATCGATTGGTAAAGTAAAAATTGAGCAAAACTGAAAAATAAAAAAATCGAGTTTTTCATAAGGGTAGCGCCTTTGAATTCTAATTCCAAAATCTTCAAACCTCGATTTCTCAGTGACTATTGAGTAAATTGCATTGAAACTTTCAGCATTTGTAGCTCTTATTAGGCTCTAAATGGCCTGTAATTTACAATATTCAAAAATTTATAGTTTTTGAGCAAATTGAGTTTGAAATTTTTGACAAAATTTGGATTAAAAATCAACTTTGGCGCTCAATTTCTCAAAAACTCTTTGAGCTATCCAACTCAATTTTGCACAGATTTATAGAGAATTTAATGCTCTTTTCAATGGTATATAATTTATTTTAATTTGCTACTAATTTAACAAAGATATGGGCAATTGTTCCTGACCATGTCAAGATTTTGAAAATTTTCCAGAGCCAAAAATAGGATTTTCTCTTTATTTTTGTTTCTGCTTAAAATGGCAATTTCGAATTGATGTCAGGGTTGTTTTCCACTAATTTTGACCCGCTCTATCGATTGGTGAAGTAAAAATTGAGCAAAACTGAAAAATAAAAAAAACGAGTTTTTTGTAAGTGAGGGGGTATCCTTATCCAAATCAATTTTGCTCAGATTTATAGGGAATTTAATGCTCTTTCTCTTTGTAGATGTTTGGTCATTGGGTGTCATTCTTTACATGTTAGTTTGTGGACAGGCCCCGTTTCAAGAAGCCAACGATTCTGAAACTCTTACAATGATTATGGATTGCAAATATAACGTGCCTCCTCATGTTTCTCAAGAATGCAGAGAGTAAGGGTTTGTAATATTCAAAACAACAATTTTTTGATCTTAAAATTGTTTCAGTTTAATATCAAGAATGTTGGTTAGAAATCCAGAAAAACGAGCCACTCTAAAAGAAATCGCTACTCATTTTTGGCTAGCCAATGGTAACGAAGAAAATACAGCAACTGAAGCTTTGACGTTGCCCTTGGTATCTAGAGAGCACCTGTGCGAAGAAGACCACAATTTCATAGTGCAAAAAATCGTAAACGGCAACATAGCGACCAAAGAAGAAATACAAGAATGCTTGGACAAGAACGAGTACAATCACATAACGGCCACTTACTATTTGTTGGCCGAAAGAAAGTTGAGATCCAAAAGGTTGGATTTGGTCAATAGGACTAGGAGACCTGAGAATTTGGCTGTAAACAAAAATTCAGGACCTCCTAAGAGGGAGAACGGAGCTGGAGCTCCTAATCAGACTACTTTATTGAACGTGCCAAGAACTCCTGGAGATTTACCTCAGGTAATTAAAACCATTTCAATCCTGGGTATCATCATACTTATGTTATTTGAAGAGTCTTTTACGAATAATTATTATTAATAAATTTCCAGAGAGCTCGCAAATGTAGTATAGTTCAAGAAGACGAAGAAGAAGAAGACATGCCCTCGTGTTCAGGAAGAGAAGAATTAGGTCCGCCCCTTAACAGACGCGGTTCCAGATCAGAAGGCAGACTGAATTTAGCGTTGCAAGAACGTTTGGCCGACAGCGAACGCCGCAAACCGGACAAAGTAAGAAGTTTGTCTTGTATGAGCATGATGTTTGGTTTTATACTTAGAAGATTCAGATTCTAAACACAATTTTGTGTACAGATTCCGGACAAACCGCCCACGCCCAAGCCTTCCGTCAGACGCGACTGGCAGGCCATTAAAAGTTCCAGCGTTTGTGAACCGGTGACCGAAGCTGACGTCGTTACCACCACCATTATTACTGATTCGTCTACAATTACTATTCCTATTATTACTACTAGTGCGCCAGTGGATTGTTCTGGGTTGCCTAAGTATAAAACGATGCCGTCACCTACTAGAAGCAGTATTGGTAAGCTGAAATGTAGAATAAAGGTGGTGGTGTATACGTTTTTGATTTATTCGATTCTACATCTTAATAAAATATAATTTGTTCATATTTCCAGTTCTAAACTTTTGCTCTTGTAGTCTTCATAGTTTGCCTGTCTTTCAACATTTGCTTAGGAATAATTGTCAATTTATTCTTTTGTCAAAGTGCATGTAGTTTTTTTTTTTAGCTAGCTTCTTTTTTATGTTCCTGTTTTGCTTCAACTGGATGTTATAGACAAGGATAATAGAATCATCTTTGTAAATGTTTAGTTTAATATAAAAAAAATTCAATTTAATGCATGATAAGACTGACTCATAGGTAGACTTTTTAGTTTATGTAGCCGCTAATATTAGTGTAGACTCTATATAAATAAAACAATTTTTAACAGCATGATTAGTTTTATTTGAAACCTATTCCTTGGGTTAAAATCTTAAGACCTTTTCAACCAATAATATTTATTATCACTATTAGGTACAAACCTAAACGAAATCTTTGAAGAAGGCCACGATGCATTGCAAGATCCGACTAAACCTCATTCCGGTACAAGGTTTGTTAAACGAACGCCCTACGAGCAGCGCAAAAGCAAATTTCACAAATCTCGGACAGCTTCGTGCAGTTCGTCTGACGCCAGCGACGACGACAGCGAAAAAAGAAAAAAAAGAGCGCACAAATTGAATCCTGCTGCACCTACCAAGCCCTTCCAAGGACGGAGAGATAGTTATGACGATAGTAGCGATTCACAGGTAAATAGAGTTAATACTTTATGGTATATGTCGTTTTATAATGTCTTTCTTCATTGTCCATCCTCTAATATCGTCGCAATCCTCTGATGAGAGATTTTTTTCACTCTCGGACTTTTATATGGTCTGCTGCCATTCTAGTTTTAGTCTTCCCCGTTTTCTTCTACCTTTTGGTTGCCCGGTAAGTTGTTTCCTCTATGTCCTGAACTATCGTGCCTTCTATTCCCATTTGTTGTTTTACATTGTCGTTTCTTATTCTCTCTTCGTGAGATTCGCATTTTCTGATAGCATCCATTTCAACTACTTTTCCTTTTTTCTTTTGTCATATATTGGATGTCCTCTTTGTCACTGACCACTATGACCTAATTATCTGCAAACTGCATTCTATGGATCTTTTTCTTCCAATTTTCCAGTGCTACTGCTACTTATATTTTAAAAAGTGTAGGAGAGATACAGCATCCTTGACGTAGTCCTTTATTCACTATAAATGTGTCTGTGAGTTTTTTACCTATCCTAATTCTTGATTTTGAGTCTATATAGTTCATTAAGTGCCGTTATATAGGTGTGATTGATGTTGGATTGTTCTAATACCTTCCATAGTCTGGATACTGGAACTGTATCGTGTTTTTTGTAGGTTCACAAATGTAAGGTGGGTTTCCAAATGTCTAGCAGATCTCTTTTCTATGACTTGTTTTAGGCTAAATACTTTGTCTGTACCTGATTTTCCAGCTCTAAAGCCGCACTGTTCTTCTTTCTCTTTGTAATCTTGTTCAATGAGATCACACAGGATTCTACCGTATAGTCTGCTTAGTGTGCTTGTGACTGATATGCCCCGATATAGTTATTATAGTCCAATTTATTTTCTTTCTTGTGAATGGATGATATAGAAGCCGTTTTCCAGTCTTGTGAAACAGGATGTCCATTAAGGCATTTATTGATAATACATGTAAGACCTTTAAAGAACTTCTCAGTTCCCATTTCAGCATTTCAAGGTATATCCCTACTGGACCGCTAGCTTCACTTGACTTAAGATTCTTAACAGTCTTTTTTACTATTTCTTCAGATATCTCAACTATCAGCTATTGTTCATCCTTCCCGTCCTTCCATTTAAATCCCCTATTATTATGATTCCTCTATTTTTTCCAATATCTACTAGGATGCCGACTCTTTCGTCCTCTGATGGAGCGTAGGCTGCTATAATTAGTGATGTTATAGCCATGTAGTTTTAAGTTGACTGTTAGGATATTTTCATCTATAGCTTCCCAATTGGTAATTTTGTTTTTCCAATTTTTCATTATCAGTATGGATACCCCTTTAGCTGCTCTCAGTTCCTTTGACACTCCAATAAAAAGGTGAATATATTCTCCAACATTTTCGGTGCTATTTCCTTTTGTCTCGGTTTCGGTTAGTGCTTGTAAATTGATGTTCAATTTCTGAATTTCTTTTGCAATAATATCCTGTACATTTCACGTAGCGAAATTCATAGTCCATGCTATGTTCGTCGTCTTGGTGGTCCGTCCAATGGTTTGAGGGTTCACTTAGGTTTTTTGGTAGTTTTATATTTTTCCGAGTATTAGAGAACCAGTCTAATGCTTCAACCCCCATCTTGGAGGACCGGGTTAGTTTTTGTTTCACGGTGGGTATTTTATTTTTGCATTACCCTCTGAATCTGTTGGATTACAAACCCAGCGAGCTTCCCCTAATTCCCATAGGGACGCACCCGATGGAGGTAACTGACAAATTCCCATATGGAGACAGCTTTTCGAGACAGGTCTGTCCAGCTTTTCGAGACAGGTCTGTCTACGGAGACAGTTTTTCGAGACAGGTTTGTCTATAGAGACAGCTTTTCGAGACAGGTCCAGAGACAGCTTTTTGAGACAGGTCTGTCTATGTCTATGCCACTGTGGTAATAAAGTCACTGTACAGTTCGGGTAAGTTGGAGTAGTTCAGGTAGATTGGGTTAGATGACATTGACAGCTGACTGACATTGACAGACCACTGACATTGACAGCGGACTGATGACGTCACGACGCCCTGGTTGGCGCATGCGCAGACGTCACGGAGGCGTCGGAGGGCGTAGAACGAACAATCATACACTACTAATAGGTTGTAACAAATTAGCGTTACTTGAACTAGCTGGTAATTGAGATATTACCGGAGTAGATTCAATCCTTTCAGATGTAGGAATTGAAGGGTGAATTCTATTTCCGCTATCGTTGACAGGAATCAGAAGAGATTGATTGATGTCAATGAGTGATATGGCGTTAACAGGGTCTGACATAAAATTGATTTAGGAATGAAATTTGATAAAATTCGGGAAATATACGAAAATAAGTCAAATAATCACAATCATCAGATTTCACAGTTCCAAAAAGCAGATATACTTACACCATCAGGATAAAACACATTGCACAATCACTATTTTTCTCAGCAGTACAAATTCGTGTCGATAGTTAGTTAATTATTTGATAATAAAAGTTACTGATTGATACAGAACTCTAACTATCCTGTTAGCAGCGCCAATTAAATAGTTTACTCGAAGAAAGGAATTTTCAAACTTTTATTACAAATGTACTTATCACAATGAGCGGTAGAAATAGAATTAATTTTAATTACATCCTCTCACTATTTATTGCTTTATTAATTCACGCCGACTGGCTAACGTCGGATTGAGGGTCCATGATGGGTGGACTAACGGTTGGAACCGTACGTCGGGTAAATTGAATTTGGGCTGATTACATAACTCCGGGTCAGTTTTGTTTCACAGTTGGTATTTTATTTTCCCACTACCCTCTAAATCTATTGGATTACAAACCCGGCGAGCTTCCCCTAATTTCCCGATAGAGGTATATAACCTCACACGAAATAATACTTTATATATTATGCTGAAAAAAATTATTTGTTATTAGGAACCAGGTACTGCTGGGACTGGTACTGGACGCGACCAACCCCTAGGTGGCGCTACTACGACAATTTCAACAAATTCAGGCAACACCAACAACAGCCAGCAAAGTGACAAAGGCAGCGGCACAAACAACGACGGAGGCAGGAAAAATACTTCAACCGGCACAGCGATGTTGGGGCGACGTCACAAAGCCAGCAGAAGACGTAACGGCGAAACTAGACTGAGAGAAAGTCAATCGTTGAATCGCATCACCGAAGTGCAAGAGGATAATACTCACGCTTTGGTCATATCGACTACAGTAGTTGGCACTCACGGGCCTTTGACTCCTAAAGTTAAAGGCCTAGGAGCCAGGATTTTACAAGGCTTGTCGATGTCGACCAAAAAATCTAGCCAAGAGGACAAGAGCTGTCATCACATATCGAGAAAGGACACTGTCAAAACGCCAGATGCTGAAGCGAAAATAGTGCAAACAGATAAGAAGAAATTGAGGATTCTTGGGAAATATTTTCAAGTAAGTTGCAAATGAATTCTTAATTTGTGTGTGGTTAATTCAAAGTTGTTTTAGGTCCACAAAAAGTTGTGCATTCCGCTTCCAGTCATTTTCAACAAAAACAACAGGCTGTACAAGGCGCAGTCTTGTGGATCTCTGGTCCGCGACAAAATCACCAAAAACGAACCAGTTTTGAGGTAAACTATCTATTGTAGGTGTTTCAAAATTTTCCATTTCTAAATTCTATTCTTTGGTTTGAATTTTTTGAAAATCCAGATGTAGACAGCGAGCAGTGAGCGTGTTTCCTAACAGTCTCGGCCCGAACGAAATTAACCAAAACAAAAACGAGGTTCGAAGAAAATCGGCTACAGTAGTGCAACTAAATAATGTCTGCAATGAATTGACTGGTATCTGCGCTATTCATTTGGGCCAAACTTCAAAGTGCAGCTTTTGTTGATCCTTCACTTACAATTGAAGCGTAAGACTGGTATTAATTTATTTGTTTTGGTTGTATAGTCTTAATTTAAGCACCAAAGAAATATGATGACATTGCAGGTTTTGTGCTCAACAACATTATTATTGTCAGTTGCAATTTTTTCTAATTCTGATGTTAGACAATTTAAAGTTTTAAATGGTAAATATTAGGAAATCGCCCTTGTATGTTAGAAAGAAAATCGAAAAGATAACAAAAAAAAAAAAACAAAGTAAATGTTACATTGTTATATATAAATGTTGTTAACGTCCCCCTCTTTCCCTTGTTTCGATTTTGACTGTTGTAGACATAGACCTAATACTATTTAGTGAAATTCAATAGATGATTTAAGATTTAAATAATGGTGTCAAAAGAAAAATCTTACAATTTAGTATAATGTAAATTTTTAGTTTTTCATAATGGTTGCTTTATGTTGTTTGAAACAATAGGTATAAAATCTTACATTTTACACAACCAACCATGGAGTATTAAATTTCACCCTCAAATAATAATTATTATTGTATATTCTTAGATTATTTGTAACTTGAAAGACTGATTTCTACTTTTCTGCTAGCCAAAGGTTCTCTTTGTGTATCTGCGTTTATTCTCTTTATATTGTAGCTATTTTTATCAAGAACGCAAATAATCTAAAATTGTTTTTTCTATGTAAATAGCTTCAAAACCAAACAATGTGCAATAGCTATATACTTAATATAAATCTTTATACTGATTATGAGTGGACCATCCAAACATGATCTACATCAAGAGTAATTTCATAAACCTATAGCAGAAATAGCTATTGAATCTTGGTAATGTCATACTCTAAAAAATATAAAATCTTGAAATTACCTCAATAATGACTTTTCTACATTGGATTGGTCCACTGGATTTTGCTTCAAAAGCCAAATTTCTACATATTGATATATCTTCGAACACATTTATTGTAATTATAAATAATTATCTTAGAAATTATATTTAATAGAGTTGTATATCTTTTTAGGAACCAAATGATTTTATTACTTTATAGATAGAAGCTATTAATTATTATATCAATTTGTTGAAAAAATAAAAAGATGATAGCCTTTTTTTGCGTATGTGCTGTGCACAATCAAAATTGTCTTTTTGTTAGTTGCCTATCGGGTTTTGTGTGTATTTGTTAGTTGTATAAGGGGTGTTTAATTTTGACACCCTGTATTTTTTCTAGGCACTTCACTCTTTTTATTGTAATATTTATTAATTATTTCTAACATTTTATTTGTTTAGTTATTACAAAATTTTGAGGGAGTCCTTATAGAGCGGGCGGAAATGACTTTTTTGCCTATACGTCATCAAGTTATTGGGTTTCTTTGCAAATTGTAGTTTGAGTTGAGACTCGAGAGAAGGCAAAGTCATTTCAACCCAAAATAGAGTAGTAAATTTTATGAAATTTCAAAAAGTTTTCTTTTAGAAAACTTTTTGGTTTTTCAAATCTGTGTCCTGTAGATGCTATCATTTATGTCAAGCGGGTCTTGAGTCAATGATAGAGGTGTCAATCTATGCAAACTCCCAATATCTAAAATACATATTTACTTATTATAAATTGGATTTTATTTGTATTTCTATTTGTTCTAAATTCCCAACGATATACGCCAAAAATCTAAGTTTGCCGGCTGGCAAGGAATTTTCCTTTTGATTGATGATAAAGCATCCCTTGAACAAGCATCCTTCCAAATTTGAACGTGAAACACTATCTAGGTGTCTGCAGAAAACATAAGAAAATATGAAATTTTCAATATTTTTTCATACGAGGGATGATTTTCCTAAGTTTGACGGCTGGTAAGGAATTTTCCTTTTGAGGAATGATAAAGCATCCCTCGAACAAGTATCCTTCCAAATTTGAAAGTGAAACACCATCTAGGTGTTTGATGAAAAAATAAGAAAATATGAAATTTTCAACATTTTTTCATACGCGGGATGATTTTCCTAAGTTTGACGGCTGGTAAGGAATTTTCCTTTTGAGGGATGATAAAGCATCCCTTGTACAAGCATCCTTTCAAATTTGAACGTGAAACACCATCTAGGTGTCTTCAGAAAACATAAGAAAATATGAAATTTTCAATATTTTTTCATACGAGAGATGATTTTCTTAAGTTTGACGGCTGGCAAGGAATTTTCCTTTTGAGGGATGATAAAGCATCCCTTGTACAAGCATCCTTTCAAATTTGAACGTGAAACACCATCTAGGTGTCTTCAGAAAACATAAGAAAATATGAAATTTTCAATATTTTTTCATACAAGAGATGATTTTCCTAAGTTTGACGGCTGGCAAGGAATTTTCCTTTTGAGGGATGATAAAGCATCCCTTGTACAAGCATCCTTTCAAATTTGAACGTGAAACACCATCTAGGTGTCTTCAGAAAACATAAGAAAATATGAAATTTTCAATATTTTTTCATACGAGAGATGATTTTCCTAAGTTTGACGGCTGGCAAGGAATTTTCCTTTTGATTGATGATAAAGCATCCCTTGAACAAGCATCCTTCCAAATTTGAACATAGAACACTATCCATGTGTCTGAAGAAAAAATAAGAAAATATGAAATTTTCCATATTTTTTCATACAAAGAGAGACAAAGATTAACTTATGAGACTTTAACAGTGTCATACATATTTGTATATTAGTGATTCTCAAAGGATGTCTTCAAAGACTTTCAGTAAAGCATTTCTGATGTATTTACCTAGAGTTTGCATTCTAAATACTTGAAAAACGGGCATCCAAAGACTTAAAAATATTCGAAATACTTGAAACTCTTTGAATCCTTTTGATGAAGACAGTGTAAATAATGAATTTTTCACGTTTATAAATTTTTCAACGTTATAAGAATTTTCAGCTTCAAAGTCGACATTGTTTTCGGAAACTCAACATGTTTTTGGAATCATGAGTCTTTGGTGACTTTAGGAATCTGTAGATTCCAGGATGTACCTCTTCAAAATCTTGAAACTTTCTAAAGTTTCTTATTTTTTTGTTGTTTTTAGAATCTTTAGGAGCTTCAATCTTGAATCTTAGATCAGCCAAATTTTGCAACTATGTATTTCAGAAAAATAAAGTTTTTGAAGACTTCATAGTGCTGAATCATATGCCTTGAGAAACTTTGAAGCCTTAAATATTTTTGAAGTTTTGACCGAGGTTTTCAGGGCTGGCAAAAACCCGGGTTTTTGAAAATTTCAATTGGGTTTTTGTGTTTACACAAAATTGTAGGTATACTTGTTTCAACAATTTTGCACTTGAGAAATGACATTGAGACAGTTTTTGCCTCACGGCTCTGTAAACTTTCATCCGATCTTGATGTAATTAGGCTCTAATCAAAGCCAATTGAATTCTCTACAAACCTGTGAATCAAGATTTTAATTTGGTTTTAACAGTTTTAAACCTGAGTGAGAAGTTTCAAAATTGAAATTATCGAACATTGAAAATTTTCCAAAAATGACACTGAGACAGTTTTTGCCTAACAGCTCCGGTAATTTTCATCCGATTTCAATGTAATTAGGCTCTAATTAAAGCCAATTGAATTCTCCTTTGAGACTTTAATTTGGATTCAACAGTGTTGCACCTGACAAGCTTCTAAATTGAATTTATCATTGAAAAATTTTCAAAAATGACACTGAGATAGTTTTTGCTTTCTAGCTCCGTTAATTTTTATTCGATCTTTATTTTTCAAACTGAATATTTTTCGTTAGGAAAACCGTTAAATATCCCTAATAGATGAAAAGTTCCTGTAACCGAAATAAATCTATAAAATTGGTTTTTGGAAAAATCCTAATTTATTAACTATTGGTTGGAATATGAAAAATTAAATCCTCACAAATTAAGAAAAAAAACCTATTTTTTTTTCCAAGTCTGACAACATTGTCAATCTGCAATAATTATTATAAGATGCAAAAAGTAATATTAAAAAATACCTTAAAAACTACAAAAAATAAAAACTAAAACATAAAATACAAACGAACTTAATCCAAAAAACTCGAAAAATAAAAACTAAAACATAAAATACAAATACACTTAAGAATACTCCATTTCTTCAACTTCAGCATGATCAGGCACAGCTGTGTACATCCGCTTCAGCTTCTCGTAGTGTTTTTGATCCTGAAAACGAACTTGTAATTAAATAAAACACAAATTTATTCAACCTACCTTTTCTGGAACAGACGGTCTAATTTTCTCAGAGGCCTTAACGAAATGCCTACTAGACACTGCTAGAGGTTTGCTCAAGTCTCCAGCCAGCATAATTTCTTTCAAGGCCAAAACTGAAGCTTCCCGTACTAGAGCAGCCAAATCCGCACCCGTATAACCTTTGGTTTGTTCTGAGGTACCTATACTTTTCAAGTCTACATCTTCGTCTAATTTTGGTTTGTCGCCATTCTTTGTTATTGCCTTCAAAATATCAACCCTGTCCTCTCTGGAAGGAAGTCCAACATACAAGATTTTATCCAATCTTCCAGGTCTCAGCACAGCTGGATCTATAATGTCAGGCCGATTGCTGGCAGCTAGCAAAAATACACCTTTGCGACCTTCAACGCCATCCATTTCTGTCAACATTTGATTCACTACACGCATAGTAGCGCCACCCTAAATAAATTTGTATTTATTGATTTGGAAATTTTTAAAATTATTTAGTTACCTCTCTGGTATCTGATCTTTTAGGACAAAGGGCGTCCAGTTCGTCAAAAAATATAACGCATGGAGCTGAATTTCTGGCTCGTTCAAAGCACACTCTTACTGCCCTTTCGCTCTCACCAACATACTAAAAATTAGAAAAAAATACAATGAAATTTGCCCTAAAAATAATTCTTACCATATTCAATAATTCAGGTCCTTTAACAGAAATGAAATTAATTCCAGCTTCATTAGCAATAGCTTTTGCCAATAAAGTTTTACCACATCCAGGTGGTCCACATAAAAGTACTCCAGCAGGTACTGTCAATCCCAAAGCCTCAAACTGCTCAGAGTGTCGTACCGGAGCTAAAATTGCCATTTGCAATTCTTCCCTGATGTCTCGGAGCGAGCCAACGTCGTCCCATGTGGTGTCCGGTACTGTGGCGAAGCCCTCTCTCTTGGCAGATGGTTGTACTTTTTTCAGAGCTTCTTGGAAGTCGTCCATTGTGATGCAAAGGTTTAGTAGATCGTGGTCGCTTACAGGGACAGTGTCATGAAGCCAGGATTGTAATTCTTCCAGCGTTGTCAATGTTTTAATGTCTACTGGCATTGGTTCTTGCGATTCTACTTCAATAATTATCACTGGCTCATTTACATCGCTTGATTTTTTTTCAGTTGGTGGTTTGTCTTCAGCCAGTTTTTCAACTTCAGTTTCTTTTGGTTTTACTTCGCCTACTTTGCATATATCTATTTCTGCGTCATCCAATACAACCACTGTTGCATCATTGTTTTTATTTGTTGATTCTTCTGGCTTTGAAACATCGTCGTCCACTACAATTTCTTCTTCTTTTTCCTCGGGTTTATCATCTTTTTTATTAAGTGGTGCTAGACCGTTTTTATTTTTGTTGTTTTTTACAGGAATTTGGATGGCCGGTTTTAATTTGCGTTGTTCCTTTATAGTGTTGAAAACCCTAAAAGCAAAATAGGATATTTGTATTTGTTTCTCATTAAGGAGCCCATTAAATACAATGTAATTTGTAAGCTGAATAATGAAGAAGTTTTGAAAATACACTTCAAAATAATCTAAGGGACAAGAAATAAATTTCTGTTAATTTCAAGACAAAACAAGTTGTTTTTAAAGATAAGGTGGGTATTATTTACTAAGCAAATCTTATTTACCATAAAGTTTTTTTTTTGCAAGCTTGATATACATATTATCTTGTCGCCTAAACCTTTTTGTTGTGTTTATTTAAATTACAGTTACTATAAATTACCTATTTACAGCTACCATTGCCGCTTCTCTAGCCAATGAAAGTAGATCAGCACCCACATAACCAGGAGTGAACTTAGCAATTTTCCCATAATCGAAATCTGATGCAAGAGTCAAATGGGCCGACAAAACTCTCAGAATTTCCTCTCTGGCTTTAACATCTGGAATTCCAAGGCAAATTTCTCTATCAAATCTCCCGGCGCGTCTTAGGGCAGGGTCTATACCATCCGGTCTGTTAGTAGCTCCAATCACCAACACCTGCTGTCCATTTTCGCTTAGATCATCAAGACAACTCAACAATTGAGCCACTATCCTCCTTTCCATTTCTTTTTGTGCATTCTGTCTGTTCGGTGTAATAGAATCGACTTCGTCAATGAACAATACACAGGGAGCAGTGTCGCAAGCTCTCTCAAACAATTCTCTGATTCTTTCTTCACTTTCCCCTGATACTCCGGCCACTAATTCAGGGGCTGCCACTTTGATTATGTGCACCCCTAATTCTCCTGCAATGGCGTTGGCTAGTAAAGTTTTCCCACAACCGGGAGGACCGTGCAAAAGGAACCCTCTGGGAGGGGAAATGCCCAACTTGCTGTAAAGTTCCGGGTGTTTGATGTGTAGAAGCAGCTTGCAAACGTCCTCCAAGGTTTTGTCCATGCCTCCAATGTGTTTGAAACTGAATCGGGGTTCCTGATAGAAGGACTTGGCTTGTGTTGTTTTTTGTTTTTTTGGTCTTAGAGTGATCGGCGATATGGTTGCCGTTTCGTGTTTTCGTTTTTTTGGTATGGTATGGTTCACTGGTACGATATCAACCTGCTAGTGGTAAAAAATATTAAATTGAAATAAGAAATTTTGAAGGAATTGAGAAGCAGAGAAGACAGCACATCTGAATCAGAATGAAAAATAAGTTTGTCAAGTGAAATCCTAACTGAAAATGTCTCTGATTCAGATGAAAATCCTAGTGAAATCAAAGAAATATCTAGGGATCAACAACTATTTATACCTACAAGAAAATTAGTGTGGGTGTGGACATGGACAACCCTGAAAATAAAAGTTGTTAACTTTCGAAAGAGTTGCAAATACAGAAGTTGCCAATTTTTCAATAGAAACGTGTTTTTATAAGAGGAAAGACTGTTTATTTTGGACATATTAATGTGAAGTTTAAAAAGTAGACATTGTTTCCGCGATAAAATCAGCTGGAAATAGGATGATTGTAAAAAATCATTAAGGAAATCAGGTAATCAAATTAGGAATGATATAGAAATCCCCAGAAAAAAATGTAAATCACATGGTAATCATCATCGTTTAGCAGAAATCAGCTATCAGAAAAAAAAATCGAAAAATGCCTTCAAAAAGCCTCCATAAAAACGAAAACACACAAATTTTTCTGCGGAAATGCTTCATTTCCAATTTCCGGGCTTTAGAATAGCTAAAACCAGTTATGTGAAAAATTTTCGTTTGTTTTCATTTTCAACATTGTTCTCAACATACAAACACAAACATTTTGCTGCGGAAATAAGATGTTTTCTTTTTGCCGGAAAAATGTATGAGTCTTTAGAATAGTTGAAATCAATTATGTGAAAAATTGATATTTCTTTGCATTGTAAACATTTTTCTGAATGTAAAAAAGGAAAAATTTTCTCGCGGAAATACACAGTTTCTATTTTCGAAGCCATTCAAAAAACGCCTCTTCCCGACCTTTGATGAGAATAAATGCGGAAAATGCACATTTTCCATCAGAAAATTATATTTAAAATTGACGATTTGGCCCACCCTTCGAAAATCAACTATGAAAATTCCCTATCGGTCGCTATCAGCGCGCTTTGTTATCAACCAGTACACTTTAACCAGTAATAAATGAACTGTAACGAAACTAACCAAAAATATGCAAACTAACTGAAACTAACCCATCCATTTAATGCGTGTTAGTCCTTGCATGTAAATATTAGGTCTGTTCGCACAGAAATCACAAACCAGTCAGAGTGAATTTCATTGGTTGAAATTGTTTTCTGACTGTTTTCAACCAATGAAATTCGCTCTGACTGGTTTGTGATTGCTGTGCGAACAGGCCTATTGAATTTAGAAAAACAGAGCGGTTATTAACCAGCAGTCCAGTACACTTATACCGAGTATTAAATGAACTGTAATGAAACTAACCAAAAATATTCAAACTAACCTGTTGACGTAATGCATACTAGTCCTTGCACGTATTGAATTTAGAAAAACAATGATTGCCAATTACTATTAATACTTTGCACTTTTACCAGGCAAGTAATACAAAGTAATACCTTGGTAATACTTCAGTAATATATGATAATACTTGCGAATCTATAAGAGGGGGTTTGCTATTCATACCCATTTTTTGACAAGTGTAGGTTATGATTAAGTTTGGCCAATGAAAGAATAGTAAAACTAAACAAGAATTTTGTCCAAGCTCAATTTTAAAATTGCCTCATTAACTAACTATCTCTATTATTAGTTTTAAATGGATATGACAATAGAATATCATAATGAAAAATTGATACATAATCCATTAAAAACATGGAAAATTTTGCAAAACACAAACATTCTGTGCGTTTGGAGAGAGCAGAATAGCAGCAGTTTTCAGTATTTTCTACTCAAAACCAAAATCCGTCTTATTTAGAGCATTTCAAAAGTCGAAAATATTCCAGATGTTAAACAATTTTACTCCCAAGAGCCAGTTATTTTCAAAAAATCCTGGTGTAATTGAAAACATCCTATATTTCAAAAATAAAAATGCATATAAATGTACAATAACGTTCCAGTATGCCCTTGTAAATTAAGATAACATTTTTATGTGCTAAACGTGCCTCAAATCTTGCAAATAACTATCACATGATAAGAGCTAAATATTGATAAAAAAAATTCATCAATGATACCTACTATGAGTAGCACCAAGGAAATTTGGAAATTATGAGCAGCACATAATAGTTATTTGGTTTCCTGACAGGTATGTGTCACCATGACACCAGTGTGCGAAATAGCTAGATTAGTAGTAGATTTCGGGGGAGTCGTTTCGGCTTTTCAGCCGCTCAGCACTGCTACCTTTGCAGATATTTTGTGCGTGACTCTACATCTTAATTTGTCTCCAGGAAGCGTAGACTTCTGCCGAAGGAAGCTATTTTCCTGGGTGTCAGTTGGCCCACTTCTTCTGGTGACAGTGTTGCCCCCTCGATGAATTTGAGCCTCTTGCAGAATTGGGCTTGGCTTTCCCAGAGCAGGTGCTCTGGCGAAATAGCTAGTTCGCACACTGGTGTCATGGGAACGTTAAAAAATCAATGCCTGGGAAAAGAGTGTCACTTCGCAAACTGTCATGAGTGTGCGAACATCATAATTTTTTGACAGATGTAGAATTTTTTTTTCATTTTCTACTTAACTATTATAGATCCATAATACCAAGGAAACGAAATACGTTAATATACCTATAACAACCTGAAGGCATTATAAGCCCAGCGGGCGTTATTTATTTATTTATTTATTTATGGGAAAACCCCATTAACTGTTAAAATACAATTTAAGAAAAAATATAAAGAATAAAGCATAAGTTAGGTACTATATTATAACTATAACTACATAAATAATAAATATTATTTAACTACAAAAATTAATACTACACAATAATATAAAACATATTAAGTACAGCCAAAAATCATCTTTTAAGTAAGTAGGTATTAGTAAAAGTATGTAGGTATTATGAAAAATATCTTGATCTTGATAATGAGTAGTTAACATATGGAAACATATAAAATAGAATTAGGTACAACAAATAATACACAAACCAGAATTGACCCTGTTATACAAAAAATATCACATATTCTTCAGGTACGTTTTTAATTGACCTAGGGTCATATCAAATATATCAATATTTAAGTTATTAATTAATGACATATATCTGTCAATAGGATTATTTTCACCATATGTTGTTCGGTGAAAAGGTATGAGAAATGTTGGGTGTTGCCGCAGTCCCCTAGTGGGTATATTAAAACTAACTGAAGAAAGGAGACTTGGACAGTCAATTAACCCATATACTAATTTGTATATAAATGCTACACCAAAACTATCTCTACGAAGGCCCAGAGGACTCAATGACAATTGTTGTTCTATTGCTCTATAGTCGTGGTCAGCCATAGCAAAGCCATTTTTAAACGCACACACTCTAAGAAATTTATGTTGCACCCTCTCCAAAAAATCCATATGAATCTGAAAATATGGTGACCACACCACAGAGCAATATTCCAATGTTGACCTCACCAAGGAGCAGTAGACAACCCTGGTAGCTTCCACAGAGAAGCATTGCCAGTTTCTCACGACGAAACCCAACATCTTCGAAGCCCTTACTGCAACCGAATTTATGTGATCAATAAAAGATAATCTCTTGTCTAAAATAACACCCAAATCTTTCACTTTAGACACACACTTCAGAGACTGATTGTTAATAGAGTAACTAGTTTGAATTGTATTTACTTTCCTTGAAAAACTAATATAGCAACATTTATCCACATTCAAAGATAACTTATTTTCTACACACCACACGGACAAGCGATCCAGATCCTCCTGCAGAAGCAACTGGTCCACAATGCTCTCCACCGTTCTCCAAAATTTCAAATCATCTGCAAATTTTGCACACTCACTGTTTATAAAACAATCAGTTATATCATTAACAAAAACATTAAAGAGAAGAGGAGAACAGTGGCCGCCCTGCGGGACACCCGATGTAACAGAGATTGACTCAGAAAAATAACAACCTACTTTAACATGTTGGATACGATCAGTCAGTGAGCTCTGAATCCACATAACAAAATGAGAATGAAAACCAATCTTGGTTAACTTCTGCAAGAGTATCCGGTGATCCACCCTATCGAAGGCCTTAGCAAAGTCTGTATATATAGAGTCTACTTGTTTCTGCCCCTCCATATGATGCAAAATGCTTGTCCGGTAACCTACCAAGTTTGTCAATGTGGATTTATTTTGACAAAAGCCATGCTGTTCCACAGAAATTAAACCTTTACACATCCAGCTCAGTTGCTTGCCAACAAGACAGTCAAAGAGCTTTGGTATTGCGGATGGAATACAAACACTACGATAATTTTCAATATTTTCTCTTTGACCACTTTTAAAAATAGGAACAACATAGCTCTTTTTCCATTCATTCGGGAACACAGCACTAATCAAGGATCTATTAAAAAGGATATACAATGGTAAAACTATAGTGCAAGCACACTCTTTCAAGAGGAAATCGGGCACTCCGTCCGGCCCTGATGTAAGTTTATTGGGAAGACTGCATATCTGATCGAAAATATCAGACTTACTTATTTCTGAGCACTTAATATTGCTACTTACATTATTATCCAATGTTAAATCAGGTGGTACTGGAGAGTTCTGGTTAGCTACATATACAGTCTGAAAAAATTTCCCAAATAAATTGGCTATATCCTGCCCATTTAAAGCCCTCTCCCCCCGATAAAAGAGTGAGCTTGGAAGACAATAAGTGGAACGCTTATCATTGATAAATTGCCAAAATGATTTTGGATCAACTTTCAGTCTCTCATCAAAACCCCGCATGTAATTAGTGAAACAAATATTAGAGAGCCTCTTACACTTGACACGCAAATCTGAAAACTTTGCATAATTATCATCTGAGCGGTTACTAATGTAAAAAGAGTGTGCACGTCTCTTCTGGCAAATTTTTTTACTGGGACAAAATATGCAATACCGGTGGCCAAAATCTCATAAAAAATATTTATTATGGCATTTACATCATTGCTTATATATAAATATTGTTGCCAATTAATAGAAGCTAAATAATTATTAAGTTCCCTATAGTTTGCATTTCTAAAGTCGTAATAAAATTCTTCATAAGTTAAATTGGTACTTTCTTTTGTATTCGACACCGATAATACACACTCATACCCAATATGATGATGACTGTCATTTAAAAGCAGCTCAGAGGCATGTGTGACAACAACCTCTTTACTATTAGAAAAAACTAAATCTAAAAATACATTTCTATCATTTGGAATGCCATTCATTTGGAAAAGTCTAAGATAACCAAACACCTGAGCCACTTGAAGGGCTGGGTCGCCCTGAGGGCATTGCACAATTGCTCCAAATTCATCATTAGTCCATGCAGCATTAGGTAAGTTATAATCGCCCAAGATATAGATATTTCCTGCAGAAACATTCTCCACCGCTTCACAATGCCAGCCATAAACATCCCTTGATGATTGTGGAGGGATGTATACACCACCCAATCCATAACGCCCGCTTATAATACCCTGAGGTATTTTTGTTGCTGTTGTTTTATTAATTTGCACTTTACCCTAGGCAGCCACTAAATGTCTGACCGAAAATAATTTTTGGTCTAGCCAGGATTCGAACCCGGTCTACCATCAACGTTTCCCATGTAGTCCAGCGCATTAACCCACACAACCACCACCGTTGCCTTGCTCTATGAGATGTTTATAGATATATTAATTTATTTCATTTCTAGTTACAGGTACATGTCGAAATACGAAACAATATTCTGCTACACAAGTTTAACTAATTTTGTTAATACTAATTGATGAAAGAACATTGGTTGAGTAGAAAATAAAGCATTGTATGCACCACGGCAATTTTAAGATTATAATGCCCGAAGGCGAAACTAGCCCGAGGGATATATTTCGCCTTTGGGCATTATAATCTACATAATCCCCTTGGTACATAAATAGCTATTAATAAATGTTAATACATAATGTCAATACCTAGTATTACCAGAAATATTCACAAGTATGTATTACCAAAAGGAGGTAATCAATGTACAAATTATGATAGGTGGTTGACCCCCTGGTTTTCCAAGTTTTCAATTATTAAATGCCCTAATTTCAGGTTAGGAAACTTTCCATCTTTCATACTGTGGTCCTAGAAAATTATTTAAATTTAACTTACCGGAGGTTTATTATTATAAATCCCTTGCATAATAACGCTCCTAGGGGCCGACGAGGCTGTAGCAGCAGCTCCATTACTCTTCCTGTAATTATAAGCAGCTTCTTCATCAGAATCCTCGCTGCTTATATCGATAAGTTCACTTTCAATCATTTTGGATGGCTGCGGCCTCTGATAGAGATTCACCAACGCATTGTTCATGGAGTTTTCATCAACGTTGTCCATACCGTCGCTCACGTCGTCACTGTCGTTGCTGGAGATGTCTTCTTCAGACGAGTCTTTTTCCTGCATGCCGTAGCTTTGCAATACAATCGAGTAGGCTTTTTTCACTGAAGCCCTGAAGGCGCTGCGTTTCCGTTTAGCGTATTCCCTGTATTTCTTTTGTAACTGGTCGGACATATGATTGATGTCCACATAGGTTTGGTCTACGTTACTTTCCAAATACTACAAAAATATTGGTGCAAAAGGACGGTTAGTATTCAATTAAGACCCAGAGTCGTTTAAAAACTATAAAATAACACTGAATTTGTTTACCTTTTGTACTCGTGGTACCAAAGTTGCATCGGAAATGTACGGCGACTTTATTCGGGATTGCGATTTGTCCACAGAACTATCACTGAGAGGCACGATTTCCACACTACTAGAATTTGGTAATTTTTCCATCGGAATCGGTATTTACCTGAAATAACTGGGCCAAATAAAAGAAAAGTCTAATTTTTTCCAGCACTACTACCATGAATCGACCATCAGCGACGCATTTACCGGAGAAATGGAAAAAATAGCCGCCATAACAAAAATGACTGTAACGCTTGTTTGACTGATGACAGTTATGAAATATAGATGGCGCTACTAATAATTTTGGTTTCGCACTCGAGCTACTCTAGAGCAGCTCAAAAATGTTTGTACACCTACTTTGTAGTGTTCTGATGCTGATGTAAATAGTTGGAGTTAGGAATTGAAACAAATCTCGCTTCTATTTGATCACTATAGTGAGCGTGACCGGACCGTGCCTTGACCTATAGTGCATAGTGAATTGAGAGCTAGAGTGTTCTGTGCAATATCATGCAGAGCAATTCGAGAGTAGTTGTATTCTTTTCAAAAGTTTAAAATACTAGAGCTACTCGCTCCGGTGTCAGTCGACCCCGATTTGGAAGGAACAGATGCGCTGGCATTCGTGCATTTATATAGTTTGAGTTCGGGCTTAAGCACTCAAGTGCAATAATAGTTCTTGGGTGCAATTATAGTGCAACAAACACTTTTTGAAAGGAATAAACGCGTGAAGCCCCGGAGCTGTTCCGTAGCTCCTCCTAGGTGTGAAAGGAAAGGAATACAACTTACCTTAGCCGATTTCCAGCTGTGTGCTTCAAGCACGTTGCAGCACAGTGTTCTGTGTTTGAAACGCAAAAGCGCAGTACGGCTGGAACACGGACACGCGCTTGAAGCATTTGCGCGCGCAAAAGCTCAATTGCGTGCTCAAAATGGTCAGCTGGAAAGCGGCTCTTGCGTTCGGGATTTTGCTCAAAAAGCAGAGCGTGCTGGGTTGCGTTCAGAAATAGCATTCTGGGTGCGGGAGTGACTCTAGAGTAACTCTAAACCGTTCATAAATTAACAGGTGCTTACTCGGAGCGTTACGCTGTAATCGTTCAGAAAACGAGAGTTGACGTGCCCATAGTGCGCCGAAATTACTCCACTCAGGGACTGGGTTAAAAAACGCCCCGCGGTTTTTATCGGGTTTGACGGTTTGACGTTGACCATTTACCGCAACGCACCAATACGTTCAGAAATAGCGCACCCAGAGTGCACTTCAAGTGATGACGTCGGAACACTCTGACAAACAACTACTCTTCCTTCACTCGCGGCTTCAGACAAAAATGCACTCTGGCTCCTTCGATTTCGCGCGGTTTTTTGAAAGAAAAACTCACTCAGTGAGTGCACTCAGTACATTCTTTAATTTTTTTTCCCCATGTTACGGGCAATGGGCAATGTAAATAGTTGAGCATTATGATAATGCCCGGGCAATTTAAAAAATGCCCAAACGGATATGACAAAATTATGAATTATATAGAAAATATCAACACATTGTCCGGGCATTATGATTAATGCTGGAGTGGAGTGGACAATTTGTCTGATTAAAATTGCAAACTAACCCAAACTAACCGGGTTATTATCAATAAGTTTGATAATGTCTGATCAAAATTACCAATTAACCCAAACTAACTGGTTTATTTATTATCGGTAAGTTTGATAATATTGATTGATTTAAATTGCAAACTAAACCGACTGAAATAAAAATGCGTTTATGTTTTCCGCACGCTGGTAGGAAAATCTATCATACATTCTACTACGCGGCAGTTCAATACTAGCTGTTCGGAGTGCTCCAACCCAACTGTTCGGAAAACGCCAACTTTTAGGAGTATGCCAACTGTCCGGAGTACTCCAACTATTTGGAGTGAACGAACTGACCGGAGTACTGCTACTGTTCGGAGTAGTTGGCCCGGATTCCAATTGAAAATTGGATTTCGATTTCATATTTGGTATGTATTACGAAAGCGATACGATTTCGTGTCCCGATAGCAAATGGAATCCCCTAGTTGTTAAGATCGGAATACTGTAACTGTTCGGAGTACTCCTACTAATTCTGAGTACTCTAACTGTTCAAAATACTCCTATTGATCGAAGTACGCCAACTGTTCAAAGTACCTCCAACTACTCCGAGTACACCAACTAGTTCGGTTACTCCAATTGTTTGAGTACTCCAACTATTCGGAGTACGTTATCAAACCTACCGATAATACCCAGGTTAGTTTGCGTTAGTTCGCAATTTTAATCACCAAACCTACCGCTAATAACCCGAATTATGCCTAGTACTCATAACTGCGAAATTCGCATTTTTATGACATTGCTTCGACAATTTGACGTTTGATACACGCATAAAACGTCAAATTTTCAACGCAATGTCAAAAAAAATGCGAATTTCGTAGTTATGAGTACTAGGCTTTAGTTCGGCGACTTCCAGCAATATTCATCATTTATAATGCTGCGTGGGCAATCTGATATCTTCTATATTATTCATCATTTAGGGCGGGTATTATAAAACTGCTTTAACAGTTAACTTGAAGTTAACTTTTTGAATTACATGTATTTCCAGAAGTTAACTTTAAGTTAACTCTCAAAGTAGTTTTATAATACCCGCCCTTAGTCATATTTCCTCGGGCACTGGGCACTTTCTAAATTGCCCTGGCATTAAATTTAATGCTCAAATATTTACATTTCCCGCAACATTATACAATACCAAAAAAAAAACAGGACTACGAACTGATTTTTCATGTGAATCAAACGAGCCAGAGTACATTTTTGTCTGTAGCCGCGAGTTTCGACCTTCACACTCCATTTCTAAACGCATTCCTGGAGTGGAGCCGTAATCACGTAACCAGCGAGCGCACAGACGGACGTGTATGAGCCTGCACCGAGCACACTTTTTAAATAAATGAATGATAAATCCAAGCTCGGAGAACTCATATCAAAATACTGAACGCACGGTTATGTCACACTTCAGAGCATAGCATAGGTGGGTTCGGCTTGCTCACTCCGTGCACTCCGTGCACTCCGAGTGACTTCATTCGCACTCCAGCCGTTCGAGTTAAGGTTCGGGTATTGCTTTTTACCGTATTAGGGTTGACTCCATTAGCTCTGTTCACTCCACTCTAACTCCGCGCTGAATAGCCGAACCCAGCCCATTGTTACTCTCAAAAAGTTTGTTTGCTGTGTCGCACTAATGGTGCGTACGATAAGTCCGAACTACTGACACTTTTTACCCTGACCCGTCATGTCGCACTTTTTACACCATTCGTACCGTGCAGCGTACATTTTCCGGTGTAGTTCAGATGGTTGCGTTCCAAAACATAACTGCACCGCACTAACGCTAACCGATTCAGACAAATCGTACGCACCATAACTTAACTAATGACATTTACGATTAATAGATCTAGTGCGGAACTAGATACAAATACACTCGGTGCGCACTGAATCTACCAATCGGAAACGCCATAAGCTATAATATTCCAGATTATTGCAGATTCATCACCATATAAAACGCTCAAAAACGAACGCCCCAAAGCAGGAAGTGCTGCCCCGAGCAACACAAAAAACAAACCTGAAATGTATTGCACTCTCAAAGCGTATTCTGCAATCGCTCCGAGCTGTTCGCACTGTAAAATGAAGCGATCATAATGACGGTATCTCCTCGAAACTGACTCCATGCTTCGTGTGTTTTTTCCACCTAAGAAAAATTCTATTTTTGAAGTAATGAAACTTCAGGCGCAATTGGAGTAAAATATCAAGGCCGTGACACACGCGGTAGCGATACAAAAAGCCATCACAATAGGTCTGTTTCTGCAGAAATAGTTGTATTCTTTTCACACCTAGGAGGAGTTCCTGAACAGCTCCGGGGCGTTATGCGCTTATTCCTTTCGAAAAGTGTTTGTTGCACCTCGCATCTCTCCCTTTAAAATCGGGGTTAACTAACACCGAAGCGAGTAGCTCGACCCAAACTCTTGAAAGGAACACAATTAATCACAAACCAGTTAGAGCGAATTTCTAGGGGTCTGTTTCCGCAGAAATCACAAACCAGTCAGAGTGAATTTTATTGGCTTAAACAAGTTTTCTGACTATTTTCAACCAATGAAATTCGCTCTGACTGGTTTGTGATTTCTGCAGAAACAGACCTATTGGTTGAAAACAGTCAGAAAACTAGTTTCAACCAAGTTGTTTGTCACAGTGTTCTGACGTCATCATTTGGAGTGCACTCTGAGGTGCTTTCCAGTGACTCATTCGAGTTACTCCTGAGTAGCTCAGGAGTGCTCCACAATTACTTTGCGCGTTCCAGTGCTTAGAGTGTCGTACACTCGAACTACTCATTTCTGTTATCCCCTGTTCCCTCGTGCACCAACCTTTATTTCGGTGTTTCATGCTCCTGAAGTCCGAAATGGTGGGAGTTTAAAACGAGAGCGTTCCAGTGCTGCTTATGTCGAACAGTTCAAGAGCGTCACACTCGAGAAGCATGATACTCTAACAATTTAGGCACTGGAAAGCAGCTCTTGGTGCGCTATTTCTGAACGTATTGGGGCGTTGCGGTAAATTGTCAACGTCAAACCCGGTAAAAACCGCGGAACACTTTTAAACCCAGCCTGAGTGGTGTAATTTGGGCGCACTCTGGGCACGTCAACTCTCGTTTTCTGAACAATTCCAGCGTAACACAAAGAGTAAGCACCTGTTAATTTATGAACGGTTTAGAATTACTCTAGGGTCACTCCCACACCCAGAGTGGTTGCAGCAATCCTGTAGGTATGTATCATCCTTGGAAACTCCCCACTATGTTTGACGTCAGTCGCAGACCTGAACTTTTGATGTAAAATGTATTATCTGAGTTTTAAACACTATCGGTCAAAAAAACAAATTGCGAAACGTTCCTATTTGGTGGAGTGTTCTTGGATAGTGACTGTAGTTTTCGACGTTTTATAGCTCAATAATAGATGACGCCACAATAGCTAACGTGTAATATATTCAATAATTTGGAGTAAATTCCATTCAACAGTCTCGAGATTATAATAAAAATGATTCGGAATATATAGAAACTATCCCAGAACAATTATTTGATGTTTTCTTTCGTTGAAGAATAGCTCCAATGAAGTTTGTACCGAGTGCCAAATGATTGTTGCACTGATGCGCATTATTTCACTAGTTGTATTCCTTTCACATCTAGGAGGAGCTGCTCCGGAACAGCTTCGGGGCGTTACGCGCTTATTCCTTTCGAAAAGTGTTTGTTGCACCTGAGTGCTCAAGCCCGACTCAAACCATATGAGCTGGGTTCGGCTATTCAGCGCGGATTTGGAGTGGAGTGAACAGAGTTAATGAAGTCACCCTAATACGGTAAAAAGCAATACCCGAACCTTAACCCGAATGGCTAGAGTGCGAATGGAGTCACTCGGAGTGCACGGAGTGAGCAAGCCGAACCCACCTTTAATTGCATGAAAGCCAGCGCATCTGTTCCTTCCAAATTGGGGCGACTAACACCGGAGCGAGTAGCTTTAGTATTTTAAATTCTTGAAAGGAATACAACTATTGGGTAATCCATTGATAAATGCACAGTGCACACATGGTTTTTTTTAACTGTTCCGAGTATTAAAACACAAGAAATATTGCTCGGTCATGAACTGTATCAAACCGAACATTCATTTTTGCACTGCACTCTAAAAATGCGATCCGAGTGTAGTGTGAACTCTTGCAGAGAGAATCGAGCACGTTATTTATTGGTCTGTTCCAACTGCAACAAATTGTATTCTGGAACCATGTTAGAACATGTTCATTGGTTGGAACAGGGCTAATTTAGCGGGAAAAAGCTCACAATAACCTGGCGCGAAGTTTAAAATTGTCTGAATCAACAACTTTTTCGAAATATCTCCCGTAAAAAGCATTGAAGTCTATCTGATATTATCGTTAGATCAAATAGCAAAAAAAAAACAATTATTTGAATCTTAAGTACTCAGTTTACTTTTGTCGCTATACAATAAAAATATGCATTAGCGGCTAATTGAAAATGATAAAAGATAACAACATAATCATGCTTGGGGATTTACCACTACCAGCGTACACCGCACAAAATTCATACTTGTTTCGTAATTTTATTCCGCCAATTTTGCCAAAGGCGATATTCTGCAATACGAACCCAAGGTTAAAAGCTTCAAGGTTCCAAAAATAACATCATTTGCGTTGCATTATTGAAACAATAACCCACAATTTCTCTTAGCTATTAATACTTTATATTGCATTTTAAACCTACCACAATTTTTTAAATTTATTGTTTATTGAATACTTTTTGGAAACATGAGTACTACTACATCGGTTTCAAGTTCCTTTGCTAGTACTTCTAGGGAAAATTCACAAGGTATGTATGTATGAACTATTATTTTCAGTATTTGAAAGTTATTTATTTCAGATGGAATTAGATGTAAATTATGCGGTATAGTTCTAACAGATGAAACCTTTTATCAAAATCACTTGAAATCGAAAAAGCATAGGGTGAATTTAAAGGTAGCTCGTAGGGCAATTCATGAAAAAAGTGAGAAACATTATTGCTAGTTAACTTCAGAATTAAATTTTTGTATTATTTAAGGCCAAATCGAACAAACATCAGTGATAACAGATGAAGTAAGTTTGATGTATTTGTACTGAAAAGATTCTTGAAAAAAAAAATCCAATTATTATAGGAAGCTGAAGAAGATGATGTGTTGTCACAAATCGAAAATCCATTAGAAACTGTTGAATTTAGCGCATTATCAGATTATAAAACTAAAAGAGAGGTAAAAAACATGCATACCATATAAACTTTATATAGGTACTGTTATATAAAATATATACCATTTTTTGTACTGCAATTCTCACTTAGCTGATATCATGGTATGGTGTGGATACAAATAATTGTTAAAAAACATATATTCAATAGATAAATTATTGTTTCCAATTTAGACTTATCGTCCAAGAGACGAGAAAAACTTCGAAGACCACTACAACCTCTACAAAAACTCGCTGATAGCCTATTGGTCGATAAATTTGAGCTTCAATCCAACAGTCCAAGATTTCAAAATATCCGCAGGAGACAAAAAATGGGAAAACTTCGGCGACGTTGTCGTAGACATCGAATTCAAAGATCTTCCTGGCAGAGGTGCCCACACGATTCGTTGCGCTATCCAATTCAAACAAATCGCTTCGCATAATATGAAAATATTGCAACCCTTTGAAAAAGGTCCTACAAGTTATGAAGCTATTGCTAGACAAATCGAAAAAATTAACAATAAATCAATTATTGTGGACGATACAAGATTTATTACTTTTTCAACGTCTCTTGTAGATCCGACATTGATCGCTTCAATGCCGGTGAATTTTTGCGACATTTGTCGCAAGATTACGATTTCTTGCAAGTGTCTTCCTAATAATGAATCCAGTAAAACAATTAATTTAACAGCCAGAACTCGTAGCATCAGACAAAACGTTATACTCAACACTTCAGAAGACAATGATACTGTTTTTAGTTTTATATGTACCCAAGGCAAGTACGACTTGCCCAAAATTTACGTGTACAGTTGTCAGAAAAAAGCCCGAGAATTTCCTATAGTTATAGAAGAAATTATGTCCGATTGTTTCGGAGAAAATCGTCCGAATATTGCAAAAGATTTTATTAAGTTTATAGAAATTTGGAGTAATGGACAATGTGGGGGATATTATAAACTGCGTAAGGAAGATGTGCTGGTGAGACTTGGCCAGATTTTACTTGGGAAATTCAGAGTCACTCCGGAACTGATGACTATCGAAGGTAAAAATTAATAGTACAACCAGTACTTGATTTGAAATTAACTTACTCTTAACTTCTTTAACAGGTACTTAGAAATCTCATCATCATTACCACATAGCTTTTTCTATTTCTTTCATCGTGCATCTAGTTTATACTATCAAAGTTTTATCAATGACAAGAAATCCTTGTTACAAACATTTCTTCACCAATATTCACCCAGTGTCTGGAAAACATCTTTGCTGAAACCGAGTTTTTTTTCCAGACCCAGTAAGCAGATTCTCCACCTGGATCCAAGCTCTCAAAATTATAGACATAACCCTGCTGAAACCCACAACCAATTTAGCACCACTCATTGAACCGTTCAACCTAATTATCCAGAAAACTTTCAAGAAAACCATAAACACCACAAACGAAACAATATCATTTAAACGAATGAAATCCAACGATGAAGTAAAACATTTAATTGATCCAATTTTAAGGGGACACGTTTACGAAGAAACCAAAAAAGATTTGGAAAACACGATTCCTTTAGAGCGAGTTTATTTGATGTTTTGGAAAGCTGGTCTTATGCCATTGATGTTAGAAGTCACCAATAAGCTGGATCAAGACTATGTTTTCCGGGTCATTAACGAATTAAAAAGTGTTGGATTGACTAGGAGATATTTGATTAAAACCAATCAAAATACTCTACAGTTAAATGTATTTAAATTTTTAGATTTTTTTATTAATTTGGGCAACATATCTAAAAAGCTTGGCCCCAATATTTTGGCAAATGTCACAATACGTTTAACGAATGAGTTACGTTTAAGTTTAGCAGCCATTGAAGAATGGGATGTTTTATTTAAAAACACTGTAACTCCTGAAGAATTCTTTCACATGGCTTTAGGAAATTATTCGTTCAGGCCCTACAACGGCGTAAAAGAGGAGCACACAAATTCCAAATTAGTACTAGAGAAGAATCTGATGGAAATATTAAAAAAAGAAGTTGAATCTACAAATCATTTGGCGACTAACAATGAGATTTGGTTGCGAGGGGTCAATCCCGATTGGTTTTCATAAAAAAAAATGTTTATTATTACAATTAAATAACACCTATTCTGGTAATAAATCATCTCCAAGCTCATCATTGCCGAAATCGTCAAAGTCCAATGGCTTACCAGCTCCTGTTCTAGGTCTCAGAGGTAAGGGTCCTAATGGATCAGAATAAGTTGCATCTAGAAAAAAAGAAATATTACGTATTTCTGCTGTAACGGTTCAGAAATCATCTAGAGGCATTTCGGTTGTCGGTTGCGTATCAAGAAAATGGTTAATCTTGGAATAATTTAGTGAATTAAGGAAAAATTATAAGTGCATGTAGGAAATTGAGTATTTATTGCAATAAAATTGACTATTGAATATTTTCTTTGCTTTCCATAAGAGTGGTAATAAGTTCTCAAAAAGGCGGCCCTATAGAATAAATAACTCCTTACCAACATTATTATTTTGTCCCAATCCTGAATCGCTACTGCTACTAGCACTATTTTGCACCCTCGCCTCTCTAACACTTCTCAAATTCCTGTTAGTTGAGCCCGACAAGGACGAAGGGCTTTTTATCGAAGTGTGCTCGGGTACCGGACTGAACCCGGAACCCGCTCTAGAACTCAGCCCGCTGTTGCTTCTCCTTGAACCCGGTCTGCTGCTGTTGACTCTTTCCCTCACTTCTTTGGTCTTTTCCAATTTTTTCAGTTCCTGCAAATAGTCTTGGGCTTCTCGCATACCCAAATCGCCGCACAGTCTTATCAAGAATCGGAGACATTCCAAGTTTTCAGGGAATTGTCTGAAATATCCAACTTGTTGAAACGTGACATAAGTTATAGATAGTTTACCGATGAATTTCTTGATAAAGCGTCAAAGCCTTGTGCATGTTGCCACTCCGCCTGTGACATCCTGCCACCATCATGTTCCATTTGGGTTCTCCCGGTTGCATGAGGGCAGCTTTTTCGAAATAAGTCAACGCCTTTTCGACCACTTGCATTTCAATGTAGTAGGAGCCTAGCCATTCAATCACTGACAAATTTGCTGGATAATATCTGAATGACTAAAGACATTAACTAATTAATAACAAACTCAATTTTTATTTCGAATCAAGGAATATTGATGGACATGAGCTTGATGCATAGATATCGAGGCTCAGAAAATTTGAGCTCCAATTAGCAGATACAGTGAAAGTTTCAGCTTTCTATCTATAATAGAAAAAAAGTTATGACCTTTCAAAATTTTCCAAAATCTAAATCATAAGGTAGGTACCTTCTTACTAAAATCATAGACTTGTGTGTTTTATATTTTTGTTGTTTTTGCTATACCCACTTTGACACACAGTTTGAATATTTTTTTGTTTAGTATAGTAATGTAAATTTTAGGGGCCTTAATACAAAAAGCTTAGATGACCCATTACCCAATATAACGGATCTCTTGAAGAAGCTGGGACGCTACCAGTATTTCACCACCTTAGATTTAGCTTAGCGACTTCCACCAAATCCAGATGCATGAAAACGATATCGAAAAAACCGCATTCAGCACAAAAAACGGTCATTATGAGTTCTTACGCATGCCTTTTGGTTTGAAGAACGCGCCGGCTACATTCCAAAGAGTTAGGGATGATATTCTATATCCCAATATATTGAGCAACTTTAACACCGAAAGATGGAACATCCCATCAATAATTGTAATTCATTATAAGTACAAGGGAAAAAAAGTATCAGATTTTAGAACGCGATGTGGTTTCCCTCCTGTAGCGAAGAGGAGGGAGAGAACAGCAAGGTGGCCAAAGAGCGCTGGAAATGCTGGAGGTGGAACAGGGGAAATCGTTATCTTTCGTTCTCTATTGACTCTATTTAACCTTAGAGTTTTTGTAGACATTCCATTCTATTGCATTAAAATTGAATTGGCCTGTGTTGACCTGTCAAACTTGTATATAGGTAGGTAGTTTATTTTTTGGCCATGCCATTAGCTTATTTATTTATAAGTTTGTTTCGTGCCATAAGTTGAGTTTTTTTCAATTTGTTTCGAATGAAAATGAGGCATCATAGCGAGGGAGTGTGTTGATTTCAGTTCATAAACCTAAGTAACGTTCTACTATAAATCTTTATCAAAATTTGTTGAAATAGCCGCATTGCCGCTTGCCCTTATTATTAGAAGTCCCAAAAATATCGTGAAAGACCCAAAAATTCGCAGCTGCGGCGCTTTTTTTCATGCGGCGAAGTTACGTCACTGCTGTAAGGATTACTTCCTGCAAATTTGCTCCTTCCCGCCAACACCAAATCCTGACTTTGCAAATGGTGCTGTCGAAGCCAAAAAAAGAGGAAAGTTAGGAGTGTAGCATATTGTATGTTTGGTTGCATACTTTCTATAGCCGAGCTGCCGAAGATGTACGAATTTCAATAATATGAAGGAACCTGCGGGGAAAATCAATGATCCAGCGTGGCGATCCTGTAGTGGGTATCTGTCAACTGGTCCCATTTAAGTCTATGTTGGCCATTTGCACCGCTATCACTTAAGGGATATTTGATTTAGGTGGAGCTTTGGAAAGTGACTTTTGTTTCTACAAGAGTCACATTCAAAGCTCCACTTGGATTAAATATCCCTTAAGTTATAGCGGTGCAAATGGGCGTGTGTCTAGTAGCTTAGTCCTTTCTGTCTAATTATTTCTACTTATGTTAATTTGTAATATTTCGAGAAAATAGACCCATAAATCACAATGTCTTTACTGTAAAAATTTAATAAATGTCAAATAATCAAAAACAGAATTTCCGGTATCTCCAAATCAGTATCAATAAATTGAAAAGGGAACAAATTAACGTTTAATATTATATTAGGGGTTACGTCATCAAGCCGGTGTCATCTCCTAAATCAATGAACTTGAAAGAGCGAGGCCAAGTAATTATAAATGATTTATGGCATTCTTGAACCAAAAAAAAAAAAAGATATATTGACCTCGATAAATTAGGATATTGCGACATAATTATTCGATTCTTTTAAACTAAGAATGATGAAAATTTCAAGGAAATTGCATCATTATTTTTAATAATATTTAAGTCGGCCAATGGAATTCGGATTGCTAGGCAAACTACCGCCTATTGACTATTTGGGGGATAATTGATAATACTTTACGGGGGGATCGATTTAATATAAATACCGCGGTTTTAGAAGTGGAAGAGAGTTGTCAGTTGAGTTGCCAGTTGTTAGCAGTTTCAGTCCAGACCAGTTTGAGTTAATGAGTCAGTTGGGTTGAAATTCGCGGAAAGTTCTTATTAAGGCCTCGGAAAACGCGTTTGATTTTAACTTGAAAAAGTAGCGGAAAAATTAAATTCGTCAACATTTATGTGCGTGCTAGCTAAAAATTTGGAGTAATTAATTAAGTAATTTTACTTGTGCAAAGTTAAATGTAAGTACTTTAGTGTTTAATAATTTTCTGACTTTTATCAATGATTCTGAATGATAAGAAGTGAACCAACATGACTTATAATGCCTAAAAACTTGAGTGATTTTTACTAGAAAAACCTTTTGACTTTATAAACTTGAGTGATTCTACTAGGAAAACTTTTTGTCTTTATAACCAACTGTGGAACTTTATTGCATAAATATTAATAACTCGAGTGTTTTATAAATGGAACATTATTGCATAACTTTAATTGCCTTCAAATATAATGACATTCTAATTTAATTTTGCACCAACAATATGAAGGGAATTTATAATGCAACATAAAAAGTATCGAATTTGAGTAGGGATTATTAAAGAATTTTGAATTGGATTGAAGATTAAGGGCTATAGTAACGAACTAATAAGAATTTAAATAATTTTGTATGTTAGCCAGGATGGCGAAAAATAGTTATTGTTCTAATTAAATGGAATAGAAAATTTTGAAAAGAAACTTGATGTTCATGAAATAGAATTATCTTAAAATATTGGAAAGTTGTTAAAGGAAATTATTGTTCATGAAATGAATTTTGAGTTAGGTTTTTTATTTTTCAAATAGAAATTAATGTAAGGTGTTATAAGAATAAGATAGTAATACCTATATTAATAAACAAATAGGTAATTATTTTGGGTTTTTCATAAGCAATCAGTAAAGGACTTAGAAATTTTAAAGAATTTATATAATTAGGTGAAGGGTAGTTTATTAGGAATGAATCGGAAGTGTTGAAATGAGTTAACTTATAAGTTATTAGGAATAGTAGGAATAGGGCATTTCTTATTTAGTAGGGATATTTCAGTGGTCCGTAATAATAACAATTTTAGAACGGATGTGAAGTAATTAATTTTATAGAAATAAATGAGGCTGTCAGAATTGGAAGATATTTGGCTGAATAAAAATTTTTGGTTTTATGTATAATGAAATATAATTTAGTACACCTCAATAGTTTGTTTCTCTCTCTTGCAAATAGACCCTTCCACAGATTTAGGTAGCAGCTCCAAGTAAATAAACACCATCAATATACCGCTCGCCATTTACCATCTAACTAATTACATAGAGTACTTGGGGCGTTTTGCTACAAATTGTTGGAGCCCAAGCTCCCATAGTAATTTTGAAATTCCGGCGCCTATGTTTCCATAAGCGAATCTCCGCTTTTCCATAGTAGAAAAACAATGGAAAATATCAATTTCTTTACTATTGTGACAAAGAAAATAGACTTTCGGTGTCTGAACTGAACATAAATCTTTCATAATAGGAAATTGCTGGGTTGATTTTGTTAGGAACGCACAAGGACATCTCATAAAAGCAATTGCAAAAAAATTCAAAGACAAAAATCATGATTTACAGAGAAAATGTCTTTCATAGCAACAATTCCCAATATCCAGAAACAAAAATCAAGTTGGTATTCATTTACTAGAATAAGATTCTCTGACTCTTTTCCCTATGACAACAATAACTTAAACCTGCAAATTTTGACTCAAATACTTACATCGACATGATAATGATGAGCCTGTTGTTTATCGCCTTCATGATCGAACAACTCGCCCAATTTCTGTAAAGCCTTCGCGTCGGTAGGTGCCAGCCCTAAAAGTTGCTGGTAAGTATCGGTAGCAGCTTCAACGTCCCCAATCAGCTCCAGCAAGTTGGCCACTTGGCAAACTACAGCTGGAAGCAGCGCCAAAGACCCAGCGAAGCGTTGGAAACAAGACAACGCTTCGACGTAGTGACCTTGCCGTTTCAGGCACAAGCCCAAATTGAAAATGGCTTCGAAGTGGTTTGAATCTAAGGCCAAGGCTTTTTGGAAGCTTTGGATGGCTTTGTCCAGGTGGTTTTTGGCCATCAGGCAAGCTCCAAAGTTTACGTAGCCGTTTGCGTTGGGGGTTTTGCAGTTTTCCACCGTTTGGCTGTATTGTAAGGCTGTATCATAATCGCCTTGCTATAAATGTTTTAAATTATAATAGAGCTTCAAATAAAACTTGACAGCATTTTACCAAATAATAAATGAAGCTTAAATTTGTAGCAGCATTTAAAGCTATCTCAGAATCTCTTTCGAAAGCTTTTAGAGTTTCGATAGCTTGGGGTAGCTGGTTTTGCTTCAAGAACATTACGGCTTTGTTTATTTCCAAATCTGAAGCCAAAGGAGCGTATTGGGAGTTTTTGATTAAAGACACGCACCAATCATAGCCTTTGTCAAGACTTTCTTCGACAAATGGAGCTATCAATTTGGCAGAGGTAAGAATACAATATTCTGCATCTTTTTTCTTGGCCATTTCGTACTTATGCAAATCGTCGTTTTGGATGGCCAAAGCTAATAAGGCGTCTTCGGGATTATCCTGAAAATTAGATTATCATTATCATGACTAAATTGTTTCTGACTCACCTGCTCTAAATTATATTTATCTTCGTCTTCGATATCCATAGGAACGGAAAGTAAAAGCATGAAAGCAGTCCTCATTCTGTCTTGGTCTTCCAAAGCCCTACAACAAACGACTAAATGCAATCCGGCCCTATGACAGGCCTGTTCGCTCATTATGAATTCCAAACTGTTAACGGCTTCTTCCCATTGGCCCATTTTAACAAACACCATAGCAATGTTGTGCATTATTTTGATCCTAAAACATTTTCCATATGACTCATTCCACAGAGGTACTTTGAGATTTTTTACCGTAAATTTTTCTGGCTAGAAGGTACTTGATCCAAAGCCATCCGATACATTTTGACTGCCGTTTGAAAGTGGCCTTGTTTGAAGAAAATATTGCCCATGTTTACCTTTAAACGGTAAGCATTGGCGAACATGCGATTTTTTGTAATCATTTGGTAAGTGTTTAAGGCTTCAGTGTAAAGTTCATTGGATGCATATTGATTTGCCAGATTGAAGAGAACCTATGGTAAGTATACATTGGAACATGGAAACAGTTCAATTCGATTTCTGTGAAGTTTCAATTTACAATTAGAAGATACAAAAGTTTATTAGGTACTTGCTAAAACTATAAGGGTTCCAGTTATCATAGCGAGTTGAAACTTTCAGGATTTATTAAATGGGGTTTCTGCATCATCCAAAACAAGTTGGAAGTTGATATGGAACTCACAACTCAAGTTACTAATTTTTTCTCCCATTAATGTTTGAAAATATCATGAAATTCCAATAAAATCACCTATGAGGGTTCCTGAAAAATACTTTCAGGTATCATAGCATCTTGAAACTTTCAAAATTAATTGATTGGAGTTTTTTCATTATAGAAAACAAATTTGAAGTTGATATGAAACTCACAACTGAAGTTACGAATTTTTTCTCTCAATAATGTTTAAAAATATAAAATTCCAATAAAATCACCTATGAGAGTTCCTGAAAAATACTTTCAGGTATCATAATAGCATCTTGAAACTCTCAAAATTTATTGATTGAAGTTTTTTCATTATAGAAAATAAATTTGAAGTTGATATGAAACTCACAACTGAAGTTACGAATTTTTTTTTCATTAATGTTTAAAAATATCATAAAATTCCAATAAAATCGCCTATGAGGGTTCCTGAAAAATACTTTCAGTTATCATAGCATCTTGAAACTTTCAAAATTTATTGATTAGAGTTTTTCCATTATAGAAAATAAATTTGAAGTTGATATGAAACTCACAACTGAAGTTACGAATTTTTTCTCTCATTAATGTTTAAAAATATCATAAAATTCCAATAAAATCACCTATGAGGGTTCCTGAAAAATACTTTCAGGTATCATAGTATCTTGAAACTTCCAAAATTTTTTGATTGGAGTTTTTTCATTATAGAAAACAAATTTGAAGTTGATATGAAACTCACAACTGAAGTTACGAATTTTTTCTCTCAATAATGTTTAAAAATATAAAATTCCAATAAAATCACCTATGAGAGTTCCTGAAAAATACTTTCAGGTATCATAATTGCATCTTGAAACTCTCAAAATTTATTGATTGAAGTTTTTTCATTATAGAAAACAAATTTGAAGTTGATATGAAACTCACAACTGAAGTTACGAATTTTTTCTCTCATTAATGTTTGAAAATATTATAAAATTCTAATAAAATTACCTATGAGGGTTCCTGAAAAATACTTTCAGGTATCATAGCATCTTGAAACTTTCATAATTTATTGATTAGAGTTTTTCCATTATAGAAAATAAATTTGAAGTTGATATGAAACTCACAACTGAAGTTACGAATTTTTTCTCTCAATAATGTTTAAAAATATAAAATTCCAATAAAATCACCTATGAGAGTTCCTGAAAAATACTTTCAGGTATCATAGCACCTTGAAACTTTCAAAATTTATTGATTGGAGTTTTTTCATTATAGAAAATAAATTTGAAGTTGATATGAAACTCACAACTGAAGTTACGAATTTTTTCTCTCAATAATGTTTAAAAATATAAAATTCCAATAAAATCACCTATGAGAGTTCCTGAAAAATACTTTCAGGTATCATAATAGCATCTTGAAACTTCCAAAATTTTTTGATTGGAGTCTTTTCATTATAGAAAACAAATTTGAAGTTGATATGAAACTCACAACTGAAGTTACGAATTTTTTCTCTCATTAATGTTTAAAAATATCATAAAATTCCAATAAAATCACCTATGAGAGTTCCTGAAAAATACTTTCAGGTATCATAATAGCATCTTGAAACTTCCAAAATTTTTTGATTGGAGTCTTTTCATTATAGAAAACAAATTTGAAGTTGATATGAAACTCACAACTGAAGTTACGAATTTTTTCTCTCATTAATGTTTAAAAATATCATAAAATTCCAATAAAATCACCTATGAGGGTTCCTGAAAAATACTTTCAGGTATCATAGTATCTTGAAACTTCCAAAATTTTTTGATTGGAGTTTTTTCATTATAGAAAACAAATTTGAAGTTGATATGAAAGTCACAACTGAAGTTACGAATTTTTTCTCTCAATAATGTTTAAAAATATAAAATTCCAATAAAATCACCTATGAGAGTTCCTGAAAAATACTTTCAGGTATCATAATTGCATCTTGAAACTCTCAAAATTTATTGATTGAAGTTTTTTCATTATAGAAAACAAATTTGAAGTTGATATGAAACTCACAACTGAAGTTACGAATTTTTTCTCTCATTAATGTTTGAAAATATTATAAAATTCTAATAAAATTACCTATGAGGGTTCCTGAAAAATACTTTCAGGTATCATAGCATCTTGAAACTTTCATAATTTATTGATTAGAGTTTTTCCATTATAGAAAATAAATTTGAAGTTGATATGAAACTCACAACTGAAGTTACGAATTTTTTCTCTCAATAATGTTTAAAAATATAAAATTCCAATAAAATCACCTATGAGAGTTCCTGAAAAATACTTTCAGGTATCATAGCACCTTGAAACTTTCAAAATTTATTGATTGGAGTTTTTTCATTATAGAAAATAAATTTGAAGTTGATATGAAACTCACAACTGAAGTTACGAATTTTTTCTCTCAATAATGTTTAAAAATATAAAATTCCAATAAAATCACCTATGAGAGTTCCTGAAAAATACTTTCAGGTATCATAATAGCATCTTGAAACTTCCAAAATTTTTTGATTGGAGTCTTTTCATTATAGAAAACAAATTTGAAGTTGATATGAAACTCACAACTGAAGTTACGAATTTTTTCTCTCATTAATGTTTAAAAATATCATAAAATTCCAATAAAATCACCTATGAGAGTTCCTGAAAAATACTTTCAGGTATCATAATAGCATCTTGAAACTTCCAAAATTTTTTGATTGGAGTCTTTTCATTATAGAAAACAAATTTGAAGTTGATATGAAACTCACAACTGAAGTTACGAATTTTTTCTCTCATTAATGTTTAAAAATATCATAAAATTCCAATAAAATCACCTATGAGGGTTCCTGAAAAATACTTTCAGGTATCATAGTATCTTGAAACTTCCAAAATTTTTTGATTGGAGTTTTTTCATTATAGAAAACAAATTTGAAGTTGATATGAAAGTCACAACTGAAGTTACGAATTTTTTCTCTCAATAATGTTTAAAAATATAAAATTCCAATAAAATCACCTATGAGAGTTCCTGAAAAATACTTTCAGGTATCATAATTGCATCTTGAAACTCTCAAAATTTATTGATTGAAGTTTTTTCATTATAGAAAACAAATTTGAAGTTGATATGAAACTCACAACTGAAGTTACGAATTTTTTCTCTCATTAATGTTTGAAAATATTATAAAATTCTAATAAAATTACCTATGAGGGTTCCTGAAAAATACTTTCAGGTATCATAGCATCTTGAAACTTTCATAATTTATTGATTAGAGTTTTTCCATTATAGAAAATAAATTTGAAGTTGATATGAAACTCACAACTGAAGTTACGAATTTTTTCTCTCAATAATGTTTAAAAATATAAAATTCCAATAAAATCACCTATGAGAGTTCCTGAAAAATACTTTCAGGTATCATAGCACCTTGAAACTTTCAAAATTTATTGATTGGAGTTTTTTCATTATAGAAAATAAATTTGAAGTTGATATGAAACTCACAACTGAAGTTACGAATTTTTTCTCTCAATAATGTTTAAAAATATAAAATTCCAATAAAATCACCTATGAGAGTTCCTGAAAAATACTTTCAGGTATCATAATAGCATCTTGAAACTTCCAAAATTTTTTGATTGGAGTCTTTTCATTATAGAAAACAAATTTGAAGTTGATATGAAACTCACAACTGAAGTTACGAATTTTTTCTCTCATTAATGTTTAAAAATATCATAAAATTCCAATAAAATCACCTATGAGAGTTCCTGAAAAATACTTTCAGGTATCATAATAGCATCTTGAAACTTCCAAAATTTTTTGATTGGAGTCTTTTCATTATAGAAAACAAATTTGAAGTTGATATGAAACTCACAACTGAAGTTACGAATTTTTTCTCTCATTAATGTTTAAAAATATCATAAAATTCCAATAAAATCACCTATGAGGGTTCCTGAAAAATACTTTCAGGTATCATAGTATCTTGAAACTTCCAAAATTTTTTGATTGGAGTTTTTTCATTATAGAAAACAAATTTGAAGTTGATATGAAAGTCACAACTGAAGTTACGAATTTTTTCTCTCAATAATGTTTAAAAATATAAAATTCCAATAAAATCACCTATGAGAGTTCCTGAAAAATACTTTCAGGTATCATAATTGCATCTTGAAACTCTCAAAATTTATTGATTGAAGTTTTTTCATTATAGAAAACAAATTTGAAGTTGATATGAAACTCACAACTGAAGTTACGAATTTTTTCTCTCATTAATGTTTGAAAATATTATAAAATTCTAATAAAATTACCTATGAGGGTTCCTGAAAAATACTTTCAGGTATCATAGCATCTTGAAACTTTCATAATTTATTGATTAGAGTTTTTCCATTATAGAAAATAAATTTGAAGTTGATATGAAACTCACAACTGAAGTTACGAATTTTTTCTCTCAATAATGTTTAAAAATATAAAATTCCAATAAAATCACCTATGAGAGTTCCTGAAAAATACTTTCAGGTATCATAGCACCTTGAAACTTTCAAAATTTATTGATTGGAGTTTTTTCATTATAGAAAATAAATTTGAAGTTGATATGAAACTCACAACTGAAGTTACGAATTTTTTCTCTCAATAATGTTTAAAAATATAAAATTCCAATAAAATCACCTATGAGAGTTCCTGAAAAATACTTTCAGGTATCATAATAGCATCTTGAAACTCTCAAAATTTATTGATTGAAGTTTTTTCATTATAGAAAATAAATTTGAAGTTGATATGAAACTCACAACTGAAGTTACGAATTTTTTCTCTCATTAATGTTAAAAAATATCATAAAATTCCAATAAAATCACCGATGAGGGTTCCTGAAAAATACTTTCAGTTATCATAGCGAGTTGAAACTTTTAGAATTTACTAATTGGAGTTTTTTTATTATCGAAAACAAGTTTGAAGTTGATATGAAACTCACAACTAAAGTTAGGACTTTTTTATCTCATTTATGTTTAAAAATATAAAATTCCAATAAAATCACCTATGAGGGTTCCTGAAAAATACTTTCAGTTATCATAGCCACTCGAAACTTTGAGGATCTAATAATTGAAGTTTTCGCATCATCCAAAACAACTTGGAAGTTGATATGCAACTCACAACTAAAGTCACGAATTTTTTCTTTCATTAATGTTTGAAAAATTCATAAATTTTCTGTAAAATCACATATAAAGCTTCCTGAAAAATACTTTAAGCCATCGTAGCAACCTGAGCTTTCAGGATTTAATATTTGTAGTTTTCGCTTCATCCAAAACAACTAGGAAGTTGATATGGAAGTCAAAACTGAAGTTATGAATTGTTTGAAATGATGTTTGAAAAATTCATGAAATTCCTGTAATATGTTATCTAAATAGGGATCTTGCTTGAAAAACAAAATGCTCTATGAGCGTCTCAGATATGGACTCAATATACAAAGTTAGAAACTTTTGAAATTATGAAGATTTTACATCAGGATTGAATAAAGCTTCTTGTATAGATTATAATGATTCTTACCGCAAAAGTAAGATCAATATTATGATGATTACCAAGTCCATTTTGCTCTTGCATCTTAATAAGGCTCCTCTCTTTGTGCGAAGCTTCTTTGGCCTTAGTCAAGGCCTTTTTAGGCTCCCCTTCACTTTGAGCCACGCACGCTTCTTCAACCAATTGCATAATCCTAATCTCTTGTTGCCGCATCTTTTCTTCGGGCCTGAAACTCAAAAGTTCAATAATCTAATTCCAAAATCACCCAAAACAACTCATCAAACGAATCATCCTTTTGCAATTCCAACGGTGGAGTTTGTAGATTTGCCTGGTTGAGAGGATCAAAGGGTTTATTAGTTCCAGAAGTGTAGCCTGCGCCCCTTACAGCAGTCATGGGCCTGTTGACCGTGTCGGAACCGGTTTGCGGCCGGAAACCGGTCAACGGTTTGCCAGATCCTGGTTTTTTAAAGTTTGTTGTCGGTTTGAAACCTGTACCAGCTCTGCTATAGCCTGTGTTGGGTTTAAATGGGGTTTTAGGCAAAGCCGATGGTTGTCGTTGAAACTAGAAGTTTGCAAATTTAGTTTGGATGATTGTTACAATATCAAACTTACTTCTGTAGAGGCTCCGATGTGCATTATTGGTTTCGGAGTCGATAATCTAGAGTCGGTTTTGAACTTTAGAGTTTTATTTGTTAGTGGCATCATTTCGTTTGGCGAATCGTTGCCTTCAAACGTTTTTGAGAGGTCTAGAACTTCGGCTGTAGCCATTTTTACGAGAAAAATTAGTTTGTTTGAAGATTGGAAAAGTTACAATACAAACATTGAGCGTAGTATTGAGGGCGCATGAGCCTAGTTGTTTTGCCATTTATTTGTATTGTTCTATAAGATATTCAATTACATTTATAATCAATAGACAATAGTTATTAAAAAAAAATTGATTAATATGTCAAATTTTTGAATTTGGTGGAAATATGATGATGATGTTTCTTTTATGGAAACGGTACATGCCCTTGTCGAAATGTTTCCGGTAGGGAAAATATTTTATTTCCAATCTTTTTTTTAACAGGCTGTTAGAAAGAGCTAGAAATACACTAGTGCAAATTAAATATTCCAATCATAAACGCCATTATGATATCAAGGCTAACATCATTTTTTAAATAATTCATATGACGTCACTAGTAGGCCAATCTCACGCACAATCCCAACCCATTTCAACTAATATCAAGAACAAAATTAATACACAAAAACTATGTATCATATATATTTATTTTCAACCATCATAAAAATAATATCTCGCATTCTTTGGCAATATTCCTCGCTGAATTCCTCGTCCTTCCAAAACTGGTCCATAAGATTTTGACCTCCTTCGGTCATTTCCACGAAACTTTTGGCATCTTTTTCGTCTTTTAAAAAAGCTTGCAGCATGCCCACGCTCATAAAAACCCCAATTTTCGCAAATTTTTCCCAGTGCTCTTGCAGCAATTTAAAAGGAAATATTGCTTGGGCATTACACCCAACGCTTTCCAGATTTTCTTGTATTGTTTTATAATAGAGCTGCAAATAAATTCTATGGTCATCTAAAATTGGTTTGGAGGCGGCACTAAAAAAGTAGTAGAAAAGATCTGATACTGGACTAGCTATTTTGGATATTTGCCAGTCAAGAAAACACATAGACAGATTGTTTGGGTCCTAAAATATTACAAACTTTTTAGCAAAAACATCTTGTAAACCTACTGCTTACTTCATATTTAAACATCATATTATTGCACCAAGCATCACCATGCACGATTACCAAGCGATTTTTTTCATCTTCTAAATCTTCAAGAGTTTTATGAAATTCTTGTTTATATTCCGTGATAGCTTTAGTTGCTTTAGGATTGTCTTTAACCAATTTCAAAGCTATGTCAAAGGTGATTCCGAAACTTTTCCGGAAAGAGTCCATTACGTTTTTATTTTTCATAAAATAATCATCAAGGTTTTTGATTAGGTGTTGATATGTATCTGGTTCTAATTGTTTCATAGCTGAAATAGATTATGTATGTAGAATTAATTATTATATTGATTAAATCATTTTTACCTAAAGATACTGAATGTAATTTTCCTAATTCTTTCATTACAAGTGCAATATGTTTTTCATCCATAGTTTTTTTTCTATTTAACATCTTGAAACCTTGATCTTTAATGTTTTCCATTAATAAAAACTCTTTGTTTTTTTCCAAAGATGATCCAAGAAGTTTTATAAAAGCTTTAAAAGGGTATTTCATGTTATACTTTTTTTGAAATTCTTCAAAAGTTGGTAATACTGTTTGATACAAAAATACTTCCCTTTCATAAGCGTCGTGTATGGGCATTTGTTTGCGCACTTCTTCGTTACTTTCCGCGCACTTCAAAATAAAACATTTTTTTAAATTTTCATCATTTTCCTTTACAGTTATCAAGAAAATGTTACCCAAATAGTTGTCGCCTTTGTTCGAACCTTGTTCTACTGTAATAGAAAAATTTTCGAAACCATTTTTCTTCGATATTTGTTCTACAAGGGCGGTTTGTTCGTCGGTTAACATATTGACAATTAACTATGTTAATCATAGGGAAGATTAAAATTGACTGCAATTCAAGGTTAATGATAATTCTAGTAGTTGAAAAGTTTTCCGAAAAAAAAAATGCATTTAGAGTGCTTTTATTAGTCAGAGGACAAATGTTTTTTTTTGACAAAATTGAATATTCATTTACTAATATCAGGTATACAAAAAGTATTCACCCAAATCATAGAAATGATAGAAAAGTTTAAAATTATCAACAATAAATTAATTGCACATGCAATTACTACATATTAATATCGACATGAGTGCGGAACTATTAGCGATAGATTTTTTAGAGTGGTCCTAATAATTACAGACTAATTACGTTGAAATCTGATGGAAATTAACAAAGTTGTTAGGCAAATTGTGTGTCGATGTCACGTAAACTTTGAGGCAAATTTTATTTTTCATTTGAGGAAAATATTTAAGGGAGTAGATTGAAATCTTGCTGATGGATAGATGAGCTGAAATTTTCAGTGATTGTAGTCCTCTACTGGGATATAGGAATCGTTGAAAATTTCAGCTTTCTATCTATAATAGAAAAAAAGTTATGATTTCTCAAAGTTTTCAACAATACAAATTATAAGGGAGCAGCTACCTTAGTAACTGAAATGATGAAACTTAAAATTTTTCTGTGTGAGATTTTGTGTTTAAAATAATCATTCGGGACTCCCTAAATTCTATACACTTGATTATTCCGAGGTTTCAAGCCTGAATCTATGAAAAAACGCACTCAGAAAAATTGAAAAATGATACATTTACCCCAAATTGCTTAACGCGATTTTATTCCTGAAACTATAACTCCAAATGAATTGAAATTCTCAGGGATTGTAGTCCTCTACTGAAATAAGAATCGCTGGAAATTTTAGCTTTCTATTTATAATACAAAAAAAGTTATGGGTCTTCAAAGTTTTCAAAAATCCAAATCATAATGTACATTTAGTATTAAAATGATGAAATTTCAAAATTTTTTATGTTGAGATTTTGTGTCTAAAATGATCATTTGGCACCCCCCAAACTCTATACACTTGATCATTCCGAGGTTTCAAGCCTGAATCTATGAAAACTATATTTGGTTGAGCCGTCTCCAACATATTTGGTTCTAAAAATTTTTAAAATACTATTATTTACGACTAAAGTATAATGTGCGTATTATATTTGTGATTTTGGCAGTATAATGACATATGTTATTCCTCCAGGGATTAATGACGAGTAGCGGGATAAATGGTCATTATTCCACAAAAGTGTCAGTGTCAAACGTGTAGTGCTTGTGGATTTGTATTGAAAATTATGAGACGGATGAAATTTGTTCATTGAAAATCTCAAATAAATTAATATATTAATAATGGCTATTATTCCCTCGGAATGTTACTCCCTCGCCGCTAACGCGGCTCAGTTCGTAATAATCCTCGGGAATAATAGCTATCATTATTGACTCGTCGTGGTATAATCTACTATTAGAGAAACCAAGTAAGTTACCTCAAATTTTACCTGCAGCTTTCACCTGTACAGGTAGAATGGTTCACAAAATTAGTAGTAGGATAATATTTTTACAATTTTTAAAGCGAAATATATGAGAGATTGCTCAATCAAATATAGATCGGGGCGTTGTGTTCTTCAAGAATATAGAACCAAATATAAGGCATCCGATTTGAAAAAAGCTGGAAGCATGTAAAATTTCACATTTCTGACATACAAATTTTGTTTCTGACCATGGGTTTCTAAAAATTCAGCCAAAACTGTACAACTTTTGTATTTATACCTTTCTTTTACCTGTGAAGGTAAAGGCTGTAGGTGGGGTGTCAATATATAAAAAAACACCCTGTACAAATAAGTGGATTATTGCGGAATTCATGGCTGGACCCCTGCGGGACGAGCGCAGCGAGTTCCGCAGCCATCTAATCACCAATATACTGTTGAACTGTTCAAGTAAGACATTCACCTGAAACGTGTAATTTTTAAACTAATGAGAATAACGCACATTTGAGTGAGTCAGTTTAGTATTCTAATTAAATAACATATTGATGAATAGATGGCTGCGGAACTCGCTTCGCTCGTCCCGCAGAGGTCCACCCATAAGTTCCGCAATACTCCACTCGTTTGTACTTGAATAACTTGTCACAAAGTATAACATTAATAATTCCTGTTGAAAGGCGAATTGACAAAAAATGGATATTCTTACAAATTCTGACTTTATATAATAAGTTATTTTTCAAGTACAAATAAGTGGATTGTTGCGGAACTTATCGGTGGATCCCTGCTGGACGAGCGCAGCGAGTTCCACAGCCATCTAATCACCAATATATTGTTGAACTGTTCAAGTAAGACTGTAGGAAAATTGGTATGTTATTTATTATTACATGGTATGATATATATTAATAGGCCGGAAACTTGTTGCAGTTCTTGTCAGCATTCTGGACATTCTTAGTCTATTCTAGTCATTCTAGTCAAATCTTATCTTATCTTGTAGCTCCATTAATTCATTATAAAGTTTATTTAAATTAAATTATTATGGTTTATTCAATAAATTATAAACAACCATAATTAACATGACGCAGTCGTGAGTCGAGTGAAAAAAAATAAGTTCTTGTGAGTTGAGATAAGAAATCAAGTGAAATAAGAATAACCATGGGAGATAGCAAAGGTGTGGCCCCCATGCAAATGTCTGGAAATGTTGCAGAAAATTAAAACATGTGGAGGTCTCGCTTTGAGAACTATTTAGTAGCAAGTGAAATCAATAAAAAGGACGAATCCGTCAATGTACTCAGGCTCTGCATTTCATAGGTGAAGAAAAATAATAATAGCAGAGTTAGGGAAATAGTTGAAGAAGTGAATGAAATTTAACCACTTCCTAAATAGGTACTCAGATAGTTTAGAGCAATCTATATTTATAGGTACTATTATATATGCTCAATAAATAATGAATGGATAACAAATTTAGATATAAATAACAAAAATATTAAATCAAAAACTGACACAGGCGCAATGGCAAATATAACACCTTTTAGTATTTTGAAAAGTTTAGGTTTGTCCTACGAAATTATAAATAAAACAGAAATTAAATTAAAATCATACACTGGTGATTAATTGAATGTATATTAGAGAAATGTAAATTAACATATTTTAAAAATGATGAATCATATGATTTAGAATTTTTTGTAGTAAAAGGTAATACTCCAGCAGTTTTGGGTTTGGCTGCATGTGTATCTTTAAATTTAATTAAACGAATTGATCATGCAAATTTACAAGTTGGAGAATATTCAAAGTTACTAAATTCATTTGATGATTTATAGGAACAGGGTGTATAAATCAAAAATGTTCCATCAAATTAGAAGCAAACAGTTAAGCAGTCGTTCATCCAATCAGAAGAGTAGCTTTTCCTTTAATGGAACCATTAGAGAAGTGCCTAAATGAATTAATAAACGAAAAAATTATAGAGAAAGTAGAAGGCTCTTCTGACTGGGTAAATGCATTGGTTTTGGTAAGAAAGCCAAATGCAAAATTCCTACTTTTGAGGAAATTGCTGGTGCAACAATTTTCAGTACGCTTGATGCCACAAATATCAGATACCTACCTTTGGACGAGGAGAGCTCTAAATTATGTACCTTTGGGACGCCCTTTGGTAGATTTAGAATTTTGAGGCTCCCTTATGGCGTCAAGTGTGCACCAGAAACATTTCAAGATCGGTTTAGGAATATTTTTGGAGTAATATTGAGGGTGCTGATATCTATATCGATGATATCATTACCTATATGGGGTAAAAATAAAATCGGACATGATAAAAGGTTAAAAAAAAGACAAAAAGAAATTAAATATATGAGGGGGCATGTTATTATTGTTGAAGGAATCAGTCCAGATTCTCCTAAAATTATAGCGATTTCTCAGTTACCTAGACCCAAAATTAAACAGGAAATACAACGATTGTTAAGAATGCTTACCTATGTTTATAAAAAACTTTTCTGATAAAACTGAACCTTTAAGAAGTCTTTTAAAAAAAAAAATTGAATTTATTTGGGACGAAAAGAAAGAAGAAGCATTTTCAAATTTAAAAGAAGTTCTTACTACTAAACCTGTGTTATAATTGTCTGATATAAATAAATCTACTACCATCTCGGTAGATTGATCAAAATCAGAGGTAGGGGCTCGTCAGTGAAATTGGTCAGAGTATTGAAAGTGAAGTGGAAAGAGACAGCAATAATGACATATTTTTACATCAGGATCCAAAAGATCATATACTGAATATTGATGGTGAAAATGTAATGTCTAGTCATGGTGAAAGTAGTAGTGACTATGCAGAATCTATAACTAGGAATGTTAGCAATAGTCTTAGTTCAGATTCAGATTTGGAGGAGAATTTTGTAAATAAAACATATGTAACGTCATCGGGACGAATTTCTAAACCACCTCCAAAACTGAATGAGTAGATAGTCTATAATGAGAAAGGGGGATGTAAGAAGGTTGGCATGTTATTTATTATTACATGGTGTGATATATATTAATAGGCCGGGATTTTCCCACATAACAAAATTGCATCCTTAGAATGTATTAAGAATGTTCTTTTTTTAGGAGGAATGTTCCTAGAATGTTCGCCAAAACCATTGCGAATGTCCTGAGAATGTTCTGAGAAAAGATTGTAGAAATACTGTTTGCAATACCCAAGAACTTCCTGAGAAATCCATAAGGATATTCCTAGAATATACCTATGAGATTCTCAGTACATCCTGAAAAGAATATTCTTGTGTACTTCAGATGATTGGGTGAACAATATGAAAATATTCTTATCATGGTTACCTACCTACATAAACTTCTCAGCACAACTTGGTTGGTATATTCTTAATACTTGATAGAGATATTAGCCGAAAGAACATTTTTTAGGGTACATTATAATAATGTTCGTATGATAATATTCAAAGATTGTTATACAAAGCAGGTTCTTAGAACAATCTTTCAGGTAGGTGCATAGAAGCAACATTCTTAGTACATAAATAGAACGTTCATTCACTGATGTTATGTGGGTTATTGTTGCTAGTCTATTTTAGTCAAATCTTATCTTATCTTGTAGCTCCATTATTTCATTATAAAGTTTATTTAAATTATATTATTATGGTTCACCCATAAGTTTCGCAACAAACCACTCATTTGTACCTGAGTAACTTGTCACAATATATTAGATACCTCCTAGTTTGATAAAGTAACATTATTAATTCCTGTTGAAAGGCGAATTGACAAAAAGTGGATAATATTACAAATTCTGACATTATATGATAAGTTATTTTTCAAGTACAAATAAGCGGAATGTTGCGGAACTTATGGGTGGACCTCTGCGGGACGAGCGCAGCGAGTTCCGCAGCCATCTACTCACCAATATATTGTTGAACTGTTCAAGAAAGACATTTACCTGAAACGTGAAATTTTTAAACTGATGAGAATAACACACATTTGAGTAAGTCAGTTTAGTATCGTAATTAAACAACATATTGATGAATAGATGGCTGCGGAACTCGCTGCGCTCGTCCCGCAGAGGTTCACCCATAAGTTTCGCAACAAATCACTCATTTGTACTTGAATAACTTGTCACAATATATTAGATACTAGTTTGATAAAGTAACATTATTAATTCCTGTTGAAAGGCGAATTGACAAAAAGTGGATAATATTACAAATTCTGACTTTATATAATAAGTTATTTTTCAAGTACAAATAAGCGGAATGTTGCGGAACTTATGGGTGGACCTCTGCGGGACGAGCGCAGCGAGTTCCGCAGCCATCTACTCACCAATATATTGTTGAACTGTTCAAGAAAGACATTTACCTGAAACGTGAAATTTTTAAACTAATGAGAATAATACACATTTGAGTAAGTCAGTTTAGTATCGTAATTAAACAACATATTGATGAATAGATGGCTGCGGAACTCGCTGCGCTCGTCCCGCAGAGGTCCACCCATAAGTTCCGCAACAATCCACTTATTTGTACTTGAATAACTTGTCACATTATGTTACTAGTTTGGTAAAGTAACATTACTAATTCCTGTTGAAAGGCAAATTGACAAAAAGTGGATAATCTTACAAATTCTGATTTTATATAATAAGTTATTGTTCAAGTACAGGGTGTTTTTTTATATATTGATACCTCACCTACAGCCTTCACCTTTACAAGTGAAAGGTGTAAATACAAAAGTTGTACAGTATTGGCTAAATTTTTAGAATCCATCCATGGTCAGAAACAAAAATTGAATGTCAGAAATGTGAAATGTTGCATGCTTTCAGCTTTTTTTAAATGGGATGTCTTATATTTGGTTCTATATTCTTGAAGAACATAATTTCCCGATTCCAAAACTATATATAGTTTGTCTATATTTGGTTCAGCCGTCTCCAACATATTTGGTTCTAAAAATTTTGAAAATACTATCAGAGAAACTAAGTACCTACCTCAAATTTTACCTGCAGCTTTCACCTGTTTAGGTAGAATGGTTCACAAAATCAGTAGTAGGATAGTATTTTTACAATTTTTGTAGCCGAATATATGAGAGACTGTTCAATCAAATATATACAAACTACATATTTTTGAAGAATATTGAATGAAATATAGGGCAGCCCATTTGAAAAAAAAGCTGGAAGCATGGAAAATTTCACATTTCTGACATTCAAATTTTGTTTTTGACCATGGTTTCTAAAAGCTCAGCCAAAATTGTACAACTTATGTATTTACACCTTGCTTTTACCTGTAAAGGTAAAGGCTGTAGGTGGGGTGTCAATGTATAAAAAAACACCCTGTACCTACCTATTTAAAATCACCTTATTCTCCTAAATAGTTCCCCCATTCCCATATTTTTATGGGCCATTCCTTCGGAAAACCGTATCTTACACAATGTGCTACCAAAACTTAACCAAACTAACCCAATCTGGCTTACTTTAACTTAAACTGCCCTCCCTTTCAAAAGGCCTGTATCCGCTCCTGGAAAAAAGGCTCTCAGAAAAATTGAAAAATGATAAATTTACCCCAAATTGCTTAACGCGATTTTATTTCTGGAACTATATAAGTCCAAATGAGCTAAAATTTTCAGGGATTGTAGTCCTCTAAACTTTGACTGGGATAAGAATCGCTGAAAATTTCAGCTTTCTATCTATGTATGTATATGTATATTAATATGTGCTAAAAACCAAATAGAATAAACGAAGTTTCAATATGTACAAACTAGAATTTAACATTGTGAAAATGACTTTCCAAATCTTTTAAAGTATATTGAGTAGATATTGGATGAGTTTTATTAAAAGATTTGGCATTAAGCAATAATGTAAAGTAAATAATTCTCCTAATAATTATTTGTAATTGTCTCTTTGAGAGTACCTACAGGAAATATAATGTTGATATTCCAACCGATAATATCAGTTATTTGTCTTTTAGGCACTTCAACTAGATATTTGATAAGTTAAAATCTATATAAATTATTGTACCGGTTGTGATATTTAAGTATTTTTTTTTTTAATAAGCCTAAGCAATGGGATCCTTATATGTTTTAGTCTTTTGTATTTTTGGGTAAGTGCCAATGATTCATAATTTCAAAGTTCTCTGGATTTTATGAATTATTTACATGATGCGAAACTTTTAGGATGTTAATAGTCATGAGCTGATTCAAATTGATTTTTTAGGGTTTCAACCTCAGTCGCTTACCTCAACAGCAAACCTTTCCCACCCAGTTTCAAATTCGGCGTTTCCACTTCGGCCTATCAAATCGAAGGAGCCTGGAACCAAGGCGGTAGAACACCGAGCGTCTGGGACAATTTTATCCACGAAAATCCCGAAAAAATTGCGAATAACGATACAGGAGACGTTGCCTGCGATTCCTACAATAAATATGAACAAGATGTTGATTTACTTAAAAGCATGGGAGCTCAATTTTATAGGTTGTCGATTTCGTGGACTAGAATCTTACCGTATGGTACTGCTCAAAAAATCAATCAGGAAGGAGTTGATTATTATGTAAATCTTTTAAAGGCAAGTGTTTATTATATGAAAATTGCCCAAATGCTTATTTTTTTGAGTTTAGCTTCTCAAAGAAAACAACATTGAGCCAATTGTGACATTGTACCACTGGGACTTACCAATGCCTCTACAAGAAATGGGAGGTTGGACCAATCCAGATATCATAAAATATTTTGGAGATTATGCAAGAATTTGTTACAAAGAATTTGGTCAATACGTTAAATATTGGGTAACACTTAACGAGCCACAAACTACTTGCTTTTATGGTAAGTAACTAATATTTTAAGGCAAAAAATTACAAAAATTCTTCTAGCATACTCTGACAATCCTCCCCATGTACATTTCGCGCCAGCTTACTCACTCGACGCTGAAGGCACTTACCTTTGCGCTTACACTCACGTCAAAGCCCACGCTTTGGCTTACCACATTTACGATAAAGAATTTAGAGAGCACCAACAAGGTAAAATATCGTTGTCGCTATTGGCTCGCTGGTTCGAACCCAAACCTAACGATCCTAATGGCGAACTTGCTCAAGAATTAGGCATGCAATTTCAGGTACCTATGTTATAACTAATAAATCATTTAAGCTAAATCTTTTTGTTTAGTTAGGTTTATTTGCCCATCCAATTTATAATGGTAATTGGCCCCAATTGATTATAGACAGAGTGGCTAATAGAAGTAGCATGCAAGGCTTACCTCAATCCAGATTACCAGCATTTACAAAGACTGAAATTGACTATATCAATGGCACTTATGATTGGTTTGGACTCAATTAGTAAGCCATCAAAAAACAAAATAAATTAAGTATACTTATAAAAAAAAATTCTAGTTACATTACTGCAATGGTAGAGCTCCAATATCAAGAAGACGATTTGCCAGGTAACGCCAGCTACATAGTAGATCAAGGCTTCAATTCCTATACAGATAGCTCTTGGAAAGCGAACAAGTGCAATTCAAAAATGGTACAAACTCCTTGGGGATTTAAAAACCTATTAAAATGGGTCCACGACCATTACAACCAACCGGAAATTATTGTAACTGAAAATGGTTGGTGCAACCATGAAAGTAGCTTAAATGACACTGATCGTATAGAATATGTTGGCGTAAGAATAACTAAATATGTAATGAATTTATTATTAGATTTTTATTCGTAGCTTCATTTATCGGCAATATTGGATGCCATATACGATGAGGGTGTAAATGTTACTGGTTACACTCAGTGGAGTCTTTTGGATAATTTTGAATGGCTAACAGGATATTCGTAAGGATCATATACTAATGTATAAACGTTTTGTGATAGCAAAATTATTTTTAGTGCCAAATTTGGTATAGTTTCTGTAGACTTTAATGATGAAAACAGAACAAGAACTCCTAGGGATTCGTTTTATTGGTACCGAGATGTTATTAGTACTCGAATCTTGCCTAATGTTAGCAGTGGAGCTATTGCTTTACAAATCTCACTATTTAATATTTTAGTTATTATTACTTTAATTTTTATTTAATCTGTTTAAGTACACAAACACCAAATTCGATTATAAATTTATTAACAATAATGATTAAGGCGAAATAAATAAAGTACTCAGATAATAATTATTAATTAAGAGCCGGAAAATCCTTGAACATGTTTGCGTAGGCATGCTGTGCATTATGCAACGCAATTTTCTCGTGTATGCGCTTTGAATTTTGCTCGGAATTTAACTATTATAGTCCGGGTACTTGTATTAGTTTATTAAGTTAATTTTTTTATATGGCATATTGGTTAGGCGAACCAAAAAGTCTCTAATTTCTCACTATAAATCTCTTTGACCAGTGTGTAAAGTATAAAAATTTGGCACAGTTTCATGTGCTGGGAATTATTCTACATTTAAAATTTCCTTTTAAAGTAGCGAAAATACTTGAAAGCTGATTATCATTTAATCTTAAATGTAATAAATATTTTAGTTTTGAGTTTTAATTACTTATTTCCTCTAGATAAGGTACGAAATTTCGTTCAATTGTAGACCTCGATTGGGCCTTCAAAAAAGGTTATTTGGGGCACCGAGGAATGTGTTTGAAGGTTTTCCAAATTTAAGATAAAGCATCAACTTTGAGACTCAACATCTCGAAAACTATTTACTTAAGATAAATGATATTATCTTAAAGAATATTTTTTTCTGATTAAGAATATATAAATATGCATTAGAATTTCTGATATATGTATACATACAGTTTTGTATATTTTCGTATGGTAGGTATTTTCCTGTTTCAGACTACCCCCTCAACCTTTCCATATTAGTATGAATTGATCGAGTCATGTGCGATTTTGTGAGGTAATGTCGGATGATCAACATTTTTCAGGGCAACAAAAAGCAAAAATCATTTTCAATTTTTTACAGGCTTTAAATCCCTAAAAAGAAAAATCACGGAAATGCTTGTGAGCTACTTTTCTTAGGCGCACAAATATTTATAATAAGACTCCATTTCATTTAAACAAATTATATTAGTTACAATAAACAAATTCGATATCGCTATTTCCAAATCGACTGATATCCACCAGCAGAACATTAAGACTGACTCATCCTTTTCTTGCTGATATTACCCAACCCTATATTCGCTTCATCATCTGGCATTTTTCTGTTAGGTAGGTGCAAGTAAATATTCTTCACATGCTTTTCCACTAAATTTGACCCCCTGTTTCCATTACAACAACAAAAATGAAAAAATCGAGAAAAATCAAAATTTAAATGTTTCCAAGCGATATATGCAAGGAAATTTCATTTTCAATTATTTCAAAGGGCCATATTTTGAAAACCAGAAAAGCTATCGGCACGAAATTTTGTCTAATTGGGGCTATACAAAAGGTAAGTTGAGGCACCGAGCCCTAGGGTTTTGTTATCGAAATAATCAGCTTTGAAGGTTTTCCAATATTTGAGACAAAGTTTCAACTTTGAGTCTCAAGATCTCAAAAACTATTTGAAATAAATGATTCAATCTTATTGTTTTATCTTAAAGAGCATTTAATTTTGATTAAGAATATTGTCAACTACTTAAGTAAATAAATACCACTCTGTACATCAATTTTACTAAAGTGTGTCGACGAGACAGCATTTATTTGGTATAAATACAGCGCCGAAATTCATTACCGGCAGACTAAGGCTAGTGCGAACTACCTCTAATGGGAAGCGCCCCTCTGGGAGTATTGAACGCAGCAGACTAGGTCCAGTGCAAACTACCCTTAATGGGAAACGCCCTTCTGGACCTGTCTCAAACCTAGTTTCAGTCTTCAGTCACGCCAAGTGTACAGAGGGTACATAATTAATACAGAGTGGCCCTTAAGTAGTACGTCCCTCCATAGATAAGAGACGTCATGATACCATTTCCAGGATTTTTGGTGATACTGACTCATAGCGCTACAAGCCAAGAGGTAGAAGTATCCGCCGGTGCAACCTGGAAACTCCTACCAGATACAATTTCATACGAGGGGTCAATCCCATTAACATACAGAGTACCCTGACTTGAAGAGCCTTTACAACCAACAATACTGATAGGCAGGAAGCGTCAAGAATCAGAGAAAGTAGAATGTAAGATTTTAATATATATCGAGGAAGGAATAGCATCGGCTGTAGACAAGGAATTAAGTAAGTAATATAACTAAGCACTGGAACATAACTAATCTAAGACCAAGGAAGAAGAGCAAAAGGTCAATTTCATTATCATTCGTAGCAGATGGGCTCAACCAGTGTTGCCAGGTGTGGCGCAATTGCGTCAAAGCGGCGCTTCCAAAATTGAAATGGCGCCTTGAATTTTGGAAAATGCGCCAGGCGCTCACAAGTGGCGCTTTACAGTGACGCAATAAATCACAGTAATGACAATTGCCGCCCTATTTTTGATTGGTTCTTTTAAATCCCATATGTTTATATTGGAAATAAGCAAGAATATGGCGTGGTTCACTTCTAGATTCCAATTTAAAATTAGCAAGAATATGGCGGCGAGACCTTTAGGCTTTAGGGCCAAATTTATAGTCGTTCCTTGAGTCTTCTTTGGAGTTCGTGAGTTTAGAAAGGACACATGGACACTTGCTGCAACCTTCAGAAATATATGGTAGGTTTCACATCGGAGTAGCGTCGCAAAAATACGACGTGGCAACATGCGTCGTATATTTAGATTGTTTGCGTGCTTCTTACTTCCTAGTAGCAAGTCGAACGTCGCATGCTACTTTGGTGTGGATACCCACTTAAGGTCTGAGAAAACCTCAAAAAGTAAGAAGCTACTATAAATTCGGCCCTTAGAGCCGCCATTGTTGACAAAAAAGGTGTATTGAGCCACTGTAGTTAGTAGTTTTGTTTTATTAATTTTTATTGTTACAATAAATATAACTGTATTGCCCTCGGTATTGCCTTTGTATAGCCTATAATAGTCGATGTTTGAAGCTCCCACAACTTTTTACTCCTATGGCGCTTTGGTGGCGCATGTTAAAACTGGCGCATGAAAGTTGATAATACTTGGCAACACTGGGCTCAACTGGTGTTGTGGAGTCGTAACACAACAAAAATTGGATTCTATGGTCATGGATACAGATGCCCTACGGACACGACTGGGATCAGTTACCAAAGGACTCCAATCTTCCATCAAAGCGCTGGGGGAACAATCAACATTCATGAAGCAGGAGCAAGAGGATGTAGAAAATGCTCTGAAAAAAACAGAATTTAGAAAAAAAGAGATGAGGGATTACCAAATGGAAATGAATAGCCAATTAAAACAAAATCTGGCAACTGAGCGCATGCTCATTATGGCAATATTACGAGAAAACGTAGACATATATAGTAAAATTGTTACACTTACTAAAACAATGAAGAACCAAGATATTTTTCAGTCATGTAAACACCATCATGTGCCCATAGCAGTTATAACACCATCAGTCTTGAGAAAGGACCTGGATATCTTGAACGAGGAACTTAACAAAGACTTCCATGTATTAGCAATCCGGGCAGATGACATTACCAAATACTATAAGATTCCCATTTGCGATTGTAGCTTCACAGGGCAACGATCGAACTTGTGGTCCATATAAGAATACCTACAAACAGAAGGAATCATCAATGGAAAATCTTTGAGTTAGAAACCTATACCCATTTTCCTGGCATAGTCAAACTTGCATCATCGAACATGACACACTATACATGGCTATAGCTGACGGGAACAATACTAGGCAAATTAGGGGCACAGGGTTACATCTATGCAGCCCATATGAGAACAAAATATGTTACTTACCAAGATTTTCAGGAGATACCCTCCCGGGACCATCATGCGCTCCAAAACTTTTCCAACTTTCCATTGTCCAATGAGCTGCCACTGATCTGAGCTCCTTGTGATCACGGAAATCGGCGACGATCAGTTCATCATTACCCATCCGCAAAAAGGCACAATAGTAGAATGCCCGGACAAGATTCTTGAAGGACCACCACGCAGAGCAACCGGGGGCCCTTAAAATCTTTATACCATGCCAATGTCAGCTGAAAATAGACAACAAAGTAATTATTCCAAAGAGATTCCCATGCCTGGACGAAATTAAAGAATTAGAAATACAGCATTTGGTACCTGCAGCATGGACAAACCTTAAGTAATTTGTGTTAAATCCACTTCTAGCACCACTTCCAGTTAAATTCAGTAATATGCAGAAGGAATGTATTAATCAAAATTGGTCCCTCACAATTCCTCATGGAAACTTGACTTCTAATAAGGAATTTCTAAAAGCCAAGACAGCTGAGAAATTGGAGAAAGTACAGGAACAATAGTACCACCAATAACTTACCTACCATTGGATCACGGAGAGCCACAGCATAATGGTTATCTGGAACACAATGTTATCCATAGCATTACTCTATATGATTTTCCAAAGAAGCGCCTATGCCATGGCCACAATATTTACGCCAACGAGAAGTCAGAACAGGGGCCACCCAGTGGAACACGATGCACTTTTTTACGTCACATGCAGCCTATTTGCAATATGCTCAGGTTATGTAGCAATCAAGATGTATAAATACTTACGTTTAATTAAAAAAACAGAGGAACCAGAACACTATGAAAAATTTGGCCAACCAAACACGAACCCCAAGGAAGCATAAACGTTATGGTACCTACCTGGACTATTTACTGTCTGTAAGAAGACGCGTCTGGTTAGACGGCAAAACCCAACCCGTGACGGGATCTCCTCTGACGCACCACAGTTTTTATCCATTTTTAGTAATTGCATCGCCCCTATTCATTTTCGCTATTTTTGTATTATATTGTATTGTATTGTATTTTATTGGTTGTATTGTATTTTATATTGTATTGTATTTTATTGTTTGTTTATATTGTATTGTAATTCTATTAGGTATCTTGTAATTTTTTTTTTTTTTTTGATGTCTCTTCTACAAGCATTGGTGGCCAATGCTTTTGAGAGGGGGGTATATGTCAACTACTTAAGTAAATACCACTCTGTACATCAATTTTACTAAAGTGTCAGCATTTATTTGGTATAAATACAGCGCCGAAATTCATTACCGGCAGACTAAGGCTAGTGCGAACTACCTCTAATGGGAAAAGCCCTTCTAACTAAGTCTCCTCCCAGTGCAAACTACCTTTAATGGGAAACGCCCTTCTGGACCTTTCTCAAACCTGGTTTCAGTCTTCAGTCACGCCAAGTTTATAGAGGGTACATAATTAATACAGAGTGGTCCTTAAGTAGTACGTCCCTCCGTAGAAGAGACGTCATGATACCATTTCTAGGGTTATAACTATTATTATTAATCAATACACATCTTATTATACCTACCAAGCGAGTTTCTCTCTACCTGAACCCCACCTACGCCCCCAAGTCACGCTCCTGTTGTGACGTCCCAGGACGAAACGTATAGGGGTTGTGACAATATGTAAATAGGCATTAAAATTTGTCAGGTATTAATTGGGTTATGGAGCGATTTTGTGAATCAATGCAAGGACTAAATGAATAAATACATTTCACAAAAATCACAAATTTTATTCAACTAAACAAATTAGGCTTAACCCCATGTAAAAATTGTACAATATCCCCCTCATCGCCCTTATTTTCATACTTCAAAAGCACCATTTTTATTTCATCTAAACTCTCAATTTCCTCTTTTAGCTTTATCATGGTTTCATGTTTTAACACTAGCTGAGTATCTTGTCCAATTTTTCTAGCTAAACTATTGCCGAAAGGTTTGAAGCTGTAACGTCCCAAAGACATGTCAAAAAATTCGTGAGCTCGAATAGTCCTTTGGAAAAACGTGTCTGACTCTTGAATGGTTTTGAGGCTCAACGAAAAATTGTCTGTGATTTGAATTTTGACTTTGTCGAATACAATTGACGGAAGTTTATTAGCTATATCGTCTACGTTTACGAAAAAATCTAATGTTCTATAATATCTTAAAGATGTTTTAATGTTGGAAGTCATTAAAAGATATCGTCTAATAAGGCCTAAAGACTTCAATAAACTTATAACATTTAAAACATGTTCTTGTTCTTTAATGTCTTTTACTTCCAATAATAATGGAATTAGGCCAGCTTTCCAGAAAAAATCATAGACTAAATCTATTGGCACATCATCTTCAATGTCGCTTAAAGTTTCTTCAAATAAATACATCTTGAGAACAGGGTTTGTGATTTTTTTAATAGTACTTTGATCTAGGTCAATGGAACTAGTAAAAGTATCAATTTTCAAATCTAATTCTGCTTCAATTTTCCAATTTATTGGATCGCAAACTTTTCCTATAATCACTGGATGTTTTTGTAGAATTGTTACATCAACACTTTGAACAGCGTTTTGCCAAATTTTGTAGTTCAACTTCTCTGTCCTTTTAATAACAGGAGGTACTTTGAATTCATAAAGCAATAGATGCCCAAGTTTTACTAAAATGTCTTCTTTTTTAAGTTTGTAGTTGCCACCTAAAATACCATCGTTCCAATTAATGATATATTTAATAAATTCCCTGTGAATGTCGATTTTTGTGTCTCCGTAAATTGCACTAGATACAAGATCGTCGATCCACTTTCCGAAATGTTTTTGCTTTTTTTGATGCGTATAGAGGTAGATTTTTGGTAAAGTGTGTATGTTATCTTTGGTGAAGTAGAAGAAGATATTGGCATTGTCATCTGAGGTGTTGACAAACATTTTTTTTCGATTGCTTACTGTCTTTGACACTATTGTGATTTCATTAGGAAGGTTTTTGCATTGACAATCGTTTGATTTGTGTAGGAGGTCAGTTTTTATTGTTAGTTGTTTTTCGATGTTGGCTTCGGCAAAAGCTGTAGTGTATATGATGAATTTTTTGTTTTCCACATCTTTGCGTTGTTTGAAGGAGTTGATTTGGGACAGGATTTTGGCTAAAGCGAATCTACCTAAAAAAATATTTTTTTTTAAAATTCACTGAAGTCCTACAAGAGTTGGAGATATATCTATTGTATCTTGTTGTGAGTTGAAGCTTTCATGATTTTTCAATAAATCCAGTTATAGAGCTTTAGGGTGACGCTTGTTAGGAATTTATTAATGAATTTAAAATTTTGACTATAAGCGGCTCTTGATTCGCTGGATATTTTTTCTAGAAGGAATCCAGTATTTGTTTATAATCAAAATTATGATCAGTAGTCCAAATCTTGACTCTAGCGAATCAAGATTCTGCGAAAAACCACATTTGAACTATAAGTATGTATATCATGATTGCCCCTAGTAAAATAATTACCTTGTGGATCAAGAACCCCGCTCATATTCACAATTTGAACTATTCTCGGCTTTTGAATTGTTTTCTAGAAATTTCTCAATGAATTCAAGAGCCGGTAAAAATCAAAATATGTATTATAAGCCGCTCTTGATTCACTAGATAATTTTTCTAAAAGAAATCAGTATCTGTTTACAATTAAAATTATGATCAGTAGTCCAAATCTTGACTTTAGCGAATCAAGATTCTGTGAAAAACCACACATGGACTATAAGTAATGATTACCACCAGAAAATTACCTTGTAGATCAAGAGCCACTTATTATCATAATTTGAACTATTTTCGGCTCTTGAATTCCCAAACACACGAAGTCTTAGAGACGTCTTTTTCAGGTCTACATTACGTCTGAATGTCTGAGTAAACATCATTATCAAAGACGTCTTTAAGACATTTCGTTTCGTTTTACAAAAATGTCATAAAGAAGTTGTATAGTTTTGTAAGATACGTCGTCTTTAAGACACTTTGAGAACGTGAACAGACATCTATAAGACGTCTCGAAAGTCGTTTGTGGACATCTTATTTTTGTGCTATCTGGGAATTATTATAAAGCATATCAATTAAGACGACTGTCACAGAGGGTAATTTGCTTTTCCATTGCTTCGCTTCGTCTGTCTCTGTTAAACATTAAACTGTTCTTACTGTATATTTTACTTTGTCATCTAGAGTAAAATGAAGATGTTTAATTTTGTTATGTACTGACAGGTGAATCTGAAGGCTACAAAGAGGAGCAAAATCGATTTTGAGTCGTAATAATGATCTCCTGATTCTGTGGTTCCCAAAATGAACTGATCGAGTTATTGATTCGAATCAAGAGCCGGGAATAAATAAAAATTGGATATCAAAAAATATCACAATAGTTACCTTCTGCCAATGAATCAACGCTTTTAACATTATTAGAGACATCCTTGAATTGTATAGCAAATGTCGTCGATAATTCTTCTTGGGATTCTTTCAAATCGATTTGAATAACTACGTCACCAAAATCACCCCATTCTTTATCATTGGTACTTATTTTAAAATCTTTTACAGTTGGTTCTAGAGTCAGACTGACTGCCCAGTAAGCTATCACCGAACAAACGTAAGTTTTGTTGTTGCCTTCCGGGATTTTAATGTTTCTTGTTCGATATTTCTACAAATAAAATTATCATTCAATGATACATTTCTCAAGTTTTTACCTCTCGTGTTCCTTTATAATCAGAGGCGTCTTTGAAATCTTCAATGTTTATGTAAGAATCGAATCCTTGGATTTGTATCCTTCTAGGATGGATGGTTTTTGTTTCTAATTTTGAGCCTAAAAACGTTCAAATTAGATTTAGAAGAATATTAGCAAAGTCTTAAGGGCCCCATTGTATTGCATACATGTTTCGCGACAGGCAGCATTATATGTATCTGAGATTTGTATCCATGTTTCAACTGCTCCTAAACGTTGAGATGAGCTCAGGAAACATCAGTACAGTCATAAGTTCAGTTCAATTAATAAAATTTGCAACTGCGCATCCTATTAACAAAAACGTAATTGAAATTTGTCAAAACCTGATTAAATTCTTCTCACACCATGGAACACCTAGTAAAATTACTACGGATAATGGTCCAGCATTTAAAAGTAATTTAATCCAAGATCTTTGTAAGACTTACAAAATTGAGTTACATTTTGTTACACCTTACAACCCTAATTCGAATTCACCAATTGAAAGGTTCCATTCAACATTGAAAGAAAGCCTTGTAGCTCTTAGGAATAAATATCGTTCCAAGACTATCCAAGAATTGATTGATATTGGTATATTAAATTATAATAATAGCATACATTCTTTACATGATTATACACCATTTCAAATAGTGAAAAGTAATCTCAATTATCAATTGAATTTCGAGGAAAACTGGAATCAAATACAAACGGATTATATATACGAATTAGCAGAAACTTTCAAGCAACTTAATGGAACCATCCACTTAAAACTTAATGCAAAGAAAGCCAATGTTTTAAGTAAACTAAACGAAAAACGAGAAAATGATCCACAGATCCATGAAGTTACTTCATAGTTATTAGCTACCCCTCAAAAATTGATACAAAAACTTGAACCCAAGTATAAGATAAAAACATTTAAAGGTCAAAGACACCCTAAAGATGTTAAAAGACGACAGAAAAATGAAGATCATCCTCGTAGGAATCATCTTTGTACTTTCAATGCTCAACGCGCAGTACAAGATTCAAAAACTGATAAATTCATTATTACCGATTTATCAAGGAACCAGTTATATAATAACTAGTCACCATCATGTATATTATCATATTAATCTTACTAATATAAGGAATTGTTTAGATTTAACAAAAAGAACACTTTTACAAGTTAACAGAACTTTAGAAAAACTAGACACACCCTTATATTATCATCTTTTACTCACACGAGTAGGTATATGACCTACTGACACTTGAAACATGTATCGATACCGATTCCAACGTGAACGGGGCCCTTTACTTGCCTTGATTGCTACCTAATGCCACTCTAGCATATTCTGATGTAGATTTGGCATCTAGAAAAAAATTACATACATTACACTTCTTATAAGTATTCAGCCTTAAAACTCAATTATACTTTTCCTTTGAACCCTCTTCAAATTCCTTTTGTGAGTCTTGCTTCCTTGATGAATAGTATAAAAGTGCCTGTCAGTAAATTCAGTATTGCATACATTACAATAAAAATCCCCATTTATTTGATGTGCTAAAAATTGGTACCAATTCAATAATATTATATAATCAAAAATAGTATAGTAGTACCTTCAACATTGTGTTGCCGTGTTCTGTACTTATGCCTGGCTCCATTTAAATGGTTTTCTCTGTCATTTGCGTGTACAGTTACCTCACAGGCAGAACAATGGAAATTTTCTTGTAATAAAATGTTGTTACACTATTATTTATTAATAAAAACTTTCACTTACCTGTGCTTGATTTAGTTTTTGAATCCATATTTCCAACCTAATTGATAAGATAACTTAAAATCACACAGTCAATTGAATTTAAAAGAAACTCAAGGTAAACTTATTAGTTATTTATTTATTTTTGTTCACAATAATAACTTGAATAAATAATTACTATCATGTGCTTGGGCTTAATAATTTCATTTTATTGAGTCATACTTTTTATCTTGAAACAATTTTTATCAGGCTTTTAAATTGTCCAAATATACTCCTCAAAATCCATCTCCTTCAAATAAATAATACACTTTACATGGTTCCTTTTCATTATTATTATGGGATTTTGTTTAAAATGTTCGACAAAATGTTGTAGCGTTTCAAATTCAAAAGAGCTATTGCCTTGATCAGCGTAAATTTCGCAATAAAAATTACCGTTGCCGTTACGGTGCACTCCCAAGTGGCAGAAACCCTCGTAATGGTAAATGGTGATGACCAAAAAGTACTCTTCCGAGTTTCGGAATAGGAAAAGGCCGTCTTTCGGGTTTGGGATTCTTTTTAGAAGGTCTTTGGCGCCTTGACGGTTAGTGTTGCGGTAATATGGACAGTTTTTTTGTGATACTGTAATATTTTTTTTTTTGAATTATAGATTTTCTATTGGAAAAAAAATGTACCTTTGTAGTCCTTTAACAAATCTTTCACTAACCTAATGTGGTTTGGATCAGTTTCCACTAAAGGCGGAGGTCTAGGAAAAGTGCCTGAATCTGAAACTAATGAAATGTTTTACTAGAGCCTCTACTTACAAGAAAGTTCATGATAAAATCTACAATAATTTGTAGAGCAATAATGAATTTATCCTGATAGGAAACTTTTGACCCTTGTAGAGTGGAAGGTTAACTAGAGAATCTTGGAAATTTTGAAAATGGCTCTCGTAGAGCTGGCATTTGAACTAGAAATGCAAAAAATATAATTTTCAGAACTAAATAAATATACAACCTTGTTATCATATCATTCTAGAGTTGAAATTGAACCAGAGAAGATATTTTTGCCGAAATTTGAAACATATAGCTTAAAATCCCTGAAACAATCTTAATTCATACCTGTAATTATCGGTACATCAGCACTATGGTCTGAAAATTGAGGCGGTGGTAACCATCTTCTATTGGTCCATGATTCTTTTTGTTGAATTGGATAATCCTCATCAGTCTGCTTGGCTATAAATTTAATTAGAATTTCTAAAAACCCTTTCTGCAAATATCTCATATACGTATACTTACCTAATTCTTGATTTCTATTAGTTTGTTGCCAGGCATCAACTTCAGATTCTGATGCTTTTGCTTTTTCATAATAAGCTTTCATTTCAATCATAATAACAGCATTTAAATTCTGATAGCAAACGTTATCACCTTGCTGCTCTGCCTCAATATAATCTGAATCTTCAACGCTTACCATTTTATTAAAAGTACCTATACTTTCATCGCTATGAAGAGATTTCATTTGACGTGAAGATTTTGCACGTTTTGGTTTTGGCGCTACCACTGGAACCACGATTTTGTTCATATCCATGTAAATATTTTCCTCTTGGCCACCTGGTTCTGAGACCTTTTGGTTGGCATCCAAAAACATATTTTTTGTCGAAGACTTTCGGTTCATTTTCAAAGATTTTTTGCCCGATATGTAATCTCGGCAGCTCAAAATGAGCTCAACTTGTTGACGATTCAGTTTGTATTGACACAATTCTGTTTCTGTGATTTCCTATATAAAATATTTAAATTAGGTATACCTATGTGAAAGTTTTAATATAGAGAAACAAACCAAAAATTCTCTGCCATCGATTAAAGTTTGATTCAATATACTAGCTTCAAGCGTATAATCATGCTAAAAACAATTTTCTTTATTAACAAAATATGAGCTAATTTAACTTACATTATTTAAATATGTTACTAAGTTGTCATGATCAAGACATCTGATACACTGAATTTGATAATTTTTAATATCCATGATTAGTTTTCAAGGTAAAATGATTCCAAAATACAAATTTTAATGTAGGAACTATATACATACTTTAAAATTTATGTGGTTAACCACTGGATAATTTAACCATTATCTCATTCATAAATGATTTTAGTTTTCAGGGTTGGGTAAAAACCCGGATTTATGGGAGTTATTGTGATAGTTTTTGTAAGTTTTCTATTGTCACAACCCCTATACGTTTCGTCCTGGGACGTCACAACAGGAGCGTGACTTGGTATCAGGTAGAGAAAAACTCGCTTGGTATAGGTATAATAAGATGTGTATTGATTAATAATAGTTATTACCCTAGAAATGGTATCATGACGTCTCTTCTACGGAGGGACGTACTACTTAAGGGCCACTCTGTATTAATTATGTACCCTCTGTACACTTGGCGTGACTGAAGACTGAAACTAGGTTTGAGACAGGTCCAGAAAGGCGTTTCCCATTAAAGATAGTTTGCACTGGATCTATACTGCGTTCAATACTACCAGAGGAGCGTTTCCCATTAAAGTTAGTTTGCACTGGGAGGAGACTTAGCTAGAAGGGCTTTTCCCATTAGAGGCAGTTCGCACTAGCCTTAGTCTGCCGGTAATGGATTACGGCGCGGTATTTATACCAAATTAATGCTGACTCGTCGACACACTTTAATAAAATTGATGTACAGAGTGGTATTTACTTAAGTAGTTGACACTATCTTTAATTAACTACACAAAATTGTATATTTGTTTCAACTTTCAACAGTTTTGCACCTGAGAAGCTTCAAAATTGAAATTATCGAATATTGAAAATTTTCCAATTCAGACAATTTTTGCCTCACAACTACGTTAATTTTCATCCGATTTCAATGTAATTAGTCTCTAATTAAAGCCAATTAAATTCTCTACAAATCTGTCAATTAAAATTTTAATTCGCACCTGACAAGTTTATGTCAAAAAGGTTAGATTGAAATAACATCCAGTTTTTAATTCATTTATATATTTATTCTTGAATCCACATAAATGGACATAAGACAGATTAACAAATAGCAAGTTTAACAATATATACATATAATGCCATATGTGTTACAAAAAGAGTTACATTTATACAATTTTTAAATAAAAAAAAATAACTTAAAATATCAATATATTTACACATAACATTAAACTGTACAGATCCCCAAAATATATACAAACAAACAAAACCAAATTAAGCCTAATAATAAATAGGTACAATATGTACAAAACGATATATACAGAATCTAAAAAAATCACACCAGACAAAATATTTTCAAATTGTATTGAATACTAATAAAATTAGGAATAAACATCACATCAAATTATCTTTTTTTTTTCCCCTTAAAACTGTATTGCACCCTTATACTGTAGTCCAAGAAACGGAGATCTGAAAAGAGGGGTTACCTCAACATAATTAGAAGTTGAAATTTTTTTGGGGGGATCGGTTCATTTTAATATGCTAAACAACATATTAAGTTTGCGACCTTGTACTTCCATAGGGTTTTCAGTTAGGGGTGGTTTTTAGGGGTAATTTGCGGTTTATGGAGAACGCTGCTCAAAGGGATGGTTCAATAGTAAAAAGTTTCAAATGAATGTTGTAGCTGAAGTTTTTTGCTATAAAAAACTCAGCGACAGCACCCTTCTATCTTCTATAGTTTTTTTTCTGCAGCTTCTTGAATAGTAGCATGTTTTTGTTCAAGGTCACTGAATCAACGTTTTGCCATTTTACGCGCATTTGTTGCAGCAGCGGCCGAATGCATAATCCGATTTCAATTTTTCAAACACCACATTATTTCTAATGAAATGCACTCTCCAATGCTTTTTTGTTCGAATTTTTTGCTTGAAAATTAAGCGAGCACGGACTTGTCTAATGTGCGAGGAAGTTGTAAATTGCATCGAAAACTACCCCTTTCTTGCATTCACTCTAATTTCTAAACGGGGCCAAATATTTGGTGACAGTTTTCGACAATCGGCAGCCCATTTATTCCTCTCATAATGCCCCAGCAGATTTTTTTTTTCGTTAATCACTTAATGACTTATTGGCCTGAAAACCTCGCGCGGGATTTTTCAAAAAGTAAAAAATAATTAAAATTGTCGCATAGCGCAGAAATTTGGTACGATGGCCTTATTTATTGTTCTTACGAATATACTGCAATTTTAATTGCTTCACATGATATAAAATTGCAGTATAATCATGAGAACAATAAATAAAGCCATCGTACCAAATTTCAGCGCTATGCGACAATTTTAATTTTTTTTTACTTTTTGAAAAATCGCGCGCGACGTTTTCAGGCCAATAAGTCATTAAGTGATTAACGAAAAAAAAAATCCGCTGGGGCATCATGAGAGGAATAAATGGGCTGCCGATTGTCGAAAACTGTCACCAAATATTTGGCCCCGTTTAGAAATTAGAGTGAATGCAAGAAAGGGGTAGTTTTCGATGCAATTTACAACTTCCTCGCACATTAGACAAGTCCGTGCTCGCTTAATTTTCAAGCAAAAAATTCGAACAAAAAAGCATTGGAGAGTGCATTTCATTAGAAATAATGTGGTGTTTGAAAAATTGAAATCGGATTATGCATTCGGCCGCTGCTGCAACAAATGCGCGCAAAATGGCAAAACGTTGATTCAGTGACCTTGAACAAAAACATGCTGCTATTCAAGACGCTGCAGAAAAAAAACTATAGAAGATAGAGGGGTGCTGTCGCTGAGTTTTTTATAGCAAAAAGCTTCAGCTACAATATTAATTTGAAGCTTTTTGCTATTGGACCATCCTTTTGAGCAGCGTTCTCCATAAACTGCAAATTAACCCTAAAAACCACCCCTAACTGAAAACCCTATGGAAGTACAAAGTCGCAAACTTAATATGTTATTAAGCACATGAAAATGAACCGATCCCCCGCAAAAAATGTTAACTTCTAATTATGTTGAGGTAAACTTCCTTTATTGCTTGGACTACTGTATTAATATGGCAATCTAAATAAACCAATAATAATTTATTTTATCACAATTAAATATGTCTAACATGTTCAATCAAAAATTATTCGCTTTTCTTCTACGTCCCGGTTTGCTTTCTGTAACATCGCAAGAATCATTGCCTGTTGTTTTGTCTCTTAATTGAGCCAAATTTTGAGTCCTATTTCTTCTCCCTAAACATAACAATTTATTTAATTTGAGACATTTCAATAATTGCCTACTTACTAGATGTTTTTGGTTTAAGTGCAATTGGTTCTTTATTAATACAGATTCCGTTAGCAACTTCAGATTCCTTTATGGACAAGCTAAGGTCTTGGTTACACATTGCAGACCTTCTAACTCTAGGCTTTATGTTAGTGAAGCTGAAGCGCTTATTTTTAGCACCCGGAGGCCTTCCAGGTTTTTTTCTTACAGGCGTGCTCTCTTCGACAGCCTCTATTGATATAGGACTTTCAATTTTAATTTCCTCAATACTATTTTTAATTTCTTCAGAACTTTCAACTAAGTCAATAGTTGTAGCTGGAATTTCAACTCCAGTGTTGAACCAGCTAAGTCTGTTGCAAGACTTTTTGGTTGGTGCAGTTTGAGCAGCACTTTCAATTATATTATCAGAGAAGGCCAAGCTCTTACTAGGACGTTTAGGACTTTCAATAATTATTTCAGATTCTTCGGAAAAGCTGAGGCTCTTGCCAGGCTTTTTATTAGCTGGAGCTTTCACAGGAGTTTCAACTATTGATTCTTCCATGTGGAAAATACTTTTATTAGGCTTTTTGGTTGCTGGTATTGATGCGGGAGTTTCATCTTTTGTTTGGTTATTACTGGTAAAAGTGAGACTCTTACTAGGGATTTTATTACCTGAAAAAATAAAAATTTATTGGCAATTCCTTCTATAGAATTGGTTATTTGGTGAACTTACTAATTCCATTAGGTATTATTGGTAACCGTACAGGAATTTCCTCTGTGAAGTTGGAAAAGCTGAGGCTCTTACTAGGCTTTTTAGCAACTGAAAATAATATTTTATTTGTTTAAAAACAATTTTTTTTGGTATTTTTACTAGAAAACGCCATTTTTGACCCCAAAACAACGAGGGGGAAAATGGTTCTTTAAGTTTTTTCCTCCTAGGTAACAGAACAGGATTTTACAAATTCGCGAGTAACTATGGAAATGGAAAAATCCCAACATCATTTCCAATATTTCTAATGAGCAAAGTAAAAGTTTTACATGTGAAGAGGAAGGTAAGAAGCTCATTTTCCAAAAATTTCAAATTTTTCCAGTGGAAAATAACAATATGACGAATCTTGGAAATCAGCCCATAAAAACTGAATTAATTAAAAATACGGTATTACACATTTCAAAGTTTTGGCTAGAAAACTAGTAAAGGGAAAAATTTAAAACTTTTTGCATGTAAAGAGGAAGGTTAGAAGCTCATTTGCCCAAAGTTTCAAATTTTTCCAGTGGAAAATAACAACATGACGAATCTTGGAAATCAGCCCACGAAAACTGAATTAATTGAAAATACAGTATCACACATTTCAAAATTTTGACTAGAAAACTAGTGAAGGGAAAAATTTCAAACTTTTTGCATGTGAAGAGGAAGGTTAGAAGCTCATTTTCCCAAAATTTCAAATTTTTCCACTGTAAAATAACAACGTAACAAATCTTGGAAATCAGCCCACAAAAACTGAAATAATTGAAAATACAGTATCACACATTTCAAAATTTTGACTAGAAAACTAGTAAAGGGAAAAATTTCAAACTTTTTGCATGTAAAGAGGAAGGTTAGAAGCTCATTTTCCCAAAATTTCAAATTTTTCCAGTGGAAAATAACAACATGACGAATCTTGGAAATCCGCCCACGAAAACTGAATTAATTGAAAATACAGTATCACACATTTCAAAGTTTTGACTAGAAAACTAGTAAAGGGAAAAATTTCAAACTTTTTGCATGTAAAGAGGAAGGTTAGAAGCTCATTTTCCCAAAATTTCAAATTTTTCCACTATAAAATAACAACGTAACAAATCTTGGAAATCAGCCCACAAAAACTGAAATAATTGAAAATACAGTATCACACATTTCAAAGTTTTGACTAGAAAACTAGTGAAGGGAAAAATTTCAAACTTTTTGCATGTGAAGAGGAAGGTTAGAAGCTCATTTTCCCAAAATTTCAAATTTTTCCACTATAAAATAACAACGTAACAAATCTTGGAAATCAGCCCACAAAAACTGAAATAATTGAAAATACAGTATCACACATTTCAAAGTTTTGACTAGAAAACTAGTAAAGGGAAAAATTTCAAACTTTTTGCATGTAAAGAGGAAGGTTAGAAGCTCATTTTCCCAAAATTTCAAATTTTTCTAGTGGAAAATAACAACATGACGAATCTAGGGAATCAGCCTTTAATAACTGAATTATTTGGAAATACAATTTCTTGGAAAACTAGTTTGCCAGGAAAATTTTTCAACTCCGATAAAATAGGGATAGTAAGTTTTAAAATGAACACTCTGTATACATATCTCCGAAAAAAAAACGCTTTTTTTCCCTTGAAAGAAAAGCACTATCCTCCTCCTATGGTATATAAATAGCTATTAAATTACAACATAAATATTAACTTACTAATTCCATTTAGCTTTGTAGCTAGCAAACCTCTGGGGGTACTTTCCACTTTGGGTTCTTTAGAGTGCACAGTTTTATGAGCTACAAAGAAACATAATAAGTATTTTATAAAACGTAACAATAATGGAAACCTTACGAATTGACATTTTAATTGGGAAATGCCCGACTCTCTCTTCCATAGGATTGGCACAAATCTCTAAAATAAAATCAGTTTTGTTAATAAAAGAAAATTTCCAAAAAAGGCAAAACAAAACATACTTATGCGAGTTTTTTTAACAGGCCTCTCGTCCAATAAATAGGAATCTGTAAACACACAAGTAAATGAAATTATTTGAAAGATTTGTATAGAAAAAAAGTCAAATATTAACAAGTGTTACTTCAATTACCTCTTTTTCTTTTTTCGGGTGTTTGTTCACCGTTCCAGTAGCTTTGGTAGCTGTGCTCGGCAGTGACTCCTTAAAAAAGACGCCTATTATTCCCAAGGTTTAATTTCGAAATAAAATTGCCGATCAAATTTTGCAGCGGTGTGATTTTTCAGATCAAAAAAAATAAATAATAAATAAAAAAAATCTAATTTAATTTTAGATTTTGAATAATGTGATTTAAAAACACATCACCTTTTCAGCCAAAAAAAAAAAAACTCATTTGAATAAAAAATTAACAACTAAATAAATGGTAAACAGTCTTCTTCTTCTTCTGGAGAAATCTTCGTTTTTTCTTCAGTTCTTCAATCTTCACTCTTCCAAGGTGATGTTCCGTATTCGAAAGTATAAAATAAACCTGATGTAAAAACACAGCCTCAGATAAATAAAATGAATTTGTAAAAAAAATACATTAAACATTGAACAGTGAGATTACTAAACATTTAAAAAAATATACATATATATTTGAAATTTCAGCAACACCCTTAAACATTGGAGATAGCTTAAATTTCCATAAAAATATCCTCTATAAACAACATCAATAATACAATGAGAAAATATTGTGGCACTTATAATGTGTGCCTTCTTGTCTAAGCCAAACAGCAATAAATTCGATCTTTTGCTTATAGCAACTATTTAGGTACTGTTTTTGTACATATCCAGCTCAATAATATTAACAAAAGTCTCAAATTCCCGGCTTGAAAATATCAAAACACCAACGATTCCTTCTCAAAAACTCTTTTTGGAACTCCTAAATTATAGGATTTTTCCTAGGCCTGCCCCTGCCCCTTTTAGGAGGAGCGGGCGTTTCAGAAACAACGCTTTCAGTCTTTTTGGACCTTTTAGCACGAGGCTGGGCTACAGGGGCTTCCTCAATTACTGGCTTTTGTACATTAGGAGTTGTATTATTACACACTGGTACTTGACAGTTGAGAGGAACTTCTGGAGTTTCCTCATTAGCATTAGTTTCAGCAGCAGGTTGTCCAGCAGTACCCATACCAATCATAAGACAAAATGGGTATTTGGCGGAATAATCTCTAACGCCGTTAATGTAGACGTTCATTATGGATCTTTTATTGTTGAAATCGTTAAACTGGTCGTAACCTGGAGGGTACTCGTAGTATTCAGAATCTGGATAAATGCTGGGGTCTCCCGGATATATTTTTCTAGCGGCCAAAGTTTTGACCACACCTTTGGGAAAATCCCTTTGCACGTCGGCAATGGACATTTGTCTTTGGGCTGGATAAGAAATATTTTCTTCGAGTTTTGGTTTTGGTTCTTTTTCTTCTTTTAATTTTTGTAAGTAATAGGCCAGTTCGTCTTCTTCGGTTAATTTACGTTTTTTGGGCGGTAGCTGCGCTTTGACAAAATAATTGGAACTAACTTTATTGTCAAGTAGGGTGGTAGGAGTTTGAGGCAATGCTTGCGGGGCTTGATAAACTATAGAAGGTGTTTCTGGAGTTTTAATATCAGGATTTTGAGTTATTTCAGGCTGATAAAATGGAACAGCTGGGATATAATATTGATTGGGGTAAGTTTCATTAGGATTTGGAAAAATACTTGCAGATTGTTTTTCCAATTCATATACATTGAAGTTGTTGTTTATAGGTATTTCTTCAGGAATCTTTTGCATTTCAAGTGAAGTATCATTAGGCGGTAAGCTATCTCCAAAGAGGGTTTTTGATAAACTCAAATAAGGCTCTTGATATTGTTCAGGCATTAAAACGGTAGGTTGTTCTTCTAGTTTCTTCGAATTGCTTTCTAGCATTTCTTCTGGCAAAAAAGGACTTGCTGGAGTTAATTTAGGATTATCCGCACTCAAATATACTTGACTTTGATAATGTAAATTTGAATAAAAATCAGTTTGAGAAAGTGATGTGTTATTTATGAAATTATTAGTGCTGGGTGAAGCTATTGAATTACTCAAAGGATAGTGTAACGAATCAGAGGTTTTCTTTGTGGCTTCATTTTTGGAAACCGATTCGCCCTGTAAAACAAAATTACAAATTAGCAGCGCTCGCCAGTTCTTACCTTCAAATGTAACTTTGCGCGTCTCCCTTGGCTTTGAAAAGACCCGCTTATACTCGTCCACTTCGTGAAAATTACACCGTAAAATGCTGCCGAAATCGTGCTTGTCTTGTTGCGCTTTCATCATCATCAAGCGTGCCATTTCGCGGGCGCGTTCTTCCGCAGCGTTTTTTATATTATTTTGCTTTTTTAAATCTTCGATTATTTCTTTGGCACGAATGTCGTAGTTATCGGATAAACGATCCTTAGTTGATAATCTTATCTGTGAAAAAGATCGAAAAATGGTTAGGAAGGGACGTTCCAGAACAAAATCCTATGCCAATCGAATTATGGTTTTGGAACAAAATATTATGTCCATCAAATAGGAAGAAGCTGCAGGTTGATACATTGTCTTAATTACCTCAATAATCAAAAGGGTAACTATTATTAAAGGAGTAATTATTGCACTGCCTAAGCTTCAGGAACCAAACAGTATTTGAAAAGACTTAAAGTGAGTAGAAGGGACACAATAGGCAAGACTTTATAAAATCAGCTAAACTTTTTTAAGGTTTTGGTCTTTGAAAATTGTAAAGATGCCAAAATTCCAATCAAAACTCTCAATCTAAACGCCATCAGAAAACTCCTCAGGTAGATCTTGACTCCAGAATCTCTAAAAATTAAAAACTTTGAAGATTCCAAAGGGTGTGCTGAACAATCAGATTTCCACATTTAAAATATATATAAACTCTCAAGTCTCTACTAACTTAAACTAGCTGAAAATATAAAATAATGTTTCTGTTGATTGAATTTTTATTTTAAAAACTTAAAGGGTTGTGACATCAGGAATCATTAACTTTTTGTACACTGTGAGACAAATTTATTTGGAACCCAATTTAGCTCTAAATACTCGGTGTTTTTCAGAACCCGCTCACCCCTATACTTTTTTTATTTTTACAAATAGACAAATGAAATATGGTGTGTGTTTATTTATGACCCGGATGTACATTATCTGACGTGATCAAGTCATTACTGGCTCTTGAATCACTAGGAAATTTTTCCAAAAGAAATCAAGATTCTCATATTGATTATTATTGGCATTTGAATCAATAGAAAATTTCTCCAGAAGAAATCAAGAGCCGAAAATTTAAAATTTTGAACATGTATATCATACCTATATGCAACAAATTCTTCAAAATAAGATGGAAGGAGATTATTCGTTTTTGTACCGAGAGCCATTGTAGACTGTTCAACATCAGCTAGATTTCAGTGTACCTGCCGCATTTGAGAATAACTCTCATTCCTCTATTTTGCACTTTCTAGAGAGTTGTTGTTTTGTTTAAATCAAATGAATACAGTATGCTACTACAAAAATCAAAATGTGATTGTATGATACTGTTATTTTCGAGGACATGGACAATTTTTGAGACACTCTGTAGAAGTAAAGTTTTTTCGATATTTTTCTATAAATATACTGGAAATGTGTATTGAATAACAAAGTATCATCAATCATAAAACCCAAGTACTTAAATTCTCTAACAAATTCAATTTTTCATTATTAATATATAGGCTTAAACTTATCACCGACCCACCACACCACGACCTAGTACTGGCATCAGGCTACTTTGCTGGAGATGGGCAAGCACCACCAGAAGAAGTACAGAGACTAGTCGAGTACTACAACAGGAACAAACTATACCGCTCCTAATTGGCTGTGACGCCAACGCCCACAACACTATCTGGGGAAGTACCGACACAAACCTAAGAGATGAGCAACTGTTAGAATTTATCTTTCAACCAAACCTAAATATACTTAATGTAGGGAATACACCAACATTTCTTACTAGGGTCAGACAGGAAGTGTTAGACATAACACTTTGTAATCCAAATATTGACCAAATGATCAGAAATTGGAGAGTCTCGAATGAACCCTCTCTCTCTCTCTGATCATAGAATCATAATATTTGAAGTAAAAGGAGTGCAGGAACAAACTGCCTCGTATAGAAACACAAACTGGGAAGAATACACAAGCAAACTGCAACGCAACCTCAAACAAAATAACGTTAGCTACAGGAACACACGTGAAGTAGAAGAAACCCTTCAAATCCTTAACGGAGCAATCATGGAGGCATACGAATCCAGTTGTCCTGTGAAGGAACAAGTAAACAAAAAAGGTTGCCCATGGAGGAATAGTCACCTGTCACGACTTACATCCGAGGTTCGCTGTCTCTTTAACAGAGCCAAACGGGACGGAGAATGGCAGGGATACACCGAAAGGCTGACTGAGTACAACAGAGAATTGAGGAGGGCCAAACGGAAAAACTTCCAGAACTTCTGTGAATCATCAGCAGCCAGACTATACAAAACCCTGGCAAAAGGCAGGGCGCAAGGACCATTAACACTTAAGAAACCAGACGTTAGGTATACAGAAAACGAAGAGCAACAAGCTGCTCTACTACTGGAAACCCATTTTCCAGGAAGTATACCCAATGGTACTAAAGAAAACAAAGAACGGCCCAGAAAAATCAGGCAAGAAAACTGGGAGGTTGCCTCTGCAGCGGCTGGCTTGGGCGATGGACTCATTTCAATCGTTCAAGTCACCTGGAGTAGACGGCATTTTTCCAGCTCTGTTGCAAAAAGGGCGAAATGAAATTATGTCGTATCTAATCAAACTCATTAGATACAGTCTAGCGACCGGATACATACCCAGTCAATGGAGAAGACCTAAAGTAACTTTCATCCCAAAGGCAGGGAGAAAAGATGCCACTCTACCGAAGTCATTCAGACCTATATGTCTCACGTCGTTCTTACTGAAGACAGTTGAGAAAGTTGTAAATAAGTATATCAGAACAAAGGTTCTAGAAAAGACGCCACTGCATCCTAGGCAACATGCTTACAGAGCGGGCAGATCAACAGAAACCGCTCTATTTGAACTCACTGACAGCATCCAAAACACACTGCTGAATAAAGAAGTAGCCATCTGCGCCTTCTTATGAACCATATCAAAACACTACTCAATAAATGCCTCTCATAAGGAAAAATACCAAAAGTATGGGAAAATGCAGAAGTGACGCTTCTATTTAAAAAAGGAGATAACACGAATATAGAAAATTATCGTCCTATTATCCTGCTTTTTCATTTATATAAGCTACTCGCGAAAATCATTACGAACCGTTTAACAACAAAACTCGATTCGTATCAACCAGTCGAACAGGCAGGATTCCGCAAGGCATTTTCCACCACCAATCACTTACAGACCATAACACAACTTATAGAAAAAAACTTCAGAATATAATATTCCCCTACATATGGCTTTTGTAGATTATCATAAAGCTTTTGATAGCATCGAAATATGGTCGTTTCTTGAGACATTGGACGACGCCAGAATCGATTCACGCTATTCCCTCCTTCTAAAGAACATATACCAACAAGCAACGTTTCATATAAAGATCGATGATGACATGAAGACGAACAAAATGCCCCTAGGAAAAGGTGTGAGACAGGGTGATACCATATCGCCAAAACTTTTCACTTTAGCGTTGAAAAAAAATACATTGGGCAGACAAGGGAATAAACATAGATGGAAGTCATCTCACTAACTTGAGATTTGCGGACGATATTGTATTGATAAGCTCCGACATACAAGAGCTAGGTACAATGCTAAATGCTAAAAGAAAAACATGACACGTGTGTACTTCCTGTTGCTACATATGGACTGGAAACCATGACCCTTACAAAGAAATCTAAGGAAAAACTGTGCGTATGTCAAGGGCTATGGAAAGAAGAGCTATGTTGGGAATCACTCTAAGAGACCGAGTACGCAGTACTGACATTCGAAACAGAACAAAAGCCACCGAGATACTAACTCGTACAGCGAAATTAAAATGGCAATGGGCAGGCCACATAGCACAAGTGAACCCAGATAAATGGACATCTAAAATTACATTCTGGCGACTCCCGAGTAAGTAAGCGAAACGCCGGACGCCTTCAGAGACGGCGGAGAGATGACATCAGGCAAATCGTTGGGATCCAATGAAGAAAAATTTCCGAGGACCGACGGACATCAAAAAATCTGGAAGCGGCCTTTATCCAGCAGTGGACGAGTACAGGCTGACGAAGAAAAACAAGTAGTCGCGAAACCAATCATATACCTTGCCCTGAATGCCTAGAGCCTGTAATTTTTGTAGGAGTAAATTTCGATCTATGGTCTCAACAAAACAACCACAACATATTCTCCTTGATCTACACTTTTTTTCCATTTTGTAATTGTGAGTTGTACTGCCGACTCACATGAATGATGTAATCTAAAACCAGACTGGTAAGACATTAATAGATTATTTTTTTCTAGATATTCAATTAATCGTTTATATACAATAGTTTCCAGGACTTTTTCAAGGCCGGGCAAGGTACTGATTGGCCGAAACTCCCATTATTTATTAGAGTTCTGGATTTTCTGGATTGGTACTATGGTACTAGTTTTGAGATGTCTTGGACATTTACCAGAGGAAAGAGAACCATTCACTAAATGCAGCAAGGCATTACCAATGACTCCATATGTTTGTTTAATAAATTTACAATTCATAATTTCACTTCCTTTTCTGTTTTTCAGTTCAGTTATAATTTTAGTCAGCTCAGAGAAATCAATACTTTTAAAATGACCGAAAGTACAATTTATATTATAAGAATTATTCCACTGCAGGTCAACTAGTATACTGGATACAATCATGTTGATACTCTCAATGAAATATTTGGTAAATTGATTTGCAATTTGATCTGTCTCCCTATACATATCAACATGTCCGTTTATTTCAAATAGAATGCCATTACTAAAGCAGTACTCACTATAACCAGTGTTGACCAACAGTTGAAGAGTTTTCCACATAATAGTTTTTTTATTCAAATCAATTTTGTTATGAAAATATTGTTCTTCTTTAGCATTAAGAGTGGCTACATATTGATTTCTAAAAATTCAATACTTCTCCCAGTTTTGATTATCCTCATTGTTGAGGAAAAGTTTCAAAACTCCTAATGGCAACTTCATGATCATACCAGAGCACATTTTCCGTTCTTCATAAGACAATTCTCTTAAAGATGGTTGAATTTTGGTTGCCCTCCTCTGGACACGCTCAATCAGATCTATTATATGTCCTTTCTGAAATAGGGACACCAAACCACAACAGCATGCTAAAGCAGTAATCTGATGTAGGTTTTGCAGGCTCGGAGAAACACTTCAGGGGACATTTTCCTGAAACAGCGTCGTATCAAATAGACTATTGAGTTGGCTCGCTTCACGATTGCATGTATGTGCTGTTCCCATTCTAAATCATGTGAGATATTTACTCCTAAGTCAGCCTGATCAGTCACCTTTTCCAAGCTGTTATTGCCCATACGGTAGTCCAGCATAGGATTTTTGTATCCAATATGCAACACACAACATTTACTGACATTAAGTTTCAATAACCAGTCTTTCGTCCACCTATCCAGCTCAGCAAGATCCTCAATCATGACACCATGTTGGAATGTAGGGTCACAGAATATCTTGGTGTCATCGGCATACATACTGGTCCTACAGGACATGTTCTGGGCAATATCTGAGACATAAATTATAAATAGAAGTGGGCCCAGCACAGAGCACTGTGAAACTCCACTGACTACACTGTCCTTGCCAGATAAGGTGCCATTTATTCTGACTTGGTTTGTCTGACTACACAAGTAGTCCCGAATCCATCGAAGCAGCCGACCCCGTATACCACAATGCTCAAGCTTGTGAAGCAGTCTCTCTGGAGGAACGGTGTCAAACGCCTTTTCAGAGTCGAGGTACACAACGTCAATTGGATAATGCTCTGCAGATGACTTGGTCCAGTCTTCCAGGCTGGACAGGAGATTGGATGTAACTGATGTCCGCAACAGAAAACCACGCTGATTGGATAGTCGATAACCATGATGGGTCATAAAAAATTCTGTCATTTCAGTAGCTATAATCTTTTCCATACATTTGCAGGGTATTGATGTTAAACTGATAGGCCTATATTTTTCAGCTAAGTGTTTATCGCCTTTCTTATAGATCGGAATGACAATTGCATTATTCCACGCTTCTGGGACTATGCCATCTGTAAATGATTCTGTCATTGTTCCTGCAAAGATTCCACTCATGGTCGCGCTGCAGTTTTTTTAGCAATATTGGGGATGGTCCTAGACTGGCAGAGAGCTTCAGATCAAGCAGCACCTTTTTCACCTTCTGTGGGGTAAAAACAATATTTTCAAGTGTGGGTCCTGACCGTCCGGCTGCGGGAAGTTGTGGTATAATTGTTGTGTCTTCCTGTATAAATACTCTGTCAAATTGATTGCTGAATATTTCCCCCACTCTTTGTGGTTCAGACTCAAGATGGTTGTCTGAATCTCCTAAGACAAAGTTTTGAAGCCTAGATTGAAGCGAACGGTTGATATACTGGTAGAACCTTCTTGGACCCTGCTCTAGGAGACTGCTTTCAAAAGTCGACCGAGCATTTCTTAATGTTTGGGTGATTCGGTTTTTTAGCACATTGTATGCCCGTAGGTCAAACTTCTCACCAGAACCTCTGTATAAATGTCATGCTTTTCTTTTTTGGTTCATCAATTTAACATGAGCTCTAGTAATCCACGGTATTTTAAAGGTCTCCACTTGATGCTGAAGAGGCACATAGACTTCTGATATGTGGTCCACTACTTTGCCAAAGTTGTTTGGTTCCCATTGCTCAAAAAAGTTATTTATGGTGTCGTAGTCTCCCTTCCAGTGGTTTTTGTGTCTTTTGGAGAGTGATATAACACTCCAACCTTGATTTCAACCCCATGAAGATTCACCAAAATTACCTTACACCAATAATTAGATTCCAGAACAAATGTTGTGTGTGATCTAAACCTAATGTCCTGCCTCACATAGATCAATACTCCGCCTGTGTGTCTAGAGGTAGAATCGCATCTCTCCTAATTATAATCTTGTAGAACGATCTCACTATCTGTAATATCTTTGGTTATGCAAGCTTCACTAAACAATATTGATCAGAAAATATTTTAACACCCTGGATTCACTCTATTTCTTAAGACTGAAATTGCATCCTGGCGACTCTTGAGAATTATTTTAAGCAGACGGTTTTTATTTGGAGCAACTTTACCCACCCTAAATACTCCTAAATCTGTAATGTTCACATTAAAATCACTAAGCAGATTTTTTGCGCTGTTTAAGTCTTCTTGCATCTGATGTAAGGCTTTGCGGTTCTTTTACATTTAAAACCATAATATTACATTCTCTTTTTTGTCGCTCATTTAGCTCAATCATCATTTCTTCTGATTCAACACTGCTCCATTTTAATTCTGTTGTGCCCATTTTGGTCATTGGTCGAGTTTCGACTGATGTTCTTTTCAAATCTATTTCCTCCTTTACCAGTGATTTAATGTCATCAAGACATGTTGAAAAGCTAGTCTTTTAAACTTTTCAGCTCCTCCGAAAAATCTTGAATTAAATTGGCCAGATTGAGCACCTTTTGAGAATTAGCTTTAATTTCAGCAAAGTCGGTTTCAAGAGCTGTGATCCGGGTAATCAATTGTAGTGTATCCTGCAGTAAAGGAACACACAACTTGCATATGTATGGCATTTCTCGACTGCTCATAACTATGGTCCGAAGCTTGGTAGTGCTGATTCCTGAACACTTTCTACACAGGCTTTTTGTACAAATCACAAGGATTTTGATTATTACCGGCGCTTGAATCACTAGAAAACTTCTCCACAAGAATTCAAGAGCCAAAAATTTAAAATTTTGATCAATACTTGCTCTTGAATCATTAGGAAATGTTTCCAAAGGAAATCAAGGGAAAGGTCCCCCTAATATTCACACAGAATTTCACAAAACTCCGCTGAATCAAAAATATATACACATTCAAAGCCAAATTGGGTTCCAAATAAATTTGTCCCACAGTGTGAAGCAAACTTGTTGATAAAGTAAATACAACAGAAACATAACAACATTGAACTAAATTCATTTTCAAATTAATAATACTTACAAAAAGCCGAGGCTGATTATAGTCCTTGATTTGCTTGTCTACTAAAACAAAAAAATAATTCAAATAAAATTGAGCCATTCCCAAAAAAAAAAATCAACCTACGTTTGGGTTTCTTCAAAATCGACACCAACTGCTTATCAGATTTGACCAATACAGTAGTCTTCTGAGCTTCAGGATGATCCTCACTGTCATCCCACAGCATATTTGGTGTCGTATTCCATAAAGGCTTCCCAGTAGGTCCCTCAAAAGCATACTCAAACAGGCCATTGTCTTGAGGCGACAGAGGCTTCATCAACTTTTCTTTGCTGGCCTTTTTGACACCGTCTTGAAGCGCTCTGCTGGATTTTCTAACTCTGCTGGAATCTGACTCCCTCTTTTTAGATTTGACACCGTCTTTTGTAGTGCTACTCTTTCTGCTCCTTTTCTTTGGTTTTTCTGGCGTTTCTGCTTCAGTTGTTTGAGAATTGCGAACAACAATGTAAGTATCGTCAGATTCCTTGCCAAACGAACTGGACGAAGGCGTTTCAACTACATTGTGCACTTTTAAAATTTTAATTGTATCAACAAGTTTGTTTTCAACACTTGGCTCTGGAGGCACCACATTGTGATTAGGCAAATCTAAAAACATAATTTTTAGGGGGTGACAAAATATTCAAAACAACAAAATCTTACCTTGTTGGGGTAAAACATCAGGAACGATGGCAGGTTGAATTTTGTGCGAATCTTGCAAAATTGGAGTGTAAAGCATGGTGCTGGTTTCATCCAAAGCACTTCCAGTGTTACCAATTCTGATACTGGGTGGACTGTATGGTTGAGATCCTGACTGAGGGGGAGAATTTGGCCTTTGAGGCACCTCCAAGGGGTAGTCTGCATCTGAAAATACAATAATTGAATAACCAATTTATAGTATATTACCAAAAACAACATCTACTCACATTTTTCTAGTTCATAATTTTCATGCATTGCCGCAAAGTCTGGCTGCACTTCTTGCTTCAAAACAAATCGACAGTGAATTGTAATATTGTCACTATTATCGCCGCAAGGAGATGCCAAATTAATTGCAGTAGTTGAAGTACTTTCTGCTCCAGCCAATTTTGTTGATGTCTCATTCAAAACCTCGTCATCTTTAATTACTGTTTGGCAAGATTCATTTGTATCTGGCTGGCAAGGTTCTGTTGAAGCGGTTGCCAATGTTCCACTAACAGCAGGACTTATTACAGGTTCTGTTGAAGCAGTTGCCAATGTTTCACCAATTGCTTCAAATCGCCTTTCTTTTTCAAATGATTCATTTTCAGAATCAACATGTGCTTCATTACTATCCAAAGGCTCAAACGGCGGCGAGCTGATTTCATCAGAATCATTAGTTGCATCAGATTGATGTTCAAATAAATTCAACCCCTTAGAAGCGAATTCATTATTGTCATCATCTGAGCACGCTGCTTGAACGATTGCCGCATAATTGTGACTTTTGTCTAAATTATCTTCCTCGTCTGTTAGTTGTTGTTCAATGACATTCTCTTCTATTGCTGCAGGAACCTCTGTCAAACATACATTTTTCTCTTCATTTAATTTTTCCTGTAATTTTCTATCGTCTTGTTCCATTTCATTTAAAACTTGTCTTAAATCCTGCATGCATAATATGCTTAGTAAACCATTGTGTTTGCTACTAGCGGATGTTTCTGCAATAGTTTCTTGTTGCTGATTAGTACTAACAGGTGTTTTTGCAATACTTTCTAATTCCTGTTGTTGATTAGGAAGTTCCTCTATGTCATCTGGTATTGAATCTGTACGTTTTTCAGGTACTATTTCTTTTTGAGAGGATACAGTTTCAGTCTTACTAAATTCATCACAAGTTTTTTCAGTATTATCTTTATCATTGCATTCTTCAGGTGAATGCAAAGGCGATTTAAATGGGTCATTTCCTTCTCCTTCATTCAATGGATCAGCAAACATTAATGTTCTATCTTCATTTCTTTCCATTTCTGGGCCTATATCATCAAATGTTTCTTCCCATTCATCAAAGATTTCATCCAAAGTCATTGCATTGGAAGGCAAATTATCTTGATTTCTTTCAGATTCAATTATTATCTCAGGAAAATCTACTGAATCATCATCGTCATCTATATCTTCTGGGTAATTTTTGATGAAGTTATCACATATTTCTTCAACAACAACATTATTTTTGCTTTCAGCAGTTTCTTTGGGGTTATTTTTAGATGCTTCGTGGTAATTTGAGATTATCTCTTCAACAGCAACATTACTTTTACTGTCATCAGTTTCTTTGGGGTTATTTTCAGATGCTTCATTATCAGGTTGTACTTCAACCTCCAAGCTGGTTTTAGAATTAAGTATTAGTTCTTCATCAACCTTATTTGAGTCATCTTCAAAAATATTTTCATTGAGATCATTAATATTTAATTCTTCTACTGCATCAGTAGTTTTTTCAACTACTTCTTTAGCAGTTGATTCTTCTTCAATAAAGACCACATCATCATCATCATCATCTGAGTCAACTACAACAGTCTCTACAACTTTTGGTTCTGCTATAATCAAATCATTATCATCATAATAGTCAAAATCAATATTGATACAGGTGGCTTCATCAAAAATATTACCAGAAGTACTTTGACAAAATAGGTTGTTTTGCCTTCCATAAGGCATTCTTCTGCCAAGCTGTGTCAGTCCAAGAGTTTTACCTGTAAGTCTATCTTCAAACAACTTACTAAATTCATCATCTTGAGTTTTTGAATGATTTGTGAAAACATTATTTGTAGGTTGATATTCTAAATTAAATGTCCCATGTAGTTGTATGTAAGTAGGTTCCTCTAATCCTGCCCAAAGTTGTTCAGGCCTTTCTTCCTTCCACCATTTCCAATATTTACTTAGCATTTCTTGCCAATTACATCTAGGATTATCATGGTAATTTTCCATGAATTCTTTCAAGTATGGTATTGATTTAAGTTCCTCAGGGGTTTTCTTTAAACACTCAAACATATATCCATTGATTATTTCAGCATCTTTTGAGGCCCTAACAGATAATAATCGTTTCCAGGCAATGAATAGCCTAAGTAGATCATCATGTTTAGGATCAAATTTAGATTTTCTCAAAAAATATAAAAATACATCAGTCCATAATGCACTGTGATCTTTCAAAAGAGGAGGAATGTGTACTTTGAACAAACAATGCATTATGCTATCCAGTCGGCAGAGCAGAGCACATGAAATTAGTTGTTTAATTTGAGAAGCAAAAACGTCATTTAATGTACGTTTGTTATCAGCTAATCGCAGATTAATAATATCTGTGACTACTTGACAGAACATGGCGATAATGTCTTCCATAAGATCCAGGTACTCTTCTATAAACCCGCTGGCTAGAGATTTGTAGTTCATACCCAAAAATAAAATATATTTCAATAACATTTTAGATAATTGATTCTTCAAACGAATTCCACACATTTGATCTTTCAAGATCATTTTAAATTGTTTCAAGCCTTCTATAAACTTGGCTTCATCAGTAGTACCACAAAGTTTGTCCAAGATTTTGGTTCTGGATTCAAATTCAAATCTATTTAGAGCTTCTTCAGGAGAATCAGTTTCTGCACCTGAAAATATATTAAAATAAATACTTAATTATTATAAAAAAATTGGATAATTTACTCAAATCGATACATTCCATTAAAAGCTTCTTATCTTCCTCTTTTATTTTACGTTTGTCAGCCCCAACATTGTCATTATTATCTTCAATAATATGAACTGACGCTGGTGAGACAGTAGTTGCAGGCCTTTTGTCCAACTGAGTTTCAACAGGAGGTGGTATTGTTTGCTCAATTTCTTGTATTTGTGGCTCTTGTTTACTTGGACCCGGATTAGAATGTTGATAATTATTCCTTGACCTATCTTGCCCGTTCCTCCTCTGCCATCTATTATTTCCCTGCCTCATTCTTGGATTCTGATTATTTCTGTAGTTGTTATAACTTGGTTTTGGTTGCATGTATGTTTGATAGGAACCCATGGGACGCGGGGTATAAGCCGGATGGAATTGATTGGGAACAAAACCACCTGCATAAGGATGTAGTGACTGTATATTGTGACCGATTCCCACAGGGGGAGGCAGACACAAGGGATCCCATCTGGGTGGCTGGGGCATAGTAGCTGCGTTGTTATATCTAGGAGGCGGGTGGTTTCTTTGATCCGGACCGCATTTGTCGTAGCTATTGAACCAGCCAGTGTCTTGATTCATGTTTGAACCTGGAATAAGTGAGAGAATTTTTACATGGTATACAAACATTTTAATGTAGAAATCGTTATTTTCAAGTAAGGTTCTGCTGGCAGAACAGGTATTTATGTATTTTTGAAATGAGACTGTTACTGGTCTATAATTTTCAATATAGTTTCTTGAAATACTCCTAACATAAGGCATAACCGTAAGTCTCAACCAAACTGAAAATCAAGTGACTTTTACTTCAATGTCTTCAATACAACCTATGATTGGTTGAGGCCGAGGGGTGGTTAACTGGTCAAAATCTGTGTACAAGTTGGTCAAAATCCCAGAAAATCTCATTAGATCTACTCAAAATCCCTAATAATCTTTGAAATCCTTAAAAATTTAACAAAATCCCACAAAATCTCTTGGAATTGCATGAAATCCTACAAAATCTAACAAAATTTCATTAAAACCAAAAAAATCCTGCAAAATCTCATAAAATCATCAACATTCCTAAAAAATATTTCCTTTGAAATTCCCAAAAATCCTTCGGAATCCCCAAAAATCTGTTGAAAGTCTCTCAGAATTCCATAATTTAGTGGAATTTCGGTAAAATTATTTATTCTGAAAAAGGAGTTACATGTGAATGCGGAGTTTCCATAGAATTCACATTAAATTTTAGTTCCTCTCGAATCAAATGAAATTTCAGTGAAATTCCGATTGAATGACACAAAATCCTAAATGAATTGCATGGAGGAATTAGGAATTCTAAACAATTATATAAAACTACGCCGAAATTCCTAACATAAAATTTCAGTTCTTAATTTTAGTAAAATTCCAGAAAATTCCACAAGACTTGAAATTTCAATATATTTCGGTGAATTTTCAAGAAATTACTTGAAGTTTCATTAATATCCCCAGAAATTCTTGGCTATTAAAAGAGAATTTCAGTGAAATTCTGAAAAATTCTCATGAAAATAAATGAAATTTTGAAAGATTCCTTGTTACAGGAAAAGTCAGTGAAATTCCGAAAAATTTTATGAAAATTTTGTGAAATTTCAGGTGGTGGAGTTTTGGGGAATTTCAGTGGTGAAGTTTTGGGGAATTTCAGTGGTGAAGTTTTGGGGAATTTCAGTGAAGTTTTAAAAAAATTGGAATTTTTATAAAATTTTGGAGATTTTCAGTGGGATTTCGAAAAAAAAAAATTATGAATTATTCGCAGAATTTCACTTTGTGTTGACTTACATAAAATTTTGATTAAATGTCGAGTAAAATTCCAAGGAATTTTCATCGAATTACATACATGGAATTCCTTGAAATCTTATTGTGGAATTCCAGTGAAATTACATGAAATCCGAAGAATTCCCTTGGAATTAAACAGAATTTTCATGGAATTTCCAAGGAATCACGAGAAATTTCAGCGAAAAGTTTCTTGAAATCTTTTATTGTAATTCCGAGGAATTTTTGTACAAGAATTCCATTGAATTTTATGGTGGAATTCCATGGAATCATATGGTGAAATTCGGAAAAGTATTATGAAATCTTATGGTAAAATTTCTAGAACTTCCTGTTTTTCTATTCAAATTAATTTGTCATTTGAATGAAATTCCTCGAAATTCCATAAAGTCTTCTAGTGAAATTCTAAGGAATTTCTATGGAATTAACAAAAATTCCCATGGAATAACTTGAAATTTTAGTGGAATGCCGAAGAATTTCATGAAATCTCATAAGTAGTGTAATTCCTAAGAATTTTTGTCCAAGAATTCCAGTGAATTATATGGTGGAATTCCATAGAATCATATGATGAAATTTGGAAAAGTATTATGAAATCCTATAGTAAAATGTCAAGGAATTTCCGTTTTTCTATTCAAATTTGTCATTTGAATGTAAAATAAAAAAATCCTTTAACATTTCCAAAAATCCTTTGGGTTCCCCAAAAATCCGTTAAAATCTCTAAAAATCCTTTAGGATCTCTAAAAACCCTTCTAACTTCCCTAAAATGCTACAAAATCACCTAAAATCTTTCAAAATCCTGTAAAATTATATGAAGATTTCTAAAATCCTCGAAATCCTACTAAACCAATGAAAATTTAAGATCTGTGTACATATTTTGAGGAGTTAATCACCCCTCGGTTGAGGCTTATGTTTATGTGTAATGCAAAACCATATTATGTGATGGTCCTTAAAATTACAAAGACAAAAACCAAAAAGCTTCTGTAGTTTGTTATGTAGCATGACAATGACATGCTGTATGCATGCCAAGTTGATAAAAGAGTAATATAACATATGTGACATACTGATGTTAATATATTCACAAGTCATAACATTTTGGCACAGACTTGTATAATTGAATTAATAAAAGAAGGACCCAGGAAAATTGAAAAATCCAAAAATTGACCCCAAATTCCTTTTTTCTCAGGAACTATAAATCCAAATGAGTTGAATTTTTTAGGGATTGTAGTCCCCTACTGGGATAAGAATCGCTGAAAATTTCAGCTTTCTATCTATAATAGAAAAAGTTATGATTTTTCAAAGTTTTCAAAAATCCATATCATAAGGTAGGTACTTACCTTAGTATAGTCTGGCTAGCGAAACGGCGAACTCCAATAGAATTTGCTGCTTTGCCAAACTTGACGGAAACTCTAATAAACAACTTAGTGACATTTTTTTTTTTCGCTATATGGTCATAGAGTCATAGGTAGTATTTTGAAATAGAAAAAAATCCGTCAACATTGCGAAATGATGGATGTAGAGAGGCGTGATTATTCAGAGGCATGATTCTATTGGTTAGAGTCTGAACGACAGCACGCAGTGGCGTGGTTATTGGCGAAACTAGAGATTTTTTTTCTAATAATTTTATTGGTTTATTTCCCTGGTGTTTTCGGTGCTACTGAACCCAAAGACATGGCTGTCATCAGGCGGTGTCAGTTGAGATGTCATTGAATATTTTTAGGCTACGCCCCTTTTTTCTTCCCCCTTTCGTCTCTACCAAGTTACCACTTGCCAGACTATACTAAATTGATGAAATTTCAAATTTATTTATGTTGAGATTTTGTGTCTAAACGATCATTTGGGAACGCCCAAACTCTATAAACTAAATTATTCTAAGATTTGAAGCAGAAATCTATAAAAAAAAAACTGGAAAACGATAAATTATTTGCCCCAAATTGCTTAACATAAGTTTATTTCTGAAACTATAAGTCCAAATGAGCTGAAATTTCCAGGGATTGTAGTCTCCTACTGGAATAAGAATCGCTGAAAATTTCAGCTTTATATCTACAATAGAGAAAAAGTTATGATTTTTTAAAGTTTCCAAAAATCTAAATCATAAGGTAGGTACCTTAGTACTGAAATGATGAAATTTCAAATTTATTTATGTCGAGATTTTGTGTCTAAATGATCATTTGGGACCCTCCAAACTCTATACACTAAATTATTCTCAAATTTGAAGCCGCAATCGATGAAAAAAGGCACTCAGAAAAATTGAAAAATGATAAATCACCCCAAATTACTTAACACGATTTTATTTCTGGAACTGTAAGTCCAAATGAGCTGAAATTTTCAGGGATTGTAGTCCTCTACTGGGATAAAAATTGCTAAAAGTGTCAGCTTTTCATCAATAATAGAAAAAAAGTTATGATTATTCAAAGGTTTCAAATATTCATGTTCAAAGGGGGAGATCGAGGGGGAAACCACCTTAAAATTTTGGTGTACAAACTGATAGAATTTTTTAGAATTTCTTAGAATTTTTTAGAACTACCAGTATTTTTTTAAATTTTTTAGTATTTCCTAGCATTTTCTAGAATTATTTAGAATTCTTTAGTATTTTTTAGAATTGAATTAGAATTTTTTAGAATTAATTTAGAATTTTCACCTATTGCGCATGCTCAAGAGCCCACGCAATCTGTAGGCATTTTTGGAAATTTTTTGACACAATAACATGAAAATTAGCATTTTTCAGAATTTTAGAATTTTTGGTGTACAAAATTAGGTAGGTGGATTCCCCCGAGGGAAAAATCACCTTGGAATTTGGATTACAAACTGATAGAATTTTTTAGAGTTATCACTATTTTTTAGAATTTTTTAGTATTTTCTAGAAATTTCTAGAATTATTTAGTATTTTTTAGAATTGAATTAGAATTTTTTAGAAATAATTTAGAGTTTTTATCTATTGCGCATGCTCAAGAGCCGGCCCAATTTGTAGGGATTTTTGGAATTTTTTAGAATTTTTTGAATTTTTTTGGGGACAATAACATGAAAATTAGCAATTTTCAGATTTTTAGAATTTTTGGTGTACAAAATTAGGTAGGTGGATGCCCCCTTGGGGGGGATCTTCTTCCCAAAATGGTCAAATTTCAAATTTTTTTGTGTGGAGATTTCGACTCTAGAGACGAATAATTCGGACCCCAGAAACTCCATAAGTACAGTGATTTATTGTGGGATTTGAAGCCGAAATCTTTAAAAAAAGGACCTCAGATGATATGGAGAATCCAAAAATTCACCCCAAATTCCTTTGAAAAGGGACACTTTTGGATGATTTCTGCCTCTTGAAACTCTGAAGACTGAAAATTAATGTTTTTAACATTTCAAAGCAGTTCCCAACTTCCAGAGACCAAGCAAATTGGAGCAGAATTTATTGTTTATTTGCTTCATTTTGTCCATGGAAAGATACCCAGTTTTGAATGATTAAAGAAACCTTTTACAGGAATTTATACACAGATCAAAATGGTCTAGGTAACAAGATAATACCTACCTATACTTATCAGAAATTTTTTGCTGATTTTGGGAAATTTGATAAGATTTGTTTAATAAACACCACCTATAGACAGATATTTCTTGTTCCCTAGACTATTTTGATGAGTGTAGCTTCAACAGAGACTCTGAAAGAATGCCAAGTGCAAATTCCAACCAAAGGTTTACTTAAAGGACAAATAAAAAACTGTTTTTTTGGAAATACTGCTTTTACAAAAAGAAAATTAGAATAAAATTGTGAAACCCATGAAAAGTTATTTGTTTGAAAATGTTATAGTTTTTCCAAAGTCAATTGGAATAAAGTGAACATAAATTATAACGGGTGGCTGACTAGTGGCAGTGTCTTTCTTATGGAAGTGACCAGTCAGCCACTAGTTGGTACCTTGTTCCAATTAAGTTTGGAAATACTATACTTAGATATTTATAATGCATACTTACATGAAAATATAGATATGAAATAATTAGCCAGATTTTTGCCAACCCTGTAGAGTACAAATTTAAATGCGGAGGAAGCAATATGTAGTAAAATATTTATTATTCAGGTACCTAATGAGGTAATAGGTATTGGCCAAGGTATTCACCCTTAAAAGTTATTTATCCAATCACTTTTCCCCTATTCTATGTGAATAGAGGATACCCAAACTGATAAACATATGTTTTACAAATCTTTTAAATAATATGATTATATTTGTGATTCAAGGCATTAGTTTGAATACTTTGGATTAAGGACCAAATTTATAGTCGTTCCTTGGAGGTTATGAGATGTCATTGCCTGTTGGTAAGTCATGAGTTTAGAATAGACACTTATGCTACTATTTGGAAAGTTATTCTTGTCAATTCTAAACCGTCAGTAGAGTCTGACTGAGGAAATCTCAAGGAGTGACTATAAATTTGGCCCTAAACTAAATGAGGAGTTTTTAGGCCCTATACATAAAAAGGCGGGCATTAAAAGCCAAATACAGTAATGAGGACAGAGGACAGCTGGTGGCAATAGAATAATTAAATTAACAAAAATACATTCTCCAAGCCTAATTATGTAAATTCCAATAAGATTTTTGGAATTCCATCTACTTAATTATGGTTATTAGTAATTATTCCATATTACACAATACATTTAAAGCTCAAACAAACCAAAACAAAAACAACTGTTGTACCTGAAAGTTGAAACTATTGATTAAACGGAAAATTCCAGGTACATTTCAGCAAAATAGAGTGCTCTATATATAAATATAAAAATAAATAAAGTGCAACATTTTCATGTATTGATTGGGATCCGGATAGGGATTGAGCAAGAGAAACGGAACATGCCACCAAAAAAAGATAAACCTAGGACAACATCAACAACAAAACCTAAAAGGTAAAAAGACTAAAGACTTACCTATTTTGATAAGCCCCAATAATGGGGCAAAGTCCCTTTAAAAACAAACCATTAATACACAAATTTTCAATAAGCTAAAAATAGTCTTATGTCTATACAATCTACAATGAATAAAAATGGCGGACTAGTTGGTAATGTGATGACCGCACAATCGATTAGTTTTTCGATCACTTCACAGGGCCGAAATAACAGTTCGAGGTCCTTAATCGCACGCGGAAACTATCCGGAATCGTTTCACGGGATTTTTAGCACGTAATTTGTGCAAATAAACATGGGAACTGCACAAAAATTCCACAAAAATAACTGTGATTAATCGCTGCTGTCTTCATCTCCAATGCTGTGTATCGTATTTAAGTTGACATTTCCTGACATAAGACAACGTTGCCAGCGCCCCAAACAAACAATTCAACCAACTCACGTTAAGCTTCTTACTGATAGAGGGCGTTATATTAGCTCTGTTCCAAGTGTGTTGAGAACTGTTCCAGAACCAGTAATTTCCAGTTGGATCGACTGGGCTTATGTTCTGATATCAACTGCCAGAACAGGATTTACTGTGCTGATTTTACTGTCATTTGGCGTTCCGATTTCAACAGTGTACGCTTGCGGTTATTCAGTACTGAATCCAGTGTACTGAAAATAATATCGGAACGGCGTCCAGTAAATTCAGTACTGATATATCGGAACATAGGCTGGAAATTACCGTTCTAGAACGGTTCTCATGTCGGTTGGAACAAAGCTATAGGCTTTGTTCCAGGATCACTTGGGGTACCGACTCCGAACCTTTTAAAATTGTGGCGTGTAAATAAACGAGTGTAATTTTAATAGGTTGATTTGAAAGTTAATTTTGGGTTTTTAGTAATTCTACTCTGACTGTTCCAAGTGCACTCACGCTTTTTGATCTGTTCAACTGTCCAAATTACCTTGTCTGTTCTGGTTCTGTTCCATTTCAACTGGCACTAAGGGCGGGTATTATAAAACTACTTTGAGAGTTAACTTCTGGAATTACATGTAATTCAAAAAGTTAACTTCAAGTTAACTGTCAAAGCAGTTTTATAATACCCGCCCTAACTCGGTTAAAATTACTCTAAGCATTCGATCTGCATATAATTCTATTTGAATTCCTTTTATTGTTCGAGTTACTCTAAGTGTTCCAATTGCTTTAATTTCCGTTTCATTTGCACCAACTCTGTTCTGTTTGCACTGCTCTAATTGTTACTGTTCGGACTACTCTAATATGCTATTTATTATTCAATAAATGTTATTCACTATAACAGTAGGCTGATTTAAAAAATAATTTGTTAATAAATAAACGTGTGTAATTTTAATAGGTTGATTTGAAAATTAATTTTGGGTTTTTAGTAATTCTACTCTGACTGATCCAAGTGCACTGAATCTTTTTGATCTATTCAACTGTCCGATTTACTTTGACTGTTCTAATTCTGTTCCATTTGCACTAAATCGATTTAAATTACTCTAAGTATTCCATCTGCATTAATTGAATTTTTTAAATTGTTCCAGCTACTATCATCCATTGAACTAAACAAACACTCTGGAACGGGCGCACTGCTTTATGCTAGTGTGCCGAATTTTGATATATGCAACCCAGCAATACAGAGGGATTGTTGTCTCGCTCGCACTCATTGCGATTAACGTAAAAGAAAAAAGAGCTTTTTCATCCTCCTTACCCCTATGATCCAAACACTTCGGAAAGCTGTTCTCAATAGCCGCCATAGTGCAGAGAGAGATGCAAATCCCTCTTGTTTGTTGTCCTTCCTGGCACAAACCCTTACGTAGAATCAATTATGCAGCCACCGTTCCAGTGTGTTTGTGTATTTCATTGCTCTCATCAAATGTTTCAATTGCTTCAATTTCTGTTCCATCTGCACTAACTCTGTTCCGTTTGCACCACTTCGATTGTTACTGTTCAAACTACTCCATTATGCCACTAATCAATGAATTTATCTACTATAACAGTAAGGGCGGGTATTATAAAAATACTTTGAGAGTTAACTTAAAGTTAACTTCTGGAATTACATGTACCTAATTCAAAAAGTTAACTTCAAGTTAACTGTGAAAGCAGTTCTATAATACCCGCCCTTAGAGCGGGTTTTATAAAACTACTTTCAGAGTTAACTTAAAGTTAACTTCTGGAATTACATGTTATTCAAAAAGTTAACTTCAAATTAACTGGCAAAGCAGCTTTATAATACCCGCCCTTAGTCGATTTGAAAATTAATTTTGGGTTATTAAGAGGTGCTTTCTTTTCAGAGCTTTGAAACCCCGGGCTTGGTTGCCCTGGGATTAACCCAAACGGCTGGAGTGCGAATGGAGTCACTCGTAGTGCACGGAGTGACCAAGCCGAATCCACCTATAAAGATCTGACACTACTGACAGTTCGGATCAATGAACTATAACCAAAAACTGGAATGCTAACACATAACGACGAACTTGAAGCCTAGTGCGGCTGCTGCGGAAGGGATACCTGTTTTTGTCGCACTTATTATGTTAAATGGCGAAAATTGCTTCCAACACGTATTCCAATTGATGAAACCTGTGAAGGGAAATATGACAAAACTTTCGAAAACGTCATATGTCAGCGAGCAACAGAAAAAAACAACATTCCCCCTTGTGGCATCTGTCTTTCATGGCTTCATTTTTTTGGCAGATATGGCAATATGTGCGCATTCCAGTTTTTAGCTATGGTTCATTGGTTCGGATACTGGAGCTGTGGAGCTTCGAAGCCTCACCGAGGCGCTAGCGGTGGGGATAGATGACCCCGGGGCTTGACGCCCTGATTAAGGGCGGGTATTATAAAACTACTTTGAGAGTTAACTTAAAGTTAACTTCTGGAATTACATGTAATTCAAAAAGTTAACTTTAAGTTAACTTTCAAAGCAGTTTTATAATACCTGCCCTTAATCAGGGCGTCAAGCCTGAGGTACGTGTCGGACTTTTAGATGGGCAGAGTGACTTAAAATGCCGAGAGTGAGTTAAAATGTTTTTAAATCACTGAGGTGATAAACGTCTACTCACCTTTATTGTTATGCGTTCAATAATGTCATTTTTAAACGTCAAAATGGGATAAAAAAATGAACAACAAAAAAAAGTAATCTTAATACATTTGGTGAAATTTTTTAGGAGATGCTCGATTGGTCACACCAAGCGTTCAGAAATTCATACGAAAGTTGTCGCCTAAGAATTTTCATTTCGTAACAGAACACAGTCCCGAACGAAAATCTAAACACTAAGGGTCTTATTCTGTAAGGAACGAACCGTTCGGTTCGGTAGAATTTCCTCGATTGTGACGTCATTTTCGGTTTGGTTTTTGCGCTACCAAACCGAAAATGACGTCACAATCGAAGAAATTCTACCGAATCGAACGGTTCGTTCCTTACAGAATAAGGCCCTAAGGGCGGGTATTAGAGAGTTCTCGTGCCGTCAAATTTCAAATATCGTAACGCTATTTGACAAGTATGACAGTTCTTACGGTATTAGCGTTAGCGGAGCCCGCTATCTAAGGGAACTTAGCGGATGCCGTACAGTAACGCTATGCTATGTCAAAAATAGGTTACGCTCCATTTATGTCTGCAAAAACAGCAACTTCTGATAATTCCTCCATAAAAACACCAAGGGAACATTAATCAAGCTCAGGAATCTTCAGGATAAATAAAAGTTAGAAAACAAGCAAAAAAAAGTTGGGTTAGATCACTCAAATTAGCTGTCAAAATGTAAACAGAATAAGGGATTAGAGGATTTATGTGTCTTCGTGTCCGAGAACTCTAAAATACCATGTGAAATACCGTATTGTTAGCGGTACCGTATTAGCGTAGCGTGTGAGGCACGAGAACTTTCTATATAAAACTATTTTGAAAGAATAACTTAAAGTTAACTTCTGGAATGGCGTTAAAAGAACGGTTGACACATTCTAAAATCGTGATCCAGGGCCCCCTAGGGCGCCTAAACCCCTGAAAAGAAAGCAGCTTAGTACTGTCCATTCTGATTTGTTCCAAGTGTCACTCTTTTGGATTCAACTCATAGAAAAGTGATTTATATTCTTAAATAGAACATTCACTGGATTCATCCCCTCCACTTTTTGTTTTAGTTCGTGACTACACCGCTGTGCGCCCGTATCGCCGTTTCTTAACGTCCCCCTCGTTTTTATTCTAATCTATGACTTCACCGATGAGTTAGCTATCTTTGTTTAGTGAATAGAAAATGACAATGACCGATATATTGGTCGTCGATTTTTAACTGGCACGTGCGGTATGAGGAGCAAGGGAGTAAAGTATATGGCAAAAACAGGTGTGACGTCAGGTAAACATTGGCGTTCTATATCATGGCTCTTATAGTAATTCTACTCTGATTGTTCCAAGTGCACTGACTCTTTTTGATCTGTTCAACTGTCCGAAGTACTTTGACTGTTCTAATTCTGTTACATTTGCACTAACTCAAGTTGGATTACGATTCTGGAAAAACGAAAACGCTTTTTATATTATGCGGCTGTGGTGAAGAATGATTTCCGAACTAGTTTTGAGTGAAACCTAAACAAAGCTACAAAAAAAAAAATACAGTCATTCTGACATAAAAATGAGCAGTTTTTAAACTAATGAGTAAAGGACTTGAGTATTGGAGTCAGTTTCGTGTACAGGGTGTCCAAGATTCTATGGTTTAGGCGGGTTTCGGGTATATTTCTAGAGGAGTAGGAAAAAATCTCACCCGCCAGTTGCTAGCCTCGATTTTCAAGAGAAGTTGACCGGTGATGATTCGTTTTTAAGCTATAAGGGGAAAAAACTTTCATAAATAAAAAAGTTATAAACCTTCTGCCTAATTCCAAACTTTTCAAAAACCCCTCGTAGCATAAAAACGACTCCGGAAACCCCCGAAAACCATCGAATTTTGGACCGGATACCCTGTACACTTTATTTGCGTTTGAAAATAATTTGGTGCCCGATTGGTTTAAAAGATGGTGCGACACCGTTTACTCGGTACAAAATGGAAACCTTCATCACATGATATAACTGCACTCCACGAACACCGCACTAAAATCCCATTCGAAACTCAACTCCAGGACAAGTTATCGAATACAATAGTTGTATTCCTTTCAAGTGTTTGAAACACTCGAGCTACTCGCTCTGGTGTTCAGTCGCCCCCGATTTGCAGGGAACAGATACGTGGTGCAACAAACACTTTTCGAAAGGAATAGGAGCGTGAAACACTCGTGAAGCCGTGGAGCTCGTCCTAGGTGTGAAAGGATTACAACTAATCGCCTTGTCAACCACTCTTTCATCTGTCAACGACTAGTTCAAGACGTCATGATGGGTGAACTTAGGTTCGAAAATGGAACGCGGCCTTGAATGATAGCGAACCCAAACAAAAAAAAAACTAATTTTTTCAATCCCAAAACAAAACTCAAATAATAAAATGAACCTCCATCAGCAAACCGAAAACCAATTAAAAATAACCCACTTGGATTGTCACAGCGAGGACAGAAATAACGAAAATATCATCATCGAAGTCAAGGAAACAATTATGCCAGAAAACAACAACACAGAAAAGACAGAAGCCCCAGATAGTCCAGAATTTCAAACGGTTTATTGTGACGAGCCTGAATTTGTAGATTCTTCAAGTGAAGCTTTATTTGAGGAGTCCGACTCTGAAGTACAAACACTAGACATTTCAAACAATCCCAGTATGTTTGAAGAACTTGCTGAAGATGTAAGCATAAGCAACTAAACCTCTAACTAAAACTAAATAATATATTTCTTCAGGAACCTGTTAACATAATAGAAGACATCCCAAACGAAGTATTGGTATACACCTGCCAACCAGAACACAATGATAATCCCATGGACAAATTTGTGTGCATAAAGTGCAATCTAATTACAGGTTGTATATTTTGTCTCAAGTCTCACTATGAAAGCATCCATCTAAATTTAGGCCTTGTACAGTACAGGTGCCATCAAATAACCTATCTGAGAAACTACACTGAAATATGTCACAAGTGTAACTTGGTTTGCGAAAGCAAAGAGGAAATGATTGAACATCGCCAAATACATTTTGTTGTTTGTGACATTTGTAATATGTCTTTTGATAGTGCTTTGTATTTTTCAAATCATTGTAAAGCAACTCATAAAACTTATGAGGTTGCAATCAGTTGTGATTTGTGTGAGAGTTGGTTTAAAGTTTTAGAAAACCTTTCTGATCATTATCAAAATATACATGAAATGATTTTGTGTATAGTTTGCTATAAACGTTTTTCAAATGTTGAGGAATTAGTTTTGCATCACCAGTCTCACAAGATTACATTGAAGAGTCCGCCTAAGCCTGTTTTACCTTATGCTTGTTCGAAATGTAATCAAGCTTTTGCTGAAATCAGTGAGCTTTCGTCCCATTTGGTTAAAGCACATCCTACTAAGAAGGAAAGTCATGGCATTTCAACTAAAAAGAGAAGAAATAATACACCTAAAGAGAAGCCAATTAAAAAGTGGAGAATTACATACGATGATTGTGGAGGTTTAAGCCAAGAGGATATTATTTTGGAAACTGCTGAAGAGGAGGAAATATTTGGTATTGAGTTTAGTGATGATGAAGTAAAAATTGAAATAGAATAATTAGTTCATTCCTTTTGTATATTTAATAAATTTATTTCTTTTTCTAATAGAAGGTTACTACCTATTGGAATAAATTAAAAATGCAATTATTATTTATTTATTTATAAAAGTAATTATTTCACTTCAAAGATTGTTTGTTTTATTCTGGCATGTCTCCACCTGGTACTAGCTAAACAAAAAAGAGGCACACATTATTAGCTAAATATATCAATAAATTCTTTGGATAAACTATACTTACCATTGTTATATTGTTTCCATTGAGTAATATTTGTTCCAATTTCGTAATCCTCCTTCCTTCTGGGGTAGTTTCATATTCTGTAACATCTTCTAGAAGCATATTAACGAAATCGTCAAAACCTAAAAGGGTTCCCACTATTTCCTTGTCGTTTTTCATGATAATGTGAATCCGGGAACCGATACATTTATCAACCAATTCTACAAAACAATATTTAGTCTCTAAGTACAAATTGGCTTATTATAAGTTACCTAGTGGCAATAGGGTTGAAGAACTAACTGGCATTGTACTCATTTCGAATTTGTATTTAGGAAATAGCAAAATCTGCAAAAAGAAAATACGAATAGTGGAAATACCAAAGAGAAAAATTTTGAAAACAACTACCAAGCCCCAAGCTAAAAAAAAGTTTGGTTAGGTTTGTCAGAAGGGTTGTGTGCCGTTTATTGTACAAAGGTCTATTATTCCTTGTCTTTGTTCTTCTCATCAAAAGAAAAAAAGATGAAAAATGCTTAGAAGGCTATAATCAGGACATATGTCAAAACAGTGTCAGTAAAGTCAAATTCTCTGTCAGTGTCAGTGGTGTCTCGAATAGCTGTTGTTTACAATTTTTATTATTTCTACAACAAATGTGATTTTTTCTCGATAAATTCCTGCCTAATTTTCAAGGTTTTGTTTGAATTCAATCCACTGGTAAGTAATAAACACTTCTATGCATTTATGACGCTAATAGTTTAACGGTTCTTATTGTATTTGATGCTTCAAGTTATGTTTACCTGGCAATTGATTTTTTTCTGCTCTATTTTGGATGATTTGACTCATCTTTTTCAGCTCTGCTGATTAAATTGGACAATAATAATCATTATTGTTTATTTATTGCTTATTTTTTTATTTATTTATTGTTTAATTATGTTGTTTATGGTGGTTTTTCAAGATTGAGCCGTTGATAGTTCTATGTCGAATATGGCAAATAGAAATTTTAAATAAGTGAGTCCTAAAGAGCATAATCAAGTACATTATTGAATTATTAATATGTATTTTCGAAGACCCGCATTAAAGTACATATTGTTAACCTTTTCTTTTTCCCTAATAGGCAAATAAACTTTTTCCTCCTCCTACACATATTACCTGTTCAGAAATCCCTATAGTTTATGTAAAAATCCTATGTATAACATAGAAGTGGGTAGACAATTTTGTGCCCACATTAAAAACTCATTTTGTAATAATTATTAATTCAAACAAGTGGTTTTAGAAACCTTTTTTACATTGTGAGTCAGTTGATTTTTCTAGGAGCTGCATTGAAACTATTATAAGAGGTTTGTAGAGAATTTAATTGGCCTTAATTTGAGCCTAATTATGTCGAAATTGGATTGAAATTAACAAAATATCGTTTTCAAACAGATGAGATAACTGCAGAGGTATCAAAGAGCACTTCAGAATATTTGGAAGATTTCTGATACCTTCTAGATCATCCCAGTATTTCAAAATCATTAAGCTTTGGAAAGCATTTTGAAAAGCTTCAGAATGCACTAGATCCAAATTAGAACATTTTTCAGCATTTTAGGACACTCTAGAGTAATTTAAAACTTTGATAAGGTTTTAATTCAATTTTCAATCCTCCTATATTTGTTTGTGACAAATTGGAAACTTTGAGAACATTGTAAAACGCTACAGAACACTTTAGAACCAATTTAGAAGTTGAGAGACATTTTAGAACAGACCAGAACACTTCTGAACTTTTGGCAACATTTTAGAATGCTTTTGGAACACTTTGAAACACTTCACAAATCATATGGAACTTTTGGAAACAATCTAGAACTAGAAACTTTTAGAATATCTTAAAAATCGTCACATGACATTTTAGAACTAACTTAAAACTTCCATGAACAATCTGAAACACTTCTAAGCTTATTTATAATTTCAATTTGTTGTCAAGATTTCAATGAATTAATGAAAGAATGTCGGGGGGCAGTCAACTTCCTCAAAATGTGTACACCGATTTAAAATCACTCTTGATTTTAACTGATTTAACAGATTTGATCGGATTTAAGAGATTTTTGTTCAAACCTTAACTGATTTAAGGTGATTTAAGGTAATTTAAAGATTTACTGGATCATTTAAAAAGATTTAAGCTGATTTAGGAAGATTTAACCTGATTTAATAAGATTTAAATGGATTAAAGTTTTTTTTAAGATTTGCATTGATTTAACCTGGGATGATTCAAGGTAATTAATTTAATCCTGAGAAGATGAAAATTTATCTAATAACCAGATATTTTAGTGCTAATGGGTACTTTCGCTCTCATAATAGTCCAATTTAAATTTTGAACTAATAAAAAAAATTCTAAAAGTGATAAAGTTTGTGAGGCTTTTGTGGCCCAGGTTTATTGATAAGGTGTTTTCATTCGGGCTTAATGGCCATCGTAAGCTGGAATTTCTTCCTTTTTCTTATGAAGAAATTCCAACTTACATTGGCCATTTAGCCCGAATCAGACCACCTTATCAGTTCTAAAAGTGCCACCAAAGTCAGCTAGTTTTGGTACACAATGCAATTAAATAATTTAAACTTGAATTTGAATTCACAAAAAATTTGAAGATTCTTCCTGTGCTGCCAACAAAAATACACACGCGCAAGCCGCAAACGAATATAAGCGATTGCACCTCGAGGTTTGTCGAGTTGGAGTCGCCCAAAGTTTGCGCGGGATTTTAACCATTTTTTTATCGATTTGAAATGATTTATGGAGATTTATGAAAAATTATGGAGATTTAAAAGGATTTAAAGAGATTTAACGATATATAGAAAGATTTATATGGATTTAAACAGATTTAACTAGATTTAAAAAAGATTTAAAGGGATTGTAAGAGATTTAAGAAAATTTAAATTGATCTGACCTGATTTAATATGATTTATGAAAAAACAAAGGTGATTTAAGGAATTTTATTTAGGGATTTAAAATGTTCCGAATCTCAGATTTTTAGGGATTTAATTGATTTAAAAAGATTCAAGAGGGATTTAAAGAGATTTGAAGGGATTTAACCTCATTTAATCTGATTTAGAGCAAAACAAGATGATTTATGTGATTTAATAAGGGATTTAAAGTGATTTAAGTCCATTTGTATACCGATTTAACAGAGTTAACCGCCCCTGAAGAATGTATTAACACAGTGCATGCCACATGTATATTAGGAAAATATCAAGGGGGGTAACAACTAGTGGTAATACATGTACAAATTTTATTGCATTACAAAGCATTACGTGCGCATTATGACGCATTACTGGGAAATTACCGGCATTACTCTGGCACCATGAGACATTACTTCGAGCATTACTTGGTATTGATAGGGATTATGCTGGCATTACCAGGCATTACCTAGAAATATCGCAGAATTACGCTTGCATTCAATGGAGTAACAGTTGATTTTTAACCCTCAATTTTTCCAAACATTCACTGGGAGAAAATAATTTCACACATACAGAGTGTCGAGTGAAGCAAAAAAAAAGTTACTGTCAAATATGTATTTGTTTTAAATGAGAGACCCTGTATACCCGCCTATACAGGGTGTCCTTAGATTAACAGACACATTTTGCAGGTAAATATCTCGAAAACGGAAAAAGATGACGGGATGCGGTTTGTTCTGGAAGAATAAGGATTTTTTAAAAAAAAAATTTCATGGTATTGACGAATCCTGAAATTTGGTTCAATTCAATTTTTTATTTTGGTTAGTCGATGGTATTCTCTTCGACTCTTCGACAAAGTGCAATTTTCACGATGCAAGTTCAAGATAATTGAGAAAAATTATACATTTTTGTAAAGTAGAAAAATCAGGCTTTCTGACGATGACAAAATATATATGGTTTTTCATTAAAAATAAGGCAGTTATTTTATTTCGAAAAATTGCATGTAATGTGAAAAAAAAAACTTTGAAAAATCCTTATTCTGCCAAAACAAACCGCATCCCGTTATCTCTTACCGTTTTCGAGATATTTACCTGCAAAATGTGTCAGTTTATCTAAGGACACCCTGTATATTATAGGTCTGTTCTCACAGAAACCACAAACCAGTCAGAACAAATTTCATTGGTAGAAAATAATCAGAAAACTTGTGCGTTGTTAGCGATTTGCACCAATCAAAAATGCTCTGGTTTGTGATTTCTGTGAGAAGACTGAGAAGTGACCTTATATCATTTTTGAATTCTAGGCAAAACTCTAGATACATTTTATGAATAATGTGCTATACCTAAAATCAACTGTTTTTAAGCTAGAAACAATTGAAAATCAGTATTTTATCTACTTTTTTCCAGTTACACTGATATTATTGAGAAAACAACTAAAGATAGGAGAAAACAAGTTTCACTTTCCGGTCCTAACTTGACTGCTTGAGAGCTACTCAAAGGTTTTTATAATGGTGGTACCAAATTTGGTATCCATATATGTACTTAGTACCATCATCGAGACCACCATTGGTACCACTATTATCAGATAGCTATTGCAGAAAAGTTAAGATAGATTTTTCTTTTTGCATAGAATCCAAAAATTACATAATATATAGGGTGTCCCATTTAAAACAAATACCTAAATATTCTACTGTAAGTAACTTTTTTCTGGATCACCCTATGTATGTGAAATTATTTATTTTTTATAGATTCTTGTTAACCCTACAACTTTGCTATACATGTAATAAATTAAAATGTCCAATGATGATTACATAATTAAATTTTTGAAAAATGATCTGAAAAATTTCATATGGCCTTACGACAATGACGTATAATCTGTGGGACAAGGCCTACATTTTTTATGAACCAATAAAAATCATTGGATCAGAAACATTTTAACTGTTGAGCCAGGATAAATCCAGAGATAAAATATTAGCGTATAATGGTTAAAACCGAGGTTAAAACTAATAAAATTCTAACCATTGGAAAACTCTACCAATGTGTTTCTAAAGAAGACAATGTTTAACAGTAGGAATTAAGAAGTTAAAACAGTTTCTGTAAATTAAATTATGAGATAAATTGGCATTTTATTAAGATTTACTCGTCGTCTGGTATGCAACCTGAGGGATGAAAATACAATCGGTAATCCCATCGGTCGGCCAGTTATCCATCGACCAATAGAATTATAGAACGATACATTTATTTTACAGCAAGTTTTACCAAATTTTGGTCCAGTTGGAAAATATCCCACAAAGCCACGCATGTTTCTCTCTTACTTTTTTTTTAAAAAGTGGCCGAAATCACAGATTATATTGTTTATAGTATTTTTTTTGTTTGTTTTTAGCTTTCCTCATCATTTTTTCT